CATGGATGTTCAAGGTTTACAAACAAGTTTTACCCAAACTGGGAGGATACATAAATGAACAGGGGACAATCAATTTGGAGCGACTAGGGGTGCTCCTTGATTCATTATCTGATGTAGAATTCCGCTTCTTTGAAGCAGAATTTTCAGATGCGCGTTGGATTAAATCTAAAATGAAAGGCGAGGAGCTGGAAAGCTCGGAGCCACCTGCAAATGCGAAAGATTTTGCGATCTCGCCTGCGCAGAAGCACATTTTCAACCGAATTAAAAAATATGTCACTCATCGCCCGGTGAATGATCAAGGGCAATCTGTTCCTCTTGACCTTTCCCCTAATTTGCCTGCGAGGGATCGAAAATTCGTAGAGCAGTTAGCAGACGATCTACATCTTGCTTGGACTACAGTGTCCAACGAGCATGGCGATAGATTCTTGCGGGTTCAACTTCCGTCGAAGGAAACTCAAACTAGCGGGAGCTCTGGTGATGATGACGGCGATGACGAAGAGGGCCAGATTGCACTTCTTCGCGTGATGAAAAGATACGAAAACGCTAAGGTGAAGGAGACAACAGCCGAGGAAGCCCAACAAGCTGCTGAAAAAAAATACGAACTCAAGTTCCAGGAATGGAAGGACAACTACTACAAGTCCAAATTCGGATGGGGCATGGATAACCATGAAGAAATGCGGCAGTTGACGGAAAATTACGTACAAGGCCTTCAATGGGTTCTCTATTATTATTATCGTGGAGTTGCCTCGTGGCCTTGGTTCTATCAGTATCACTATTCGCCGATGATTTCTGACGTCAAACTTGGCTTGGAAGCTGATATGAATTTCGACCTTGGGCAACCCTTCCACCCTTTCGAACAATTAATGGGCGTTCTACCAGACCGAAGTAAACAAATTGTCCCTTCGGCCTTCCATGAATTGATGACTTCCCCGGAATCACCGATCATTGATTTTTACCCTCGCGACTTCGAACTTGACATGAACGGCAAAAAGATGGAATGGGAAGCCGTTGTCAAGATCCCGTTTATTGATGAAAAGCGCTTGCTTAGCGCGATGGCTACAAAGAAACACCTTTTGACACCAGAAGAGAATGCAAGAAATGAATTTGGCGTTACATTGAAATTCACATATTCGCCAGATATCGAATACATATATCCCAGTTCACTTGCTGGTGTGTTCCCCGACATTGCTAAGTGTCACTGCATAGAAAATGTGTTCGACCTTCCAACAATGGAAGGCCTGGAACCTTTCGTTGGCCTTGTGGAAGGGGTTAAGCTAGGGCACGAAGCATTGGCGGGATTCCCTAGCTTGAAAACATTGCCACATAATGGCCAACTAGGTTTCCACGGGGTCTCCGTGTTCCAACAAGAGAGTCGTAACGAGAGCATGGTGGTAACGCTCAGCGAGCCAGAAAATCGATCCAGTGTTGAACTAGCGAAACAAAAGCTTGGTCAAAGAGTTCACGTTGGCTACCCTTTCCTTCAAGAGGCCAAAGTAACTCGCGTATCTGACGAACTTTTCGATTACATGTATGTCGACGGAGAGCAGCATATTGTTTCGATTCCTCATACACCATCACAAACGGATCAGTGGAGGCGCAAAGCCCACCAAGTTGAGTCATATTATAGCAAAAGGCTGGGCATGGTTGTTGGCGAGATCGAGTCCATGGTCCACGTGCAAATGCTGAAGGGGTTAATGAAGACAGCCGAAGGTGCCACGGTCAAGGAGTTCGCCGATATTCCAGGTATTGAAACGGATTACGCTTTGCAGCTTGTTGTTGACCGCGTGATGTGCGAGGATGATAGGTTTATCGAACGAGAAGCCTTACCTGTCGAAGAGGAATTCCCGGAGGGAACAAGGGCTTTTTTCTTGGGTGAATATAACTACGGAGCTCCAGTACATATTACTGGGCATGAAGCCGGAAAATTGAGTGGTCTTGTTTCCGTCACCAAAGGCAGGGAACCAGAATTTGGTCGAGATTTGACGAGAGCTGCTGAGAAGCTCTCTCCCTACAGTCCGTCATTTGCGATTGCCCGTAGTCTAAATCTGAACCCTTTGGCTCTGGCTAAAATCACGTCTTCGTTCACAGTGGTCTTGGATGGCCAGCGCATCAACCTTGGCCTGAACCTGAAATTTGAAGCGAAGAAGCTCAAAGTTCTTGGGTACTCCCGACGTGGACCCACTGGCTGGGAATTCAGTGAAAAAGCCATCGATCTTCTCCAGCAATATATGATCAAATTCCCTGAGTTCATTGCAGGCATTCAACGAAAGCCACAAGGAGATGGCTTCCAAGCGACAGATTTCTACCCAGCTGAAACCGCGGCTGCCAAAATCAAGGAGATTCAGGCGTGGCTCAAGTCAATCGAGGCAAAGAATTTCGATCGTGTACCATTGGAAGCTGAACAGCTCGATTCAAACCTTGTGAAATCCATCGAACAAGCCGCGGACGAACTCCTCCGTACACGACCAGCAGCTGAAGCTAAAAAGCTTAAAGGCGTCCCGCGTAATGCGTTATTGAAACCGGCAGATGCGGAACATCGACTTGGCAATCAATCATTTTCTCTTGGTGATAGGGTGGTCTATGCACAGGAATCTGGCAAGGTTCCCATCGCGACGAGAGGCACTATCGTTGGGCTCACGCGGACGTCCAGAACGCTTCTCCTGGACATCGTATTTGACGTCTCCTTCATGAGCGGGACGACCCTAGGTGACAGATGCTCGCCATTCCGCGGGTCGACAGTTCCCGCATCATGCGTCTTGAACGTGACCAACAGGCAACTTATCGCGACAACCCGCGCTGCAGCAGAACAAGGCAGGTCACAACAACAGCAACAAAACCAACCGCTGACAGTCCAGGGATATGGAGCGCCGCTCGGACCAGGTGGAAAGGGCCAGCTGAAACATGCGAGCGCCCCGCCACCTCTGCGAGGCAGCTTCCGTGGCGCTCTTACAGGACAGCTTGGTGCTCCCAGGGGCAATGGGGTGTTCCGAGGCCGTGGTAGCCACAGCCAGTCGGAGCAAACATTGCCGATTCGCAATCACCATCAAAACAATGCCTCCTCACCGCAGCCGTCTGATATGCGCGGCCGGGGTGGGCGGGCTAACTTCACCGGCCATCAGAATGGATATAATCCACGTGGGCGTGGAGGACGACGTGGAGGTGGAGGCGGGGATATGGGTGCTCCGCCTGCGACTCCCGGTGGCTATGTTTCGGTTGAGAGAACGGACCCACTTGAAGGAGTTATCCAACGCAATCCGAATTTCCGACCTCAGTCGTACAATAATGTTCCTCCCCCGTCAACTTTAGAACGTGGTGGAAGTGGCCGGGGTAGAGGTGGTCGTGGTTTCGCACGAGGGGGTGGTAGGGGTGGTAGGGGTGGTAGAGGTGGTAGAGGTGGTAGAGGTGTCAACAATAGCCAGGGAGCCACATCCACCTAAAGACTCGAAGGAATGAATTTTTTCAGAATTGATTTTTTTTTCCCCTCATGGTTGAGTTGAAGACTCATATGCATGTGCTGGTAGGAAAAGGAGGCCTGTTTGTACATGCTATGCATACCTAGGTATCTTACTAGGGTGTTGGGATAGACATACTTAATCCTCTGTGTTTTCCTGTATATCATGATATGATGTCCTATGGTGGCATTTGCACTAGTCATGAACGTGTTGTTTTATGATTATGACATGATGGTTATGATGTATAAGGAGGGTTCTCAATTGTCCTTTCTTTTCTTATCCCCCTATGAAGCGCTGGCCTCCAGAGGAAGAGAGCCTTCTGCAGTTACCGATCTTGTGTATATAGTATCATGGACGCATTCACTCCGTATCCCTTGTTTAGAAGGCGAACGTACTGACCTCTTCTCGTTAGACCGTTAGCAACGTGTTTCATACCCTGCACCTGTCATGATACTACAGCCACCAGGAGTTTTACAAATGGTTTGAAGAATGGATGGGGAAATTGGCCACATAGGTCCCTACTTCGTGTGATGATTAAAACTTTGCTTTTCTGAATCAGCTGCAATTATATTCGACATGAACGAACAAATACTGCGATATCTCGTAGCCTTAAAAGTGTAAGGAAGACATCCCCAGCATGTAGAACCACCAGCCAAAAAGAAGAAGGCATGAGCTGCTATGTAATTCTTTCAACAAAAAGCGGTTTTCTAATTAAGAAAGTCTCGATTTTGCAAAGAGTGACTAGACTAGTTACTCAGAGCTCCGTCAGAAGACGAGTATCTATAAAATCCCCTCGGATGATATGATAATTATGATTTCTTCAGATTTGATGACTACTTGCACTCTGGATTTTCTTTCACTTGAGGTTTGGTGTTCTGAAATAGGTTATGAGACCAATCAAGTATCTACTGAATTAGCTATATACTTTCATATAATCTATTTTATCTGATTCATTATTTGATATCAAACTCTTATGATGTTGTTGAGATGTGAAATATTTCATTCCTGTGGTGGCATTCCTTGTTAGTGGAACCTTTGCTGTTGATATCCTGCCCCACATTCTCTGCTTTTGAGATTTCTTGAAAGAATCCTGGATGAGGGATTTTCAGTTTTGTAAGGCAGGGACAGAAAGAGAGCGCAAAGAAAAAAAATTAAAAATAAAAGAAAATAAAAGAAAATAAATAGGGACAGATCCAATGGATGAAAACTGACAATAGTCTGTAGAGCTGTGTTTTAGTGCATCTGTGCTTGGTGAAAATGCAATGGAAATGCAATGCGCAATGCAGCTGCCGATACCTGCAGGAGGCGGGCCTGTGTGGTTTTAGGGGCTGCGACGGGGAGACTTTCCGTTCAACAAGACCTTTCGCATGCAAATATGGCATGGCCCCCTGGCCTTCTGTTAAGGAACGTCTCCAGGCTGATACTCTGCCTATGTCTGGTCTCATTGATCTCATTGAAGCTAGACATGTTCGTGGTTTTGAGGTTCCAGAGATCTCATAGGGTCGATTCATGATCTGAATCTTGCTTGTGGCGGGGAATGGCTTGGTTCTAGCGCAGGCAATTGTTGATCTTGCCTACAGGGCGTGAGGTGGGAATAAATCCTTCGTAGATCAACCCCCTGATATCGACTTTGGATAGAGTCTTAGAGCCCCTATCGCCCTGCACAGTTAGCGCTGACCCGCTAGATTAGCTTGGGAGTTTTAACTTATCTATCTTCCCTTCGTCGCTATCTCTTCTCTCTGTCAACAAGTAGAAGTCCGTTATCTAAGTTTCTTCCAAGGGAACCATTGAATCTGCGGGCTAAGAAAATAAAGGCGATCAGGGCTCCACACTACAACATCATTTTTTTTATTTCAAATTCCTTTGGACCAACACACCCAATAATAATGATACCACGAGCAACATGCTTGCCATCTCGCCATTGCCTAGCGTTTCGCGCTCCAAGTGAGTATAAGGTTGATCGTTGTCCTGGTTTGCGAGGCTGCCCGGTTGAATTAAGGAACACTATTATTGCTCTCTGCTGGCCATCTGCCACAGGTGGGTTTGGCTCCGCTTCGCAGTTACGCTGACAACGAACTAATGTCCTGCATACTGAAAAGTCGCAAGATAAGTTGCAAGACGTCTCTGAGCCGCCAGTAACAGCGCCTCACTAACCTGGATATCTTGTCGTCCCCACTTGGTCCTTTGGCTGCCTCCCACGTTGCTGGAGCCAAAGTGTGACGACTGACGAGCAAAGCATAAAGGGGTAAAAAGAAACCTTCTTGATCAATACCAGCAAGGAACAGAGTTCGCTCGTTGAATAATAAGCTTGCCCCATGAACACTCTCTGAATGCACGCAGCCTGTTAGTCGCATCCACGTCCGCCATCCTCGTCCTGTCTGATGAGGTAATTGAGGTCGAGGAACGTCATTTTGCTTTCTCTTTCACTTTCTTTCGCTGTGGCCCCAGATGCGACTCGCAACACTAGGTGAGACTACCTGGGTCCAACGAAGTGCGAAGTGCGGGAGTATCTCTATGCGGATGGCCTGTTCTGTCTCCTATCCCCAGTCCCCGTCCACGCCTCCGGCCAACTGATTATGAGATCCCTTCTCCCCATTCAACCTCATTATTGCTTTCCCTTATTACTGTGCTCAAATCAATCGACTTATTCTCTTTAGCCTCTCCAACGGCTATTCTATTCCCCTAAGCTCCCTCACTCTTCAATATCATTACGCCATCTTCCCTCCCTCGCACAATAATTCCTAAGGATTCATTCTCGAGAAACCCAATCCAGTGGCAAAACCATTGACAATAAAGATAAAACGAAATATTTTGCCAGATTCTCCACGTTTAACTTAGAAGATAAAAGCAAAATAGATTATCGGATCAAGGGTAGTGGTGGCGGGCGACATTGCTCGATTATTGGATTACTGGTGACTATATGTCGCCCAACCCTTCTCTCTCGGCATCAGAAGAGGGAACAGGAGCACGGCAGACGGGTGGAACCGTTATTGCGAACGTGAAGGAAATATCTGTATACATATTGAACAGTGAACATTGTTTCCTCGTTCGTGTCTGAATGGGAGCCCAGAGTGTTCCGGTGCTTGGAGAAATAAATCCCTGGACATCCCCGCAGCGAGCCCTGGAAGCACGCAAGAAGGGTTCGCTCCAGCGTTGAAGATCTTGATTGCGGCAGCTGTCGAGCTTCTTGCGCATGATTGCACTATTTTCCATGTGCCATTTGTCATTTGTCATTTTATATTTTGATGTAACTTCTTTTTTTTCTTTCCCGCCGTTGACTCCTGCATTCCCCCCATTCATATCTATATACTTTTACGATTACACATTCTCATCAGTTGGTTTAGCTACTGAAATTGCATACAGGGGTTGAATATTCTTTTATTGTTTTACCCTGGCAGCATCGCTTCTACTTCTATTAACGCTTGATCTTTACATCCTGGGCTACTTTACTGCTTGATTTCTTGGTGGTCGTTGCGACGTTGATATCTACTGTCCTGTTATTCGCCTGGGTTTATATTTGTTTAGCCCTGTGAGAGAGAAATTCGATACCACAAGAAGATCGCTTTGTTCCAGAAATCCTCGGAAATCTGTTTGGACCTATTGCTGTCAGCTCTCAGCCTATCCCGTTTATCATTTCGTTGTGTCCAGTTTGGCCATTTTTCGCGGACATCCGGGGGCTGCCACGACATCTCGCGCCGACCATCTACCCCTTTGTCCTGTCGAATTATTCAACTGCTTGGTGGGCATTCAATCAATACTAAGCTGGCCTTCGCTTTTGCCTGGTCTCCACTTTTCCAATTGAACGGGTCCCAATACCTTCCCTTCATTCCAGTTAAAACCCGCTCGCCCTTCCACCCTGTTGGAGTATGTATCCTGCCCGCTTCGAACAACGTACATAGGTCCATTTTCCATTCAATCGGGTCCTCCAGCATTGCCCAAGTGGATCTGTCAAATTAGACTGTATACGTGGCCGCCGCCATGTCCCAGTCACTGTCTCTCTTCTCTGCTCAGGTACAGTTCTTGGTGAGTCTCGCGCAGCATGTTCAAAACTCATAACCTCCTCTAATTCTGCTTTCCCCCTTCACCACCTTTCAAAAAGCAGCCCCCTCCCCCCAAATTTTGAACTAGTAAATCCCCCTTCCAGGATCCCAGCGTTCGTTGGAGCACAAGAATGTGCTTTCTGTTCGCGGAATTAGCCTGCACTATCTTTGGTATTGAATATGCAAGGCCAGCTGTGCTGACATTGGAAATCGGGGTTCAGAACGACCACCTCGCTCTCATACACATCCCCCTAGATCTATACCCATTTTTCTTGCAACCAATACTCCAACTCATTTTCCACGATGTACCTCCTATCGAAGACATACACCCGGATGAACCGGATGAACCTGGCTTGAGAGATCTTCGGAAATCCGAACCCACGCATCCTGCGTTTCTCAACGTTTCCATCACCCCAGTCGAATGTTCAATTGTTTGTTCGAGAGCGTTGGCAGAGTTGTATTTTCGACCATCGGCAGAAGAGTTCAACAAAAATGGACCTTCTAAAGCGAACCAAATTTCAATCAGCAAAGAGGATTTCATCGCTATGCAGGTTGATGGGCAGGGGTTGGATGCCGGCCAAAGAGTTCTGGAACTGACCAGTCCTCTTGCCATGGCAGGAGTGTAAGCTCATATATACTCCGTTGTAAAGTGCGGTACCCCCTTAACTAATAAGTTGAAAAGATCCATATTCTTCATGTCAACTTATTTCTCCGACTACATCCTCGTTCCCCGCCGGTCAAAGGGCCATGTAACCCAGGCACTCGAGAACCGTGGCTTCACCTTCGAAGCGTCTTCCGATGCCTTCGTCAACAGCAGCAATAACCCGCAACGCCGCAGCTCCGCCCCATCGCTAGAAGCACAACAATCGCCGCCCTTAACCCCTCCCCCGCCAACGCTCTCAGAGCTACAGACCCGAACGTTCGCCGCTTTACGGAAACACAACATACACGCCCGTGTCGACAAATCCCTCCGCATCGTCCAGTGCGCGGCCCAATACTCGGCATCTGCCCGCCGATCCTCTTCCCCTTCAATCCTCCGCCCAAGCCTCGTCACCACCCTAATTCTCGATAAACCCCGCTTCCTCTCCCTCACTCTAACTGCCACCGACCCGGCCGCGTCTATACTGCTCGAAAAACGACTCCTGCCCCGCTTCTCGCTGGATCCCATCTGCTTAGTGCCCCCAAACCAGCTGTCCAGCGACTTCTCACTTGACGAGAGCAGCAATAACCTCCTCCTCATCTCGAAGGACGACGTCCTCGTCCCTATCATGCTGGACCTACGCGATCTCCCGCTGGAAGCGACTGGGATCGTCTGTGGCGTAGCTAGCCGGCTCGCGGCTGCGACACAAAGTCGAGAACCTAACAGAACCAGTGGCGAGAGTGACGATGGCCATGATCATGACGGTGGTGGAGATGGTTATGACAGCTCCGATGACCACGGCGATGGTGTTAGCGCCGTGGAGATTCCGAGGAATGCCTCCTCCCCTCTTGCCCGGTTCAACGACAATAATCAAAATGATGACAAAAGTACGTCATCACTCTGGTCGCGGAAGCGGAGGCGGATGACGACGTCGATGAATCAGAAGAAAAACGGTGGGCAAGCGCAGGGCGCCCACAAGCCGCTTCGTAGAGTCTCGTCAGAAACGGGCTCGTCGTATATGGATGCTGTTGATATAAGCTTCCTCAGCACGGTGAGAGCTGGCACTGTCATCGTTGGTGAGAGGGAGCTGGAAAGGGCAATGGCTTCATTGGATGCGGCTGAGATTGGCGCTTGAGTTTGTGATAAGTGTGTGTGGGGACATGGGTTAGGTTTGGTGTAGTGGGATTTTATCTTATGTGAATGCTAGATTGATCCGCAAGGGTTATGAAAGGATGCCAAAGGTTTTGGCAAAGAGAAATTGTGATATCCTTTTTGCACGAATGGGCTGATGGAAAGGAGTAAACATATGATACGTATATATAAGATTGAAAAAGAAAAAAAGCAAAAAAGAAAGAAAGCAAAAAAGAATCGTCTTAGGGAAGGGGAAAAATGTTAGGTCCTGTTGGAATGTGGACATGAGCGAACCTGAGCGATCAATTGACCTATTTCATATTTTGGACAACTGCATTGAATATATCGGGGCCCATAGCACATTATCAATGCCTTTACATGCCTGATACCTATTGTAATGGACAAAATAGGATAAATAAATTTTAAAAAAAAGAATCCAGGTACGGTTTACTTCATCGTCTCAAGCCCACGCGGTGTCGGCCCCTTCGTTGAGATAGGCTTCCTTTCATCTTTGTCATATCTACACCAATTAAATCAATAAACCAGGTAGAGAGACCACCCCATATATATCATACTTCTTCATTTAGAAGGGGTGGTCTGATGCCTAGTAAATGAGCATATCCGCCCGCAACATAGAGCACAGGACACGGTTATATTTTGTTCTTTTTGGTTTAGCTGTACGTTGGAGGCGGTAATAAGAGTTTGAACGTTGATTTATATAGATAACTGGATAGCAGATATGAAACGGGATGCTCTCTGTTAGGGTCCCGGTCGTGAATGATATAAAAGGGAGGGGGTGGCCTGAGAAGGTGAGGTGATTTATAAAGATCATGATAACGTAACGATATATATAGGTATCGCAATAATGTCCGCGAGTGAAATGCGAGAAGATGCAAAGTAATGCTGAAGTCATCCAAATACTTGAACAGTCCCTATTGGGTTAATATCAAAAGTTAGCAAAAGCGAACGGCACTGAACCAACAATATCTCTTTGTGAAAGGCGTGGAATTCCCAAGACAGATATATAAGAGGAGATCGGGTTGCGAAAACTCACCATCTGAACAACCGCCCGCCCAACAACCCGCTTTCTCATTCCACGCCACACAGCTAACCGCCTTCACCCCTTCGCCCACGCCCACCTTTGCAATTACATCCCCAGTCAACACATCCCATGCAAATACATGGCTCTCGACATTTATGGCACTCTCATTTTCATCAGTCTCCCCACCACTAAACACCACGCCCTCCCCCTTCGCAAATGAAGATCTAATCCGCAACGAACTATTGACATAGCGTGGCCCTCCATCCCCACTAGCAGGAGTAGCAGGGTCAGACCCCGCCTTGCCTCCCCCACCCCCAAACCCTTTCAACACACTGCCATCCGCTCGATCAACCATCCGAATCCAGCTATCTAGACACGATGCCAGCACGACATTGCCATCCTCCGAGCAGCGCACGCTCGTCACCTCATGGCCCATGACGTCCACGTTCACCATGCCCATACGCAAATCATAGCTGCGGATTCGTCCGTCGTAGCTGCCTGATATTATGCTGGCGGTGGGCAAGTGGATGCTCAGGGAGGAGATGGTGTCGCGGGCTTCAGAGAGTGTTTGGATGGGCTTTGAGGTTAGGGAACGCGTATCCCAAAGTTTTAAGGTTGTGTCCGCGCTTCCTGTGGCATGGGAGTTTGAGATGGTTAGCGGAATTGAGCTTTTGAGTTAAAGATGCTATACTATAGGGAGTTTCCTAATACAGGGATAATGGAGGACGAGTTTCTCTATTCACAATGCAATGCCAGTTGATGCCTGGCTCGGGTATTTAACGTGATAAAGGTGTAAATCGAGCGCAGCTGATTCTGATCAAGTCAGAGTCAATAGTAATGCTTGACCTTGCTTCGCGCAATGGTTGATAGAGATCTCAAGCCCCTCACGAACCAGCACTGCGCAAACAGCGGCCTTCGTAGCGTAGAGTAATACACCTAGAAGGCAACAAAGACCCCGATGGAAATGGAGAGTATAATAAATAAAATAATTCATACCACTCGCAACAATCGAATCTGCCTCGGCCCCGAACTCCACCGCCTCAACCCGCGCATCATGCCCACTCCACCTCCTCACCGTCGTCCCCGTCTCCACATCCCACAAAAACACCTGCTTATCACCACCTACACTGGCAAACTTGGCATTATCCGCCGTTACCGCGAGGTCCAACACGGAGTAGCCATGCTTCGCGTACCGCTGGATCGGAGTGGTGGTGACGGGTGTTGTGGCGGAGACGGTGGTGGAGGAGGTCGGGAGGGCGCGGCAGAGATGGATGGAGCGGTCAGAAGAACCCGTTAGCAGGTATGTGCCTGGTGGGCTGGAAAAGCAGATTGCGTTTACCGCACCTGTGATGGGGGTTGATGGGTTAGCTCTCCTCTCACATTGGCTGAGGGACGGGGTATCAAGAGTGAGTTTGGGAAACTTGGGGCCTGGAAGACAGGTAGTGAACATTTATATATACGTACCATTGTGGGTTTTTATTGTGTGGAGGCGGGAGGTTGGGAATTTCCGCGTTGGTGGCATCTGATTGATCGCGACGCTTTTGAAAGGTGGTTGAGTTCATTTACATCTTGAAGGCGGGGATGGAGCTTGGTCTGGGCGAACTGGTTGGAGCTTATTTAATTTATTTATAACAAACCAGACACGGGAAACTAAATTCGACGAACCCAGTGGTTTTTATTTGATTTGGAGATCTCGAAATTGAATCATACAAAGGGGAAAAAAAGTTGTAGAATTAAAGTTGGATATTTCAAATAATAAAGTAACAAAAAAAATCGCTACGTATAACAAACGAAACTATTTCGGGTCTTGGAGGTAGAAAATACGCTAGGTATCAGTCGAATGTGGGAGAAAAACAGAAAAAGAAACACGAATAAAATGATTAAAGGATAAGGGGTTCGAAAAAGAAAACAAACCCCCAAAAGGTCGCAAATAAAACCGGGATTTGATAGGTCGATAATTTTAGGGCTCAGACGTGTTAAAGCCTATATTCGAAACGGACAGCCATCTACCTCCATCTACCTCCATCGCAACCAAACGGCAAACATCAATATACCTATCCAAGATTAACGCCGGCCATGGCTGCGGACAGCGGAGCCTTGCATCTGCTCGAGTTCCTGTTCGAGTTGTTTGAACGTTCGATTGCTAGTAGGCTAGCCGACGTAGCCATGTATACTGGGGAAGGATTAAAAAAACATACGCAGCATGAGTGCTTTCCAGATCCTTGTTGAGACGATCTCTCTCGGAGATGAGTCTCTGCTCCCACTGTCTGAACCTCTGTTCTTCGACCTTGACTTGTTCGGTGAAGCGCTTTCTGAGGTTCTCTTCTTCCTCCTTGAACTTGGGGTTGTCGAGCTTTCTGGGGCGGGCCTCGCCGAACTTTCTCGTCTCCATTTGCAAGGCGCGATAGGCCTCGTAGTGGGATTCTTCAGTGGTGTGAATGAGATCAAGCATGTGGGTACGAATGAGAATGGAGCGTAATTTTTTGAAATCACAGTGCTCCTCATTCTCAACCTCAGCTACACCCCAAGCATACTGGCGACCCTTAACGATGCGGCCATCACTGGTCTTGACGTCTTTCTCGGAACCAATGACGGAGAATGGCATGGCAGCCATCAGACTACGAGCATGCTGTGCGGCGTGCTCATCATCCTCCTCAACAGGCGGCTGGTAAATTTTGATGCCCTGGGCCTCGATAACGGCGCGGATCTGAAATGCGAAAAGTAATCAGCTTTTGACAGTTCACTCCATTAGCCTATGTAGGATAGATATTCCCTTACGCGTTGCTTGAAGCGGGCAAGGTCAGATGGGCTCAATGTATCGGCTTTAGCAACCACTGGGATCAGATTGACACGCGAGCTCAGACGTTTCATGACTTCGATATCCAGAGGCTTCAGGGTATGACCGGTTGGCCTGATGAAGTACAAGCAAGCGTGGACACGGAGGTCAATCTTATCAACACGACGAGGCTGTTGCTCCTGAAGCATGTAGGATTCGTGCTGGTCATCAAGGAACTCGATGATAGGCATCCACGAGTCGCGGTTGTTCACATAATCGCCGAATCCGGGGGTATCAATGACCGTCAAGCGAACTAAAATGGGACATGATTAGCTCACATACGCGGTGCAGAGCAGTGCAGAACTGAATTGAATACCTTTGAAGAACTTCTCCTCGAGTTCAGCTTTTGTAATCTCAATCTCTACGGTTTTATCAACCTGCTTGGCATGTCGGCGCTTGTGGTCGGCATAGTTCTTGATTGTGGTCGAGAAAAGCGTGTTAATGAATGTCGTTTTGCCCAATCCAGATTCCCCAGCAACCTATAAAATGTTAACAAGGACGAAATATATATAATAAGAGGGGCTAATTTGTACCATAATAGTAAAGGCAGCTCCCCGTTTGGCAACGATTTTGTGCCTGTTTTATTGTGTTAGCACTACAAGTCCCCCCCGACAAATGATATAGTGTTTGTCGAGGCATACCGTTGATTTGGAAGCTATACACAACCAATGTGTCAGATTCTTCATAATATCAATAATTGGATATAGGACACTACTTACATTGGCAATTCCAATGGGAGAAGCCGTCTCAGAAGTTGGAGGAGCCATGACTACTGAGCGTCAAGAGGGTGTTATATGAGGAAAAAGGAAGTCGAATTACTGGAAGGGGGTGACGATGGACACAGAGCTCCGCACAAGACAACTAGAAACAGAAACACAAGGAGAATCGCGCGGGTTGCAGAGGGTGGCAGCGAGATGAGGAAGAGCGTGAAGTTGTCGTTTCGTTTCTGCTGCCCCTGAAAGCTAATTTCAAGCGAGCAACCACCCCCGGGTTACACTAGGTCGCATACGGCTAGCGTCTCGGATTATCTTGGAGCAGTTTATCCGGGGCCTTATCTCTTGAGCAGACGATTTTTTTGCCCACAATTGCTGGTGGAGTGCATAATGCGCCGATGGTGACTGCGCGAGCTGAGGACGATGAAGACTGATTTCAAGGTATGTGGAAGCTCTACTTGCAGTCTTACTAACTGTTGCTAACGATAACTAAATTTTCTCCTAAGTTTTCCAACCTTCTGGGGACCGTTTATCGCCAAGGAAACCTCATCTTCACTCCAGACGGCACTTGCTTGCTTTCTCCGGTTGGCAATAGAGTTACAGTTTTTGATCTCGTGCAGTACGGGACCCTCGCACCCTTTACAGCTAGGTGCGGAGAAAAGATAAAAGAGACTAACTTTGGTAATTCGTAGAAATAAATCATATACCCTTCCTTTCGCCCACCGCACCAACATCTCGCGAATTGCCCTCTCTCCCAAAGGCAACCTCCTCCTCTCCATTGATCAACATGGAAAAGCTATACTAACCAATTTCCTCCGTCGATTAACTATCCATCACTTCTCGTTCAAGTCTACGGTCACCACGCTTGTTTTTTCACCTTCTGGGCGCCATTTTGCTGCTGGAGTGGGGCGGCGAATCCAGGTCTGGAAAACACCTTCTACACCTGGTGCTGATGGTAATGGCGAACTAGAATTCGCACCATTCGTTCTGCATCGGGAGTATGTAGGACATTTCGATGCGGTGCAGAATATACACTGGTCTGGCGATTCGAGATTCTTTCTCAGCGCCTCAAAAGATTTAACTGCAAGGATATGGAGTTTGGATCCGGAGGAAGGGTTTGAACCGACAACTCTTGCGGGCCACCGTGAAGCTGTGCTAAACGCTTGGTTTACAGAGGATCAGGAGTCGGTAAGGGATATTCCGGAACCACTCAAGTATATCTATTCAAGCCAGCGCTGAACTTTTCCCGTTTCTAGATCTACACTGTGAGCAAGGATGGCGCACTCTTTCGATGGCAATATTGTAGCAAGTCCGATGACCCAGAGGAATTGACAGAAAACTCGGATATGCGCTGGAGGATCACAAAAAAAAACTTTTTCATGCAAAGCAATGCGAAGGTGAAATGTGCAGCATACCATGGAGCTTCTAACCTTCTAGTTGCAGGCTTCTCTAATGGTTTATTTGGGCTCTATGAACTACCAGAGTTTACCCAAATACATAAACTTAGGTATGTTTGTGCTTTGTCTGTACAACTGAAATCAAGTCTAACTGTTATTAGCATCTCACAGAGCAATATTGATTTTGTGACAATGAATGACTCTGGCGAATGGATCGCCTTTGGATCGTCGAAACTTGGGCAGTTGCTTGTGTGGGAATGGCAGTCTGAGTCATATATCCTGAAACAGCAAGGCCATTTGGATTCGATGAATTCCCTCGTATATTCTCCAGATGGACAAAAAATAATAACCGCGGCAGATGATGGGAGAATCAAAGTCTGGGATACAAATTCTGGGTTCTGTATTGTCACCTTTACAGAGCATACCAGCGGCGTCACCGCGTGTCAATTCTCGAAAAAAGGAAATGTTTTATTTACCGCATCATTAGATGGCTCAATCAGAGCATGGGATCTCATTCGATATCGAAATTTTAGAACATATACGGCACCCTCAAGATTAGGGTTCTCCTGCTTGGCGGTAGATCCCAGTGGGGAGGTCGTGTGTGCAGGTTCACTGGACTCGTTTGATGTCCACATTTGGTCCGTCCAGACGGGCCAGCTTCTAGACCGACTGGCTGGGCACCAAGGACCGGTGTCTTCTCTATCCTTTGCTGCAGATGGCAGGCATCTGGTGAGCGGTAGCTGGGATCACACAATCCGAATATGGAGCATCTTTGGCCGCACGCAGACCAGCGAGCCTCTGGAACTACAAGCCGACTTGCTTAGCGTAGCTTTCCGACCGGATGGGAAACAAATTGCCGCCTCCAGCCTTGATGGTCAATTGACCTTCTGGTCAGTCGAAGAAGCCGTGCAGGAGGGGGGAATAGATGGTCGACGCGACGTATCAGGAGGCCGTAAAATATCCGACCGTCGAACAGCTGCCAATGCCGCAGGCACCAAGTCATACAACACGATAACTTACTCAGCCGATGGAAGCTGCCTACTCGCCGCGGGTAACAGCAAATACATCTGCCTCTACGACGTCAGCACTGGCTCACTCTGCAAAAAGTTCACTGTCTCCATCAATACCTCTCTTGACGGCACACAGGAATTCCTCAACAGCAGGGATATAACCGAAGCTGGTCCACGCGGCCTCATAGACGAAGCTGGTGAAGCGTCAGATTTGGAAGATCGCATCGACAAGCGTCTCCCCGGCACTCGTCGTGGCGGCGACGCAGGCGCACGCACCACGCGGCCCGAAGTGCGGGTAACTTCCGTCGCTTTCTCGCCAACCGGCCAATCTTTCTGCGCCTCGTCTACGGAAGGCCTGCTTGTCTACAGTCTAGATACAACCTTCGTCTTCGACCCCTTCGACCTCGACCTCTCTATCACACCCGACAGCATCCTCGATACCCTGGCCGAAGCCAAAGCCGCATCCACCACCTCCCCCCCAACGGACTCATCACCGACAACCCCAACTTCCTTCCTAAAACCCCTCATCATGTCCTTCCGCCTCAACGAAGCCCCCTTAATCCGAAAAGTCTACGAATCGATCCCTCCCACTGACATCCGCCTCATCACCGCCTCCATACCCACTATCTACCTCCCTCGCATGCTCCGTTTCGTCGCCAATTGCGTCGACGAGACACCGCACCTGGAGTTCAATTTGCGCTGGATCGAGGCGTTGCTGAGCATCCATGGCCACTATTTCAAGGATCATAGTGGCCAGCTGGCGGCGGAGTTGCGTGCCGTGAATCGTGTTGTTGATGGCATTCGAGATGAGATTAAGCGGCTCGTCGAAGGGAATGGGTATGCGTTGGAGTATTTGCTTTCAAAGCCGGTGTTGAATGGGAGGAGGGTTGGGAATGGTGGAGGAGACGGTGTGATTGCTGCGGGAAAGGAAAACGGCGTATGTAGCGATGAAGATATGGATGATGTCGGTGATAGTGACGATGGTGGGGAAGGGGGAGAGTGGATTGGTTTGGCCTAATTGAGTATTGTCATTGTAAAATACATGTCTTGACACATTATCTTTTCTCTAATGGAGAGTGAAATATTGTACTATGCATGGTACCTGGATGACGTGTTCTTGATGCCTCTGAATTCTATTTTCCCTTTATGGGACCAGAATCAAAGCATGCGGTGGAGTAAAAAGAGTAGGTGGCGAAAATTTAGCATAGACAGCAAAGATAACGAGCAACACTTCTTGTGGAATTTGATTATGAAATTTCTTCTCTTGATTATCTTCAAGATGTGAGAGAGAAGAGAGTATATATGTCGTCTTCATAGTATAATTTTTATGCAACCATCAAACTGTCTTCGAGGAGCGGATGCACACAATATATCAAAGAACATTAACTGAGGGTCTAATCTTGGTAAGATATATTCCTTTCTGCAGCACGAAGGAATCTTAGGAACTAGAAGTCCAGCCAATTTGAATTAAAGATGGCTTTTGAATGAAGCACTCTGTCAGCATACAAAAGAAAGACTATTAATAGTATATAGCCACTCCATGGATGCGTGGGGGATCCAGAGAATTTGATATCAAACAGAAACAAGGGGTTATATGCCAGCGACGTAAAAAGATTTCAATAGTCGTACACAGGTAGACAAATATGCAAGAAGCCTGTCCAGTTAAGACGGTGGGAATAAATGAAAGGGGATATATCGTGAGAAAAGGTAAGAAGATGCCGCAAATCGCTCCCTCTTCTATCTCCCTCGATCATGGTCGTCGTCGTCGTCCACACGGGCACGCTTCGATCCGCGCTCCTTGGCACCCTCAGCTTCTTGAATACCGTATCTTTTCTGCGTGCTTCCACCAGTAACTTCAGCAATCATTCCATCGATGCCAAATGGGTCGGAAGTATCTTTCTCGAATTGAACTGGTCCATCTCGAGCCTGTGAACAAGGTGTGTCGTCAGTCACGTGATAATATTGGTTCAAATGAACGATGTGTGGAATAGATATATAAGTGGACTAAGCGGGCGAGTTGCATATCTTACCTCTGCATCTGCCGCGCCTTTGAAGCCTTGTTTAGCACGGCCTAGGACTTCAAATCGGCTATTCCGCTCTATTCGACTCATCTCCGCACCGGCCGCTTCCTCGTCATCAAAGTCGTCTGCTTGTGCCCGAGGGCGGTAAATACTATTGATGGCATCTTGTGCGGCGAAAAGGGGTTTGTCATATGGCTGATCTTCATTGAATCCACTCTCGAACCCGCTCGTCTGGTTGAAAAGTCGGGAGTCATACATCGTCTCTTTACTCTGTGTTGGCTTTGCAAGGCCAAGTGCGACCTTCTCGGAGATATCACGGTTTTGTTCTCGCGCCATCATCTGGATACGACGCTCAGTACCCATACGGGATTGACGAAGCTGACGTTCAGCTTCTTGTCGTTGTTGCCGACGCCGGCGTTCACGTTCTCTGGCAGCATCTTCATCTTCACTGGGCGTGGCAGAACGGGATGAATATGGTGATGGACTTCGGCTGCCGCTAATAGATCGTGAACGTGTTCGCGCTCGAGATTCCTGGCGACTTGTGCCACCCGACCTTGCCTCGCGTGCCTTTTGAGCTAGTTGGCGAAGATGCTCTTCTTTCTGTGCCTTTTCCTTCTCTGCTAGCTTCTGTTGCATTTGAGCTCTCTGTTTCACTTCCTCCCGGGCATGACGGTCAGCTGTAAAGAGGGCTTCCGCAAACTGGGCAAATTTATCATTGATAGAAACATCCTGTAAACCACGTCCATCGGCCGCCAATCGTTTATCCAGCGGAACAGTATAGCCTCTAGGGTTCTTCCAATTTGAAACAGGGGGGGGAATCCTCCATGCTTCTTGATCTTCTGCAGTAAGTTTCCGGGGTGGTGAGTGCATGACCGGCGGTGGCGGAGAGGGAGGACCGCGAGGAATCTTCTTATGCTTGAATTTCGGGGGCTCCATGGGGTCAACTTGTCTCTCTACAATCTTCATAATTCTATCATTTTTCTTGCTTGTATCACCCATCTGATTTGCGGGTGTATACCTCACGAACGTGGGTTCGTTCCTTTTCCCGCCCTTGACATTTTTTGGCTTCTGCGCCGCAACAGCCCCAGTCACCAATTTTGCCAGCGCAGCTTTGGTTTTCTCCATTTGCTCCGCCACCTCTTCTTGTGAAGGCCGAGCTAGAGATATTTCGCCCATATCTACGCGTTGGCGGAGAGGTATTAGGTCTTTGAAAGAGGCGTGGACAATCCGATTCTCGCCATGGCCCTGTTTTGCAATGGCGTCATATTTAACCTTCCCTTCCGCATCAACTTGGACAGCTAAAGCATTTGACGTTGATGAGGTGCCTTTCCGCCCCATATCGAGGGGATATTGAGCTACTGGGATTTCAGGGAACGCGCCACCATCTGCAAAGTCTTCAGGGTTTCGAGGTCGCCATCCTGAACGCCTGCCATACGGGGGTGGGCCAGCTGTCTATAATAGATGGGCAAAGTAAATGAGCATTTATTCTCTAGTAGTGGCAACGGTAGACTGTATATAGCGACTCACTTTTAGAACAACTTGCGATTCGTTGACAGCACCAGCTCCCACGATTCGTGGGCCTTTGGGTTGGGTATGTGGCGGCAATTCTTCATCTTCGCCGGTGTATTTCGGTTTCGGAAGGGATTTGAAGAGCCCCTGCGCGATAGATGTCGCCATAGTAAACAATTTAAGCCACAATAGCCGGAACAAGAATGGCTGTAGGGGGGAAGGGTAAGCTCGTTGTCGAGAGCGGGCTCATGGGGCAGTGATGGTTAAAGTTTGAGGTTTGAGATGTCCGTGACGCTGTTGGCATGTTTGGGCTACCGGAGATATATGACTAAACTAGCCAGCTAGCCGCGCTTGCTTCACCTTCCGATCTCAAGCAACCAAGAAGCCACTTCAACAGCTTCAACGACATCTCGTATTATTAAATCTCAAAAACGGTAGCTAGCTTGCCCTTGAGTTCCTACGGAGAGTCGAGATTGTTCTCACCTTTCCAACTAAGTCATTAGTGGATACTTACCGCTTAAACACCAATTCGACTGGCCAGGTTTTCTAGTATGGTTGAGATAACATTTCAAACTACCAGTTTCCTTATATACAGCTTTGACATTTTTTCATTGTTATATTTGTTCATTTGTATTTTGATTCAGCAACTGTATACGTAATTCTTGAACTGCAACTCCTGTTAGAAGAGCTAAATTCCACAGAAATCTGAGATAGATTCCCGCACCGCATCTCCCAGCCGGGCCTGAAAACTTCAAGAGGATTGATAAATCTACAGCCCAATTTCATAATGGAGAAAAGACTACGGCGTAAGAAATCTTCCACTTCCAAAGTCAGCTGACAATTTAGCTTCTTCTCGACGCTCTAGAGATCATGCGAGTACACTCCAAACTAGAACGTCTACGGTCCCACTAACATGGGCGACACCCTTTTCATGTGAAGGCGCCCTGCGCATCCTGCGAGTGCTCCAGTGGCTAAAGACCTGGGCGACAACCAAGTACTAGCCTTGGCTTGTGAAAAGTATCTTTGAACCGTTGTTGGCGCGGCCGGAATTGGTGTTGGGAGATGCGCAGGAAGAGGAGGAGGACCTATCAATCCGTAGATCTCCACAGTACCTGATTCGCAGCGTCTTGCACAACTTGCAACGTCGAAAATTGGACACTCGAGGCGAGGACGAGTGTCAGCCATAAAGGGAAGAAGCAAAGGGGGTGCGAAACATGTATGTGGAAAGGCTTCATTCAGGGAAGCTCTGAAGTCAGGCTGAACGAGTTTTATGTACTTCTAGCCGGATCCCAGAACGACGTGGAGAAGGTTACTCAGCAGGGCGCCACCATGCCGCTGGGCAAGGACAATGGCAATGGCAATGGCAATGGTAATGGCATATTATGGAGAGCCTTTGGGCTGTCGTCATGGAAGATTTCGCCAGGCAAAGTTTACCGTGTATGGAGGCAGAGGTTGGAGGGAATTGGAACCCAAAAAAAAAAAAAAAAAAAAAAAAAAAAAAAAATTGCCGTGGAATTATCAGTCTTCAACGCGAAACTCTGCTTTCATGCTTGCATCCATTGAGCACTAACTACTACTAAAGAAGTGCGTACTATAACTAAATCAAATTGATAAAAGAAAGGAACGAAGTAAACGTAGAGAAACAAATGGGGATTGGGTGGGGGGAACCAAAAGAGAAAAAATAATCAGAAGCGAAACAGTAATACGTTACCTGCGCCTTGAATTTTGCATGTTGCATGTTGCATTGTCCATTGGAACATATTAACTTATGCATGTGAACCTCTCGCAATAGGGGAAATAGAAAAATACGAAAAATCAAACCACTGAGCTAATGGGGGGGTGAGAGGGATGGCGAATTCCACCACATTGGAGCTTCAATCAGCTTTAAAACAAAACAAAAAAAAAAAAAAAGGATTCAGAAACGTCAATGCAAACTAGATAGAAAAACCACAAATGAGGAAAAAATAAAATCACAGATACTGAGCATGAGACGAGAAGATGAAGAAGAGGAAGAAGAAGAAGAATGTAATTATCGCTGTCAATAAATCCAGTTCCATCACCTAGCTCCTCCCACCAACCCCTTCTGCCTGCCTTAGGCCCTATGCACAGTCATTATTAACCCCCACACTCTCGCCATTTCAGTCTCGAGAGCAGTGCGATGGAATTGTAAAGTGTCAAGTGTGCAGGTGCGGTGTACGGCTGGGGAGGTCGATATCGGGAGGGAAGGTCAGTGTAAATGAATAGACCGCGTTTGATCGTTCGTTACTTCGTGAGCGTAGATATGCTGAGTCATTGAGGGGCAGGGTAATTGGTGATTTTTCGTCTCTCGAACTTTACGGTGATGATGATTTCGTGGTGGTTAGTTGGGTCAGGTGTATATGATTGCTGTGATTTTCCCCTAGGTTGCCTTGTGTTTTTGAGGAGGCTGCTCAAAGTGAATTATGATGTATTGGCGGAGAATGGAAAGTAGGATGGTGGAAGTTAGTCGACGGAAAATCCACAAGGAGGGCGTCAGGGACCTTTGGGAAATGATATGTTAGATTGGCACAGAAGATCAGGAGACGGATAGGGACTTTGAACAAAGAGAAACTAAGGTGTATCGATGATAAAAATGAACAAATAAATAAGTAAAAAACCTACCCAGAACCATCATCGAGCATACCAACCTGAAGGGGGAAAATTACAAAAAAAAAAAAAAACCATAAACATAAACATAAACCCCCATGATCCTTCTTCCCACAGCTCCACCCAACCTATTTAAGCCCTAGTTTTAGCATGGACCCGAAAATATGGATATCCAGACTTGGACCTGTGCCACTGGCCATGCAACTTATTTTGAATATCCGTGACGGTGCGGAGAGTCCAGGACCCATCCAGGTTGTGCACCCACAAAACCTGTCCAGGGGGCGGGTTACACGGGACCAGCTGGCGGGGGACATTGGCCCCATTGACCTGTGCAGCGGCCACGTTCTGAGCATGGAGCTGCTGGGGGTTAGGGGCAAACAATTGCTGGAGTTGCGGTTGCTGAACAGCGACGGGAGCAGGAGGGGCAGCAGGGGCAGCAGGGGCGGCAGGGGCTGCCCATCCAAACCAGTTCGGAACTTGTGGCTGGGCTACGGCGATTGGCTGGGCACCGATTCGTCCATGCTGGTTGGGGTGGAGATGGGTTAGCTGTCTGTATTTGCTTATAGTTGGGGGCGGGGAAGCAAACGCGAGAGAGATGTGGAGGGTTAGGAAAGGAACAGGTGCAAAGAAAGAAAGAGAAATGTGGGAGATCCTGATGAACACAAATGGGAAATAAGGCACTGCATACTAGGAATAAACAAGCAAATCAACAGTAATAAGAATAGTAGTAATTGGAGTGAGAAGTATAGTAGTCATAGTCAGGAACAGCAGAAGGAGAATGAAAAGGGGGAACAACAGCGACCATGACAGCCTGGTTCGGTGCGTTATTCACGGGCGCGGGGGCTGGAGCTGGAGCGATAGCAGGAGCAGCAGGCGGCACTGGGGCCGGGTTATGGTTTTCAATGACATGGCCGGGAAAGGGATGGGCAGCCTGCAGCGCAGCATGTTGTGGATGGGCGGGATTCTGCATGGGAATAAACTGGAAAACAGCGGGTTGGGGATGCTGCTGTTGCTGCTGTTGCTGCTGCTGCTGATGCTGATGATGCCCGGACTGGATGGGAGCCAAGAAGAACGCCATGGCGACGGGGTAGAGAGGACAGACAGTGTTTTGGATGGAGATGAGAGATAGGAGGTAGTGATGAAAGAAAGAGGTGATGGTAAGGAAGAGGAAAGGTAGAGATTGGAAGAAAGGGAGACAATGAGATCGTAGCAGAGGAGAGGAAAGGAGAAAAGCCAGGCAGGATAGTTCGAGTGAGGAGTGAGGAGTGAGGAGATGAACCGAGTGAAGAGGAAAAGTGAAGTGTGACGAGCAGGCAGACAGACAGACGGTTGGGCCGGTGACAGAACGCCAGATGAGAAGCAAGTGAACGACGAAAGGGAACAGGAAGAAAACAGAAATGGATAAACAGGCGGGAGAAGGCAGCGGGGAGTCAGGCAGCAAAAGCACACCGCAAGAGCAGCAGGAAAAAGTACATCGTTAAATATATATATTTATATATATATCCATTTATAATATACAACCCCGCACAGAGCATCACAAGGGCATGAAGAATCATATGCATATTACAAGTATACAGATCGAGACACTTACTACGACTGGATCAGCCAGCACAAACTGGTCGCCCGGATTCACCATGCAGAATGTCACATCCTTCTCCTTCTCCTTCTCCTTGTCCTTCTTGGGCGCATCCTCGATCACATATGCCTTGTAAGGCGTGCCCCACCACATACACATCCTAAAACCACCGTGGTGCTGAAGGCGTACGGGAACAAATGGCCGGTATGTCCCCTTTTTTATTAAGCAGTAGAACGTCTGCGGGAATGCAGGCAGTGGGCAGTAGGCAGCGGGGGGAAATTAGGGGAGCAAATGGAAAGGGAAAAAGGTGAGGAGGCGAAGAGGAAAAAAAAAAAGGCTTGATTGAGGAGAGGAGGAATAAGAGGAGAGGAAAAATGAGGAGGTGGCTGTTAGAGAGAAATCGAGAGTGAAAAACTAGATGACGTTCAGCTATCTATCATTCACTGCCCAAGCTGCGAGCGGCTTGGGATGTATCTAGACCGTCTGGCAGATGGATAGGGTTTGTTGACTGGCCGGCGGAGACGGGGATAGTGAGGCGGAATGGGTCGATGCTGGCGTGCAACACTATTAGGCGGCAGGTCTATATTGTATAAATATATTATTATATAAAATATATATATATATATACAGTGCAGAAATGAAAACCTGGGTATCTCCATTCTGCTGCTTCCTGCTTGCCATTATTGCCATTCTGTTTGAAAACCTTCATGCTCGTTTTTTGTTTCTATCTTAATGAGCTCTGGCAACTGGTATATTAATCCGTTATCAGCCTGGGGGGACAGCGGAGAAAGAGACAAGGTCTGGGTGGAAGTTGTGGCCGCAGCCGAATGTGGTATTACATTATCGCCACCTCTCAGACCATGACATGATACGGCGGTATCTCCAAAGAAGTCCGGGATAACAGGCATCTTAGAGAACAAAAAGGCGGTATGATCAGAAAGATCCGGGGCTGTTGGTCGTTTCTATCGTTGCCGTGGTCGTTGTTGTTGCCCTGTGGAACCTATCAGGATGAGCTATATACCAACCCAACAACAAAAGGCAAACAGAGCCCTGGAGCAACAGGCCGCGGTGGGAAGGCATTGGATGGCGCGAAGGTTTAAAAAATGGAAGTGTGGTTGCATCGCGTTCTATTATTTACCCTGTTTCTTTTTCTTTATCTTTTCTTTTTTTTCCTCTCCAGTTGAGAAAAAGTTAGTTTTGATGGAAGGGCTCTCTTACCGCCTCGAGTGGTGGGGATTGAGAGAAGATGAAAGTTGAAACGGGAAAAAAAGATGAAAACCAGCCAACAAAGACGGGGAGCATCATCCTTGCACTTGGCTTGGTAGCTAGAGACGAATGAGAAAACCTTGACGAGGCGATGCGATGGAACGTGATAGGAATCTTTTTATTTTTATTTTTTCCCTCCCCCGCCCCTCGCCCCTCTCTCTTTTATTCCAACTTTAGTGCTTTTTGTTCTGGAACAACAATGCAACTGTCAAATATGCGCGTAAACCCGAAGTCAAGTGGAGGGCAAATAAATATGAGGTTCCTTTGTTTGTCAACAGGGTATAAGAGACCAAGTAAGGCATCAGGCATCAACAATCGTAATAATATATCCAAAATACAAAACTTGATCAAGCCTTTTGCTCCGACTCCCGCTCTGGTAATACCGCGCTGGAGGGCGAATAAGAAGAGAAGCTCAAATAACTCAAATATGTTAATCCCGACGTTAAACGTCGGCGTCGTGTGAGCCATTAAGAAACAATTGCAGACAAAGAAAATCTGTTAGTTATTGCGTCTGGTAGTGTCTTGGCGGGGTGGGAGAGCGGGAGATGGCTGGAAATCCTTCTCAATTCGTTCCCTGCCAGGGGCAAAATAAATGTTGTTTTGTTTTTTTAGGGAGTGTGTTAATAAATGGATTGAGCCCCCACAAAAATCATTCCTGTTTTGCTGGTTAATATCCAAGAAAATTAGAAATAAGCCAAAACGGAAGAGCGGAAAGCAGCAAGATCCTCTCATCGTTGACGGTGTCGCAAAGTGCTCACCTTTCGAGAAGTATATATCCTCTTCTGTACATACACGACACCCAGATGTCTGCTAAAAGGCCGGATGCAGTTAGCCTTGGGTTCAAAATTTGGCCGGAAAAGAAATAGGCAAAGAACAGCAGAGAAAAAGGAAAAAGAGCTGGCACGCGAAACAAGTCGAGAAATCTTTGGTGAACCAACCAAGAAAAGCTCTCTATTATGATAATCAGAGCAAGTGGGACTTCATCGGGCAAGTTATTCCTTCAGAGTCCCAAGCCTCAACCAGGTGCTCCCTGCCAGCGAACCGATACCGCACCCGCAGCAGTTTTGGACGGAATGGGAATGGATCATAGAACCCAGGTATATGTGACTGCAATGGCTGATATATTAGTATTTGGTGTTTGTTATGTCTGCCTGGTTAAATGGGGGAAAAACGAAGGCGGATAGGTTTGATGGGGAGTTAGAGACCTTATTGACTCGGCGCGATAGAACCAACTGTCCCTGATCAACCAGTGCCGCGACCGGAATCGTGACATCTATCATGCCTTCTTCATAGCATTCGTCAACTGCAGTGGTCCCGTTTTGTTGCTTCTTATTCTTCAAGGTAGCGGTTGGCGGACATCCATATTCAGCGTGAACGACCACCAACCCGTCTCGATCAGCTTCCCGATCCTGCCTTCGCAAGACCTGATCCCTCATCATTGAAACTGCCTGCACGCTTTCTGCTTTCCGCTTCGCAACCAGTTTTGTAAGTCTCTTTTGCATCTTTGCGATTTCCTGCTTTTCCCTCCGCCGAGCCCTGGGACGCAGGTATCCAAATTCAACCGCTCCATAGACCGCGGCCGGCATTATGACCGCCAAGGTACACAGATCACCGGTGATTTTGTCAACGGGACATAAAGCTATGGGTATTTTGAAGGTTTGCCCCAATCTACTCCATGAGACGCTGCAACCAAGCCCCATGCCGCCAATTGTAGACACTGTCAATCCCATGCGGGTGAATTCGCCAACTCTCCGTGAGCCAGACAGGGACCAGCCCATGCTGAGGTCACTCTCAATCACCACGCGAAGTCCTAGCCGTATGGCACCGCTGCCACTCCGACTTTTGCTGGGATAATAACCCTCGCTACTCCACTCGGAACGTAATGGCTCCGCCGGCTTCCGTGCAAAAATCGTCCGTCCATATTGCATGGTTAGGTTAACGCCCGCTGGCGACGAACCGAGGTTGAAACCCCAGGTCTCATTGGGCTCCGGCAGCTGCTGAGGCTGCTTGGGGTGGTTATGGTCATGGTCTGGAAAAAGCATATCCCTATCACCTTCATCCGTCTCGTGATCATCGTCATGTGGGTCTGCAGGTAGCAGTATTGTCGGCAAGCTTGTGTATCCGATCGAAATGCCACTCATCGAATATATTCTCAGAAATTCCCCGTATTGGTCGCGTTTGCTAGCATCCATGAAAATACCCATAAGGAATTCTGGCCATGAAAGCGATCCTGATGACCAGTCACAGGTAACTACACCTGCTGCGCCTACCATACGTGATATTGTTAGGCCAAGATCGGGAGGGCATAGCAACGGAGAAGACGAGCACGTAGATTTCACGGTGAGTGAAAATGGTCTTGTTCCTTCTATCGGAGTTATAAGTTTGCTGATGCTTGCTTGAGCAAGAGGCTGGGGTAGAAGAGGAGTATTGATGGTCACCACTGCGTCACCGAGAAACGATAATAGCGGCCCTTTGAGGATACTTCGTCTGGAAGGGTCACTGCTGATGACGTGTGTAAATGTAGCTCCGAAATTAACGTTCGCATTGCGAATCGTTAGAGGTATTTGCATCTACGAATGTAAGTGACCGTCGTTTTCAAAAACTAGACAATTGAAAAAACATAAGCCAACACCTACTTGTCCGTCAAATTTTTCTCCTGTCTCCGGGTTTAAAAGTTTGACGGTCTGAACCGTCTTTCCAAAACGACCGTTTACTGAAGCCTGTAGTTGCAACTTAGTAGGCATTTGATTTGCAGATAATCCATCACCCGTTGGTGGTTCATCTCTATCTTCATTTCCCTCTCCATTCGCCGCTGATTTTGAGGAGTAAAACCAAGAAAGATCAGGAAGTGGTATGGGAAGCGCGTATCCAAGTAAAAACGCTGATGGCCTCAGGTTGGGTACACGTATCGAGACATCTCCGTCCGGTGTAGTCTCGAACATAGATGTCGCATCCACTGAAAGGTGAATCACTCCCTTGGTCATGTCAGTATGTCAAGAACAGAAAAGGGCTCGGGGACAGTGGTGTTGTCAGGTCGGATATTTCCAGAGAAGAATAAACGCATGCTCCCCGAAAAAGTTCTCTCATGCTTTCTGAAGGGGCTCATTCAACATACACTAGCATCCACTAGGTCATTCAAAATGGCCCTTTCCCGACGCTTCATGGCCTCCAGAAACCAGCGACGGAATTCAGCTTCGTCCATCGCCTTCACCCCGATTTGCTGGCTTTCAGCGTATCCGTTTCTACCCATCAGCCCTCCCTCCGCCCAAGTGTGCCGCACTCCTTCTTCACCCAGCATGTCATATACAACTCGCTTCTTGGGATCTAACAGAGTCTCATATGCGTCACGTATCTTGTTATAGTGCGCCGTAGCTGCCTCTCTTAGCGCTTCGGGTTGTTTGTCCGGGTGGAAGCTGAGCGTCAACGTTTTGTAGGCCGAGCGTATTTGCGCTTCCGTCGGCGGAGGGTCTCGAGCTAATGCGAGCAAGCTGTAATAGTCAATGGTCTCCGGGTAATCCTTTAATCGGTCATAATCATTCTCTGATCCATCGGAGCAATGGCCGCCGCCGTTTTCTTCGTCGGCTTTCGGCATGTTCGCCCCGTTGATGGCAGAGACATTTGAGCCATTGTGCGCGTTCTGTCCGTCAGGGTTGTCAGAGCGGCTTGTCTGTGGCATTGTCCACATTTATCCACCCATCTAATCGGATTTACAGGGCGGGGAAGGTTATGGTTTGCTCCAGCGCATTGCTTGGATAGAGGCTGGCTATCGGGACGTGGTCGGTCCGGGCAATCTGCCCGCTGGCCTCTTCCTGGCAAGAAGCTGCAAGATTTGGCTTTTCTCAAATAAACTTCACAGCCACAACTACACGCAAAAGCACCATTCAGGCCTTTTTGATACTGAATAAAGAGTCGCAACTGCATGCTAGCTGTTATAGAAACCTATGTTCTATACATAGCTAAAAACCCCTAGGGATGCCAGCGACTGGATCTATTATGGCAATACACTACAAAGAAAATAGGTAGTAAGTTCCACTGTGCCTACGGCAGCTGATTGATTGTCCAGTTGAAATTCATTCACAACCTTCACACAGAGCAGGTCCTCGCGACAAGCATTAAGCATTATATATGTCCTTTTTGCCGGAGCTGTAGTGGGTGTTGATGATGGATCTTATTGTCTCGTTAACTTCCGCCCCATACCATGATCGAGGAGACGTTCTGGCAATTTCCTTATCCATCCCCCTTGTTTTGTTTCGATATGCTGTTAACAAGAGAAAGCTTGCGCAATTTCCTTTGCTCCAAGTATAAGAGGAGTAGAATAAGAGAAAGAAAAATCATAGCTATGGCCAGTTGCATGTAATAATTGAAGCCAAACGCTCGCTCTATAATCCAAGTGAAGTATTAATAGTTGAAAGTTTCTATAATCTAGACAAAAAGGAAGGGGTGGAAATGTTATGGTCGGGAAATTGGAGGGTAGCTGAGACCAGCGAACCATCGACAAACTGGGATTGAGAATTGGAAAATATACAACAGAATTGTACAGGGTAACTATTGCGTATGGACTATGACTCGGAATTTGGAAAACTGAAGTTCATAACAGTGCAATGCACGACGAGGGTTTAGGCGCGTCAAAACGTGTATTGAAACTGGGGGGAAGGTGTTAGGGGGGGAGGGAGGCCTTTAAAGATGCTTAATGTTAGAGCGTTACCAATCGAAAATTATCGGTGAGGGATAAAGATGATAAACGACAATTTCCAAGTTCAAAAATATGCACGCTTCGTGAAAAAAAAATAAAATAAAATAATAGGCGGTAAGGAGAAAAGGCATCAGCCTTTCAGAAGAAGGGATATGGCGGATAGTTCAATCATGAAAGGAACCATGCGCCAAATTTCATTGCCTCAACATAAGGCAGGCCTACTCTTCACATGGAATCCACAGCACCTCACCCCTCTCGACAGATATATCATGGAGTCCGAGCGCATGGAAATAGGTCTCTCGGGGGAGGCAATAGACCAAATCCCCTCTCCCGGTTGCAGTATAAGGGTTGCTTTTGCCCTGTATTGGTGGTGACGGCGCATTGGAACCAACACCGTCATTGGCAGGCATCAGCCTATCGATCACAATGAGGTCAAGCGGCCGCCCCTGAACGGAGAAACCACGCTTCCCGCTCGACCGGTCCTGTGTACGAATTGCATCTGTGATCTGCTCCAGGCGCCATTCAATGACTCGCAGCTGCTCTCGCGAACCATGCCAGAACCGCGAAACTTCGGAAATCACCCTTAAGCCGCCGTGTATGAGGGCTGAGTAGTATGACATATCTCGAATGGAGCCACAGGCGCAGAGGACATCTGTGGCTGATAATATGGCATTGCCTGTCAGGGGTGTGGAGAATGTTATCTGGGGAGGCTGTGGATTACTTGGCTGAGTGCCACCCTCCTCATGTGCATTCAGATGTTTGCTAAGATCATACGCAATGCGGAGGACCTCGACGGAGTGGCTGTAGGAACGGCGGACGTTTCGCTCGACTATATGCTCAGGTAGGTCTGGGTGGCGGACGTATCGGTTTAATCTCATCATTGTGGCATGGTAGAGAATATGCACGCTTGCGAAGACATCTACCTTTCCGGCTTGGATGTTCAGTTCCATATTTTCAACGCTATATGAAAAATACCGTGGAAGACTTGCGAGCCATTTATCAGTGCGTTGCACTGTTGAAGAGTAGAATTCTTCGAAACGCGCGGCGTAATTTGATGGCGAGATGTAAGTGGCGCGGTAGATATGCTCAAGCACATCCCCCCAAATAGCAGATACTTCGACTAAGAAAGCCATTGGGTCAAGCGCATTCCTCTCTTCGGGCAACGAGGTGTCTGCCGGGATAATACCATTTTCAAAATAGGGCATATTAGCCCATTTTTGATTCTCGTACCAGTCTGCTCTTAGCGGCAACCGCAGAAAGATATCTTGCGGCTTGAGCACTGTTGGAGAATGGACTGGGGGCCCGGCATGTCTCTGTGCAAGAAAAAGGATCAGTTAGCTAAGGGAGAGAAAATATGGAGCATATATGGAGCGAAAACTAACGTCCATAAGGAAAGCCGCCCAAAAAGTCCTCCTCTGGCATTCAAGCATAGTTTCTGCTTGAAAAAACTCGTCCCGCTCTGGCGGGTTCCGTGGCGCGGGACTACCATGTTCAACATTGAGTTTCAGGCCGCATATAGTGCGCATGGCAGAGCCAGTAAAGTCGGACGCTGTGGCCGACGCGCCGATCGTGAAATGCCACATTCCAAGGATAATTCGAGTTTGAGCTAGGTGTAAGGTTGGTTTGTTTTGACTTTTCTCCACCGCGTGCCTTGCGATTCTCGCAAACCTCATTGCGTCTGCTCTTTGCTCCTTTGTATTGCCGAAAATAGCCCCCATAGCAAGCATAGAATACAAGAGCATTTTATCATCAAGAGATTTATTGGGACAATACTTCAGCCATCTCAGGAATGGCTCGCGAGGGAATATACAGTAGGTTGCACCGTTAACATAATGGAAGTACATATTGAGATAGCGCATGGTTGATTCCGGGTGGGTATGGTAGGGATCTGTTTCCCATTCCGACAACGTTGGATCGTGGAGATCCATCGCAGCCATTTCTGATAAAATATCATTCACGGGGTATGGATCAGGAGTTGTCACCATATCTTTGGCCTGTTTAGAGTAGTCATCTCCGTCGAGGCCAATGACATTGTCAATGGCGTTCGTTGAGGCTCGCCTTCTCCTTTTCAGAGGCCTGTCGGGTTTCGGGCTTAATCCGCCAACATCGTGCATCAGTGCGCCTGGGTCACAAGATACTGCAGACGACGACATGGTCCGGACTGGACTCCCAGTGGGAATACAGGAAGTTGGGTGCCTACTTGGCGAGGAGCTAGTCCGTTGATCAAGTGATATTGCTGGAGTGTGATGGCCTGTAGAGCATTGCGAGCTCTTTGCAATTTGGTTTCCCCGAGGTCTATCAAAGCAAAGATGCGTTTTGTTAGGTATCATGAACGGTGCGAAGGGAAAAAAAAAACGGACTCTAAAACTCACGAATTTTCAAATCTACATTCTCTTCCCGACTTCTGGCACTGATCACACTTGGGGATATTGGGAATACACTTGATTTTCTTATCTCTGCAGGTAAAACACGCCTGTGCCAGCCGTTTTCTTGGCTTTCCAGCTTTTGTGACTCCCCAATTGGCATTAACAGGCTCACCATCTATTACCTTTGGGCAATGGGTACCATCAGAGTAGATGTAACAAATACCCTCACCCTCAATAAACCGCTCGTCTACCACATGAGCCAGGCGCGGTTGATTTGGCCTAGGTGGTGAGCCTGAGCGGAAAGTAAGCTCACAGGATAACGAAGACGGCCCTGATGCTGGAGAAGTTTCAGAATTAGATGGGTCGCGTGGATATGGAAGATGGCTATGGTGGTGATGGGCTAGAGGAGTCTCAGAGCTGCTCCTATTGTTTTCGGTAAACAGATGATGCCGCAAGCCTGCTGCGTCCAATCCGACTTGCGAAATTGGAGGTAGCTGGTGGCGAGAATAAGATAGATTCTGTCCTTGTCCGTGGGAAAAGTCGACCGGCCCGAGTGTAGACGGCCTTCTTTGACGTGAGGTGGTCTCATGGCTTGGATGACCGCTTGGCTGAATGCACTCATCGTGGGTCTCAACAATTGTGGATTCGTGTGGTCTGCTGCTGTTAGGCGGCGAATTTTCGTGACCTGGGAAAGGACGGTGTGGATTTCCCAGATAGGAATACGACACTGGTGTAAGAAGTTGGCTGACTGATGGCAGTTGATCCTGCACTGGATATCGGCTTTTATATTGGGTTGGGTTACGATCCGCCATAGAAACAGGGGACTCCATATGTTCCAACGGAGCCGGTGAGTCGTCGGATACAAATTCCCAAGAAGATGTCTTGCGGGGCGGAGGAAGCTGGTAATTGATTAACCTCTTCGATGGCGTTGAGATATCTTGCGATTCTTGCGATGTGGTGCTGTCCTCAGGTGAAGGTAAGGTGCGCCCGAACGGCCCCACAGGAAACCCCGACATGACTCGAGGCTTTTCAATCTAGACTTGTATGCGGAAATATTTGGGTACTCTATCCGGGATATCGGTAGAGGAGGCTTTTTGAACTCTATACTGCAGCCGACTGCTTGCAGTTCGTTCAGAGGCTAGTCGCTGGTTCTCATCGAGCCAGAATGGAGTGAAAGAGATCTAGTTCACACGACCAGTCACGGTGCTGTATACCTGGAGGCAAATCAAAAACAGAAACCTCCAGTGGTTTCTCCTGGACCCTGACAAGCCCCTTCCTATATTCCGGTTATTCTGAGGCCACAGCTTTGAAGAGGTAGAAATAGACATCGGAGGCCTCTGCCAATATCGAAGAATATGTAAGCCTGTCCACTTCGAAGCGTGCGCTCCTCAAACAAATTCTAGGGACGGAACAAATGACGGAACACGATCGGCTTTAAGCCATGGTACTGGACAGGGCCATGCAGATCACAACCTGATGATGATGGTGAAGATGAAGGGGGAGGGAAATAAAGATGGTGCTCCAGTAAACCATGGCTATTTTGAATGTGTCGGCAGATGAAATAATGTTGCAGCTCACGCAGACCAGGATAAGTGACTTCGCCCTTGCTCCCATTCGCGGGACATTTCAACAAGCGAACTTCGACCCAGTCATTAGCACCCAGAGCACTGGCCTCCAGTAAGCCTGGGGTGCCGGAGTTAGAGTTCAGCCCGGGATTTCGTTGAGCTGGGCGCCGGCACTTTTCAGATATGGCCCCTCAGCTTGACCAATTAGTGACAGTGGGGAAGCATAATCAGAGGGGTGTCCACTGGCCAAGTGAGAATCAAGAGGCGTGCAGGATGATGGATGAGCGCTTGAAGCGGCCGCCGTAGTGTTGAGAACTAATTATTAGCGTCAAGAACCAGCTTCAAGCAAGCGTCGCTCATTTTCTGGTCACAGCTTCCAAGGTGCGCGAACCTCGGGAGAATTTTCGTTCTTTTTTTGGATGACAGAATGCAAGAAGCCGACAGAAGATTGGAGGGGCCTCAAGTTCTGGCCTTATGGCGCTATGATTCCCAATGCGAGCTATCCGGCAGTTAAGCCAGACCATGATTGCTCATCCATACAGGCTCGCCAGCGGGGTGTCAGACTTCAGGGGCTTGAGAACCCTAAATCAGCATGTGGCAAGCGAGAGACAAATTTTGGCCGGGATATCAATTTAGCGTTATCGAAAGGGATTTGTTCACCGGCAGACCCAAACAGAGAGAAATTGAAGGAGGGACCTGATGCCGATGTATGGTCCAGACATGATGGAAAACGCCAATGAAGCTTTCGATGACGGCTCCATCTACCTGTGGCCCAGTGCAGAATCGAGGGGATTGGGGGCTTGAGACACGCCGGCCATGTGGTTGCTGACCCTTCACGGCGCAGCTCTGCCTTGTGGCCGCAAACTGACTGTCAGTGTCACAGCGCAAGGGGACCCGCAGGAAGGATCAGCTTTTGCGCTGACCAGCAAGATCAAGCACAGGCCTTTGTTCCCTGGAATGGATAATCTAACCAGGTGCCCAGAAAGGAACCAGACCCACTACTTCATGTCTGCTGTGAAAGCCATATACTTACATTAGAGGAGGGTTATGGAGTAGCTATTCTCGTCAGAGCGTCCGTGAGGCCACCTCCAGTTATATTTCGTGTATATGCTGGAGCCGCAATTATCACCTCCTCCATGTATGGGCTTTGCTTCAAGTTCTCTACTGCCTTACACCATAACCTGATGTGTGTATAGCAGAATCATGGAGTGTGGGTAAATTTGCCTCTCCCGTTTCAAGCGAATATCGCCCAGGTAATCAAATATCATTCCGAGGGCAGCTCGAAGAACGGCCTGCAGACCTGGAGCCAGTTCTGTACACGTACATTTACAGTACATGTCCTGTCCACTGCGAACATGCCTGATGCCGCCTTTTATCCGAGGGATGCCAACCTGTCAGGGGCCCTGGTCTGGGGCACGGGCAACGAGGCAAAAGTCCCGATTAAACACGTTCGGTAATGGCGGTTGTATGCACAGCTTATTTTAGTTGGAAGTAGTCGGCAGGCTCAGCGCTAACTTCCAAGTTTATGTTCAAAGAACTATAATTAAAATATTATGATTATTATAAATATCCCCGCACTCCCTTTGCAAATTTCAAATCCAAGCCGCAGTTCCTATCGAGAAATATTGGGTAACAAATAGAGAGCGGACGTGGACTCGGTGGTCGGGCAGGGCTTTAACTTCCCTTAATACAAGTCCCGGGAACAATACCATCTTGCTCTTCTGTGGGAAGGGGAGAGATCATTTCCTTCTCTGGCTGTTGGGCGCCCAAATTGCTGGCAAGGATAGAGGAACCGAACCGTCCTCACCTGTCAGCCGCGTTACGAGGAAAATGCCAATTTATCAATATTGCTCCCGCTGCTCCCCGCCTCTGACTGGCATGAACTCGGTTGTGAATGGATGGTCTAGGGAACTAAGTGGAGACGCCTGGGTCTGAGCGACTTTTCAAAGGTTTGGAGCAGTGTTTTAACCAGACGGACAACTTCTTGGTGAGCTGGCGTGGGTGGGATTTTGGTAGAAAAGTGAGCATGTACGTATTATGCTAGGATCTGAGGAGGGGCAATAGGGAAATTTCAAATTGGCTACTAAACAGACAGGTGATTGAGCATGCTGAAGTATCCTTGTATTCCACCGCGAACTCGGCTGCTTCTCCAAATGTAGTTTTAAGTGATCGTCAACTAGAGAGTTCTGACTTGAACCCCGATTCTACGGATGGATTGGTTCTATCTGCTGACAAAGATAGATGGGGCTATGGAGTCGGATGTCGACCTCCTTCTTTATCCACCTGCCAAGTTTCTTTAGGATTGGTGGCGTCTACAAAGAAGGGGAGTCTTAGAGCAGAGATATAAGATTTTGGTCCCAAATCCCGATCATGTATATTTCTGCTTGTTACGTTCGTGTAGCACTCCTAACATGATAGCACAAATCGGGTGGAGAACAGAATTCCCGACGTTTAGGAAAGAAGAACAGGAAAAAGAAATGAACACCCTCGTATAAAAAACCGCGCTGCTCCGGTAGCTAAGCACAATTTTCACATTATTCTGTTTATGAAAAACAAAAAGAAAAACAAAAGGGAACCCTAACATGTCTACTCCTGAGCCAGAATCTTATGGAAAGTCTCACCAGCCCGCTCAGGCTTGCCCGACTTGATGCTCTGCTGGCCGAGCTTCGCTTTGGAGAAAGCTGCAGCGTATGGGTTGAGTCGGAGGAGGACCTGTCTGTTGCGGAGGGGGTTTTTCTTCTGGACAGCACCTCTCTTGGTTTTGGCGTATCCCTTTGGCTCGCGGAGGGCGGATTGGACTTCGGAAGAGTTGATGAGACGGGTGATGTCAGCGTTGGAGATGAGGTTGGATGGGAGGAGGAAGTCCTTCTTGAGGGCGGATGGGACGGTGGTGGAGCCATAAATGGTGTCGAGAGCGGCGAATGCAGAGGAGGTCCAGACAATGAAGCGACCCAGGTGTCCACCAGGGGCCAATTGGAGGAGATTAAGAGCGAAGACAGGGCAGGTCTCAACGCCGGGAATGTTACGGAAGGCTTTGACGAGCTGTTTTCCATCGACGTCCGGGTTGTAGACGACCAGAGGTCCACGGCGTTGGCGGTATCTCCGTCCACGCATCTTTCCCTTTCCGGCACGAAGCTTGCGAGATTTCTCTACCTTGACAAGATCTGGGCCGGCTCCGAGGTTTTTGAGAAGGGCAATGGCAGCCTTGGTTTTAGCGATGGAGTCATTCTCAAATGCTTTGGAGTCAACCACCAGGGGAACTTCAGGCACGTTAGAGATACGGTGGCCACGGGCGTAGAGGAGCGCAGGGACGGAGGAAGCGGCCAGCGCAGAAGCGGTGGCGAATCGTCTGGGTAGAATAGCATTAGATTTATGGTGGTTTGACATTCATTAGGTTCCATTTCGCGTTTCGATATCCCAAGCGTCAATTGAGCTTCGTTCTGCAAAAAACTTACTTCTGGCCAAGGTTGATCTTCTGGTGCCATTTTCTCCAGACCTTAGTGGGAGCGAACATACGACCGGCGCGACATTGGTTACCAAATGCGGCTTGACCAGCACGGTGTGTTCCTCCTCCAGAGACACGGGGAATACGAGCGACAGCACGGCCTTGTAGAGTGACCTTGTATCAGCTTTGACCGTAGTCCACACCAAAATCGATGCCCCCAATTTAAGCCTTGACGAAATTTCACATACCAGTACCCCAAGACTCAGCTGAAGTCTGTTCGCCAGCCTTCTCGCTCACAGCATACGGCTGTCTCTTATTTTTCGCGATACCAGTGTGTACCGACCTAATCTCATCATCAGTTTCTCTTTCCCGTTCACGATTTCCTTCGTCGGGAGCTTACTGGACAATGTCGGGACGGATTGGTGACGCGAACACCGCGGGCAGAGGCTGGGTCGCACCGCTGGGCTTGCCCTCGGCATTGGCGACGGTGACGGTGGGGCGAGATGCCATTTTGTCGACAGGTTGCTGATCGTGGTTGGCGATGATGGTTGAGAGCAGAGGTTGTCGTCGTCGAACCCACGATCCGTCAATGTGGGTTTTCTCGCTTGGGAAAGGCGGCTCTGGTAGGGCCACAAAACCCTAAGCCCTGAGTTCCCGATCGGGTCGCTTGGCTTCTTACGTAATATTGTGGTCATGTGATCAGTGGCCCCTTTTTATTTCTCTTTCTTCCTTCGATTTTCTGCCTCATCAAGAGAGAATCAATCCGATGATAATTCAATAGGAATATACTAAACCGAATGCTTTCGGTCGAATCTACGTATTAACAAGCGATTTCCATAAAACCGGCCACTGCAGATTAGTACGTTCGGTTCTATTTTGGCCAGTTGGGAACAGGCTCCACCTGCACCACTTGTGTGTAAAGAGTGTGATCAACTTCCTTTTATGATATTTGCCCAACCTGGCTTCAAGTAAGTTAGCTATTAAATCTATAGCTAATCCGCTGAAGCTATCGTACAAATTTTCCGATGCGCGTGAAATGCTATGTACGCCCGATAAGCTATACATCCCGGTACTGTCCAACAAGGGAGGGGAGTTATTATATCCAACAATTTAAAGAGAAACCAGAGAATTCAAAACTGAAACTGCTTTAATATTTTTCGGAAGGAACATTCGAATTTGTGTTAGTAGAACGGCAGAGCTTTATATATATTCTTATATTGCTTAGAATCAAATTTGGTCAGTATAAAAAAAAACTAAATTTGAAGCCTAACGGGGCGCATGCCTCCTAGTTAAGTTGTTATTCTTCCGCATTGTTACCCTTTTTATATTGTCTATGCAATGACCATTAATATTTTGTGTTCCAATATCCCGAATAACTCATTATTTATAGCTATCTGAATCCAGTATAAGCTTCCCACAGAAAAAGTATTTCGATCCATGAACCTTCCGTCTCTATCAGCTGTCAGAATGTTAACAACGTTCTTTGTTGGAACTTACCTCTGCTAGATGAGTCACAATTAACCAGCCTTCCACCTCCATCATCCACTATTAAGGATATAAGTAGTAATATGAATACCTATTGTTATAAAACCATTTACGTTTTTATGTATTTTACAACGCATCATATTTTTCAAGATAACAAAGCAAGGCAGAGTCGAAGAGAAAGAGCGGGGCGGCGATTGGTGACTTGGGGGAACTCATTATTCACTATTATATAGTGTTATGCTCAAGGTGTGAAAAATCAGAGGGTTTGGGGTCTTGTCCTGCAGCATGGGACATGCGTGCACATGTTCTGTATTCCTCGTGTACAAGAAAATGCACTGAGTGGAGTAACACTCGGGGCAGGTTTGTGGGAGTTAGTATTTGTAAATGAGGCACTTGTGTTGATATACATTTTGCTTCTCAAGAGGTATCACCTAACAACCTTATCGGTCCCTGATGAAAATGTTCAGAAAGTTTTTATGTAGAGACAAATGTTTGAAATGTAAAAAGACAAAAAAAATGTGAAGTTAAGAAGTTAAGTACAAGAAAAGAGTCCCGTGTCCGACAAAATAGCATCCCAGATTTAAAAAGAAACGCAAGTAGAAGAAAAAAATAAAATACGCCTAACAAGTTAACCCCTAAGCCAGACAGTCTGTAATGCCAGAATCAGCGAGACATGCCAACGAAAAGAATATCAACAAAAATATGCAAGGGGTGGGCAAGATTTCTAATTTGTCAATCCCTGTCCGGACAGACGTCATAGCGCTGTCAAGTGGTAGTAGATCAGAAAATAGATAAGGCAAGAGGAAAAATCCACAAGAAGTACTCTTGAGAAAGGGGGGAAAAAACGAAGATGATATCTACAGCTCGCCTTTTCCCTATTTGCGCCTTTTCCGCCTCTCCCCGCTTTTTATTTCTATTCCTATTTATTTCCCTCCCAGACAACAGCACCTAAGAGTGTCCTCGTCGTCGATGGATCTTGGCGACATGATCGCGCTTCTTCTTAGCAGCAGTGATCGCAAAGGTGCCGGCGTCCGATGTGCATTGGGTTCCTGCAGCTACAGCCATGACGGGAGTCCACTGACCGCTCGCACAGCGCTGGAATTGAGTGCCACCAATGCAGTTCCATTCACCCTCGTTTGAGCAAGCACCAGACATGCCGCTACCACTGTTGTTACTGGGAGGGGGGTTTGCACCTGGGGCAGGGGCAGGGGCAGGAGGAGGGCTGACTGGGGCGGAAGAGGGTCCAGGAATGACTTGTGATACTGTTGCGAAGTTACCTGGGGAGACAGCTGGAGGTGGGGATTGTGCATGCCTCAGTGGGGTTGTGGCGGGCTGTGGCAGCGAAGGGCTGGGGGAAGGATAGGGCGAAGGTGTGGGTGAGGGGCCAGGTGCTGGGTAACCAGGATTACCGCCGCTTCCAGGCATGATCTTCTGGCCATCGGGTAAGACGCAGATAGGCTTGTCCATTGGTGCCAAATTGGAAGGGACGCCATCGCGCTCGAGAGAAGTGCCTGGTTCAGGATAGATAATATCATAACCCTCCGTGGTGTGGCAAGAGTTGATGTTAGCGACGAACATCTCTGGCAGATCTTGGCGTTTTGCGAGAGCCACTTTCGAAGTTTCAGAGCGAGGGGTCGGGGTGTAGCGGCGCTTCTTGCCTCCGGTAACAGTGATTGGGGCGCAGTTCATATAGAATTCGCGGTTGCCGATGCGGTTCAGCCAGCTCCAGGCGAAGGTGTACTCACCTGGAGCGATGCTGCTGGGAATCTTGAAATGGAAAACACTAGCGCCGTGTCCGTCGGGGTTAGCAGGAAGATTGCCATCCGCCGACGCGGGGCAGCCTCCTTCAATGGAATGGATAACCTTCCAGACCGATTTTTTGTTAGGGATCGGATCCTGAGTGAGAGAGAGTTGGCACGATCCACCACCATGCACGGCGCTCCCGATGAAGCTCAAGGTCTGTGTCTCACCAATGGCGTAGACGTTTTCCGGGGGCACTACGCGAGCGCCGGGAGTGTACGACTCGCCAAACTTGCAAGGGAAATCAGCTCCACTGGCATCGAGAGGACTATTGTTCAGAGAACCGGGGTTGAATGGAGTGGGAGAGCCAATCTTCATATGAGCATTGACGGTGCCTGCAGACAACAAAGCCGCGACAGCAGCCACAAATTTCGGGGGAAATTGCATGGTTAGGTCGTTGTTAATCTATTTCGAATGTCTTGATTTTAATTGCAATGCTGTTGGGGGATTTGTCGGAATGGCTTCGCAGAAGTGTTCCGAAAGGCGCTTTTATTTGTTGGCTTGGTTCTTGAAGGAATGTACGCACTACTATGCGAGTGCTCGAGGGTTCCTGAAATCTTTATCTGATATCTCGTTCCTGACGAGAAGCTTCGAGAGAGAAACAGTTGAACCTGTTTTCGATTTGGACTGCGGATAATCCACACAGCGGCTGGAGGGAACAGGAGACAGGAGTCAAGTAGACAAAGATAGTCTTAGAGACAGTCAGTAGGAGGAACAAGCAGGAAGGACCCAGAACAATGATGAGGTGATGTAAATGAGTGAAAATGATCTGCCAGGGGAGACAGAAGAAGATAAAAAGAAGTCAAGGGAGGGTGAAGAAAGTGTTGGATATAAATATTTGTCATTCAACAGTTGCGGTTTATTCCATCAGGCAGTGATATACCGCACTGTCGCCCCTTTCCCATTACAATGGAAATGTCTGGATACGAACAGTCCAAGCATGAGGACACTGACAGCAACGCAACTGGGGTATATGGGATATAACACAAGCAACGCTACCCGCAAGTGAGGACCAAAAACAGAATCTAAAAAAGGGGGAGTTGTACCTCTTTGAAGCAGGACTGTTTTTCAGCGAATGTTCCTGAAGCAGCTACTTGGTATGTATACTTTCCTGGCACCAAAACTGTGTATATAGTATATATATACACAGAAGGAATGGATAGGAAACTCTGAACAAATTGCCACAGGCAGAGAAGAAGAGTCCCAGGGGCAGATATGCAATGTATTGCGGTGATGGAAAGACAGGGAGGGACTGTGTGGACGAGGAACTAGCCCAAGCCGAAGAAACAAAACCCTGAACGGGACTAAAGGAGAGAAAAAAGTGGGATGCGGAAGGTGTCGAAACGGTCCAGCGTGAGGAAGAGAAAGATGAAGGAAAAACACAAGCTTGGCGGAGGGCAGCGAGGTTTTTATAAAACGCTGTCGCTGCATAACTCCTTCCTGGGAGAGCCTGGGATTCTCCGGTGACCTGCGGCGACACAGGCGAAATGGAAGGCCGGCGCTGATTCTCCACCTCCATGGATGGTATCGATAAGGTGCTTAGTGGCACTGTGCCTGACGGGGCGTGGTCTTCAGGGCTAAAATCCATGCTCATCTGGCTAGTCATCAGCCGGGGCCATGCATGCCTGTCAAGGGCGAGGGGTAAGTGTGCGCAGAGTGGTGCTTCTGTCCAACGGCAATTGGCCAGGGCTGCATTTGGCTGGTTTCAACATCCGCCGGGGGGATGGCCAAGCGGAGTGCAGAACAGAATTCGAAACAAGCTAAGCTGGCCGATTCCGCTTGGGTGGAGCATAGCGTCCTCACCATCTTGGCGAGTGGCCATTCAGGGCATGATGTTTCGTTCCTGATCGAGTGATTTGACGCAGTCATCCTACTGGAGGGACTTGGGAGGAGAGATGTGAGGAGAAATGAGAGAAACGAAACTGGAAACAATCAAGGGACTCGATAGTGTTCCTCTGAGTCTGAGGCTGTTCTTCCTCAGGCGAAAGGGATCTAACATTCACACTGTGGGTACTCCGTCGAGTCCAGGGAGGATGGCAAAGAGATCGCACAGCGACTCGCTTCCAAGGCTGCAACCAGTGTCGAGTCGTTGATGTGGTGGGTGGTGGAGTGCAAAACGTACGGATGTTGCGCCCGTGGAACCGTGGGCTGCCACCAAATGGCTCCAACCCAGACTAACTACGCAGCCAGGCCAATTACTGCCATTTAAGCGTCCCATCATGATACGACTTACCTTTCACACTCCTACAATTTGGGCGTAACCGAGGGACAACGCTGCTGAAATGGAAAGCCAAGGTCAGATGGGGCAACATCCTCTCAAGCTGACTGTGCCCATCCCCAGGGCCCACTCCCATCGATCAGTTTATCTTGCAAAATGCTCAACAGCGCCAGCACTGGCGACCCAACATTCTTGAGAGAGCCGAGAATTAGCCTCCAGTGGGTATAATCTTGGCCCTGTGGCGCTGGCGGCAGTGTGTGCGGCTTCGCCCGTGCCTGGCCCCGTTTGATCGGAGTAATATTTCCAGAAAGTCACCGTTCGACACAGCACGGGTCCAAGCGCCGCAGCTGAAGCTTTCTCTCGCAGTCTAATCCTCGGCTTCATCTCGTGTGAGATTGAAAGGAATGGATGTCTGCCTCATCTCTAAAAGAAGTTAAAAATAAAAAACGACTCGCTCGAAACAGAGAGTGTCATGTTGACCATGACGGACGGATTTCTCCGCTCATGACTTGTCCGACATCTGGACAAATGTCAAACCACAAATGGAGCCTGTCAGCAAAACCGCTGAAGAGCCAATCCATTTGATCCATCAAGCAGGCACAATGAACGGACCATCGCCCGGGATCGCCGATGCCAGTCATTCCTTTTTTATTGGCTGGAGACATTTGAAATTCTGGCCTATGAGCACCGAGACATCCTCAATCCGACCTGAAAGCTGTTTTCAGGTACCAGGGGGGCGTAGCGTTGATTGGGCCTGGTTGTTCGGCCCCAAATCTTTCACGCCAAAGACCAGGAACCGCTACTTGTTGGCCGCTAGTCCAGGAAACCTGACAACCGGCGAATAAAAGTGATCCTTCTAGTGCTGCATGCCAGGGTATTTTCTTTTCTTTTTTTCCCTCAAACTTCAAGTTTTTTCCCCACGGATACTTCTCGAAAGGACTGGGATTCGATGGGTGAAGGAGATCATAAGAATGAGCCCTTTTAGCGAGTTACATTTAACTACTCTAATTTTCCTTTCAGCGCTCAAGATTAATCATCCTTTTCTGACGCGATTTCACTCCCATCTTTTGTGAAACTCGCGCCATTTAAGTCGATACAAAGATGCCCAATCACACATATCGCTCAATCTCCTGTCCTACGAGTGAGGTTACAGACCCATCACAACGATACCAGCAGGATGGCTACCTCGACAGAGTAATTCCCAGGCCTGTGGTTCCTTGAATATGGCAGTATTACTTTCAACTTCTGCGCACCCGCCAAAAAACCTGAAACAACCGTCGGTGTGGAAAACGCTTTCAAGCACGAACCAACTGAAGGCTGCATTAGTGTCCATCCCTTTCACTTTTGTCTTTCTAGAATAAGTTAAGCCCATTCACGGATTCAATAAGAAATGATGAAAATGAATCAGGACAAGTCAGATTTTCCACCATCGCCAACAATAATTATTCGCACGGTCTCGGTCTTTCGCCGACTTTGACAAAGCTTCCTCTTCCTTTCCTTTCTCTGTCTTTTTTTTTTTAAAAAAAAAAAAATCCTTCCAAACATTTCTACCGTTCTCTCCGAACCATGGAACCAACGCCCGTTTTCTGTGGTACAACCATTCCAATCCCGGAAGTTTCCAGTTGTTTATTTTAATTTTTATTTTATACTTTCTTTGATAACATCTTTTTCACTCAGACTGACTATTTCAAGGAAATATTCACGATCTTACTTTTTCTTTTTCTGTTTTTTTCCTCGTCACCCTCCAGTTTAGCAAGGAATCACCAAAATTCCACTAAAATAAGCTGACAGAACCCTGGAAATGACCGGTTGTCCAGCCTGTCGACTAAGCTGAGCTGGTATTCGATCCAACCCCTGGTCAACCCCCGGCGAATTTCTTTCACCCAAAAACCCGTAAGGTGGGTCGCTCACGACAAGGTGTTATAACTACACAAGGTCAAGACCGGCCAACATCGTGGGATGGATCCGCGGGGTGAGTTGTTGGCAGCCGCGAGAACAACGAGTTCAATCCCGATAAGTTATTAGGAACGAAAACAACTAGCGATTAATTTTTATTCTATTCTTTTCTTTCATAAGTAGGTGGCAGATTTTCAGTGTTGTGGGACATAATTCACCGACTAGCATGACAAATTCCTGTGGAATGTAGTAACGTTTGAAAATACGGTGAGGATAATAAATCTAGCACAGTGTAGATGCTGAACTACCTATACTTTGCACAGTACTTGCTTGGATCCATCTTTTTTTTTTTTTTGTGGCGATGTGCTCTCCATGTACCCAATGCCAGAGTATATATGTATGCCTCATCGGATCATGATATATCAAAAAGCTTAACCAAGGAAGACCGAGATTTCCTGGGACAAATCCACCTTTTGGCCCTGGCATAATCCCAGGGTCCTTGTTATTTGTCTACGGATATTATCCAGGGGTTTCTCTCTGTGTAATTGGTGTTCAGAGCGAAGCGGCTTCCTCTGTGTGCATACGGCGTAACCTTGCAACTTCGCATGTTTCAGCTTGGCTATGCAGAAAGAAAAAGAAAAAAAAGAAAGAGGAGGAAGTAAGACTAAAAATGCCATTGAATATTTTTTTATCCTTCATTGACTGAAATTCAAAGATAGATTGACTACGGAGTAGTGACCCCTGTATTCCAGCAAGAGAACACATCCACTAACTAACTAGCTGACGTGAAAGCAGCTCCCCAGCCAACAGGTCATATAAATGTGATAACACCAGCGTGGGCTGCTAGGCGCTGCGGTGGTCAACGAATAGCCAACCACCACAGGCCGGCATGCCGAATCGCATCGGATGATTTGCGAAGCGCCAGAGTCAGTGTGACAGCGTGGATCGCTCGATGATCGTGCCGTTTGGCCAGCCTTCGTGATTCGTGCGTCTGTATCAAACATTGAACCATTAGTTATCGACGAATGTGACAATCCGTCTAGTACATGATCATTTTGCCATGTTCGGTATCTCGATAGTTCGATGTCGACGATTGGACATTGAGAAGCCTTTGAAAACCGTCTGGAGTGTAGGGGAAATATGATTCATCCAGCAGTTTTGAAACGCAGTCTCCATTGCAATGAAACGGCACCGACGACGAACGCTAGTCACCACTACTGCTAGTATCATTGTCGTTCGAAGACTCAAGCCTCTAGTTAGGAGATTTTTTGAAGAAGCAACATGAGGCTATTCATTGGATATTCGCCAACCTATCGCCTGGTGGATATGAGGCCCGCATCCAACGAAGTCCCCCCTTTCGCTCTCATTTCTTCCGGGTTTCAATGGCGTTTCCGGATAGTTTTTTCCCACATAATGAGGGAGAAACATTGTTCTGGTTTGGTGGCCCATAGTGACGGACGGAGAGCGTATGAGCTCCCGCCATGTGGTGATCATGTCGCCGTCAGGCGTTTGGATTATTATTGTTGTTGTTCTTACGAGAACATGGTGGAGAATAGGCTCTAACTGCTCCGTCAATGATATCGTTTCCTAGGTTTGATGAATCTCTGTTTCCTCGACACATCGCAAGTGCCTCATCTATCTCTACCGGGTATCGCGACCCCACGGTCCTGAAAATCCACCTGTCACGGGAGGATAGTCTCAACAAAGACATTACACCATTGGCATCGAATGGCCACGGGACGGCAAATGGAGGATCGAACAGAGTCCTCCTTCAAGCCAGATTCTCCATCTCCTCCCTAACGCATTAGTAGCATGGAAACTCGGGGCTCCGCAGCCCCAGATAGATGCGTGTTTCTGTTAGGCGCCAACCTGGTGGAGACATCCCCAGCTCTCCCGTGCGTTCCGTGAATCTCACTATAGTTGGGTACGGTCTCTGCTCTGGGCTGCCGCTGTGCTGGCTCCAGTTCTCTTGCTCAAGACCTCCCGTCACATATCAGATGTCGTTTTTCGAATCTTCAGCCAGGTCATCTTGCGAGCCACTCTCAAGCTCATAAGTGGAGCAAAGCAATTGAATCATTCCAGAGTTTCATCCACGGATTTAGTCGGTTGGAATGGAGGTGGATATGCTCACGCTTCATTTGAAATTTCAAGGGCAGACACCAAATTGTGAGGAATTTGATTTTCTTAGATTCTTAGCTAAACAGCACAAGGAATCCACCAGCTACTGAAGAAAGGGAGCCGCCTTTGGGTGGCAATGCAAAGTCACTTTGGGCTCCGACTCGTCGAGGTTGCATTTGTTCCTTCGACGGCCAACTAGCTAATATAGCATAGGTCGTTTCTTGCAGATGGCCATCTACTTAGTGCCACAGAGGCACTCGGTATTAAGAAAGTTATGAGACTCTTGTATCGAACAGTGAGTCAGGAATGATGTATTGCGATGGATGAGAATTGAAAACAATATTTACGATTGGGGTTTGACCTAAGGCCAATACCAACAGGAACTACTGATTCCCTAAGGTTATTATACCTTATTTTTTGCCAACGGAATACTAAGGCTGTGTTTCAAGTGAAAATGGATGACTAGACTGTGTCTCCAGATGGTTGGGCATTTAAATCTCCTGGGATGCACACAATCCAAATGTGCCACTACCCATTGCTGAGAATATTCCCATTGGCGATAGGCTTCCTAGCATGATTCCCTCATGCCGAATCCTCAAAAGAATGAAGCTAGGGCCCTTTGCCTCCTATCATTTCCTCTCTTTCGCTTGGTGCTCCCCCCATGCGACACGCCGCCGTTACTTTGAAATGAAGCAGTAAGAAGGTAGAGCATGAATCAATCCTAAACGAGTTTTACCCGACCTTCCCATCCTTCTCCATTGAAATCCACATACTACAGGAGCAAAAGCTTATCTAGGTCTGTCAAATCTGGCAGGAATCTCTTTTTCTCTTGCGTTCATCCGGGGCTAAGAGCAAGAGCGCTTGTTCAATTTCTTCACAACTTCTCGCCAAGCATGGCATTGGCGCCTGAGATCCATTTCGTTTCTTCTTCTTTTCTTTTTTCTTTCTGTTTTTTTTTTTTTTTTTTCTCCTGGGGCTCCGCTTGAACTACCAATCACACTGCCGGTAGATGTGTACCCCTTTCCCAGCATCCTTAAGGAAAATGCGGGAGAATAGGCAGTTGGAAACTTCATTCTCGTTAACTCTTCAATTGCAGATATTTTTGCAGTTGAACTTGTTCTTCATGTTTCCTTGATTCATGTCCTGATGCACCGAGCGTTTCTCAGGCCAGTCCTTTACGGTGTGAACTTTTGGCATACCACTTTGGCAATTACGCAATGGCGGAACACTTATTATATACACATCGAAGTTGGCCTGTTGCTAGATAGAAACGACAGGGTACCAATGGGTGAAAAAGGACTCTCTTTCGCCCATGCCGCTCGACGTGGAAATATCGATAGGGGGTGATCGTGGCCAACCTTGGGATATACAACTCTGCAATAATCAGTGACCATGCTCTCTGGGAATCCGAGTGTTGATGGGTATCAACTAAGAGTTTTTTCTTTTTCTTTTTTTTTTTTTTTGGCTGCCATATTTAGTCGAATTAGGTGATCGGTGGCCGGCTTCATATCAAATCGATCGGAATGCGACGGTAACTGTATTTGCCGAAACACGTGTCCCCTTCGGCTATCGTCAATGCTGAAGCCGTGGGCCAACGCTATAAATACATAGCTACCTATATGTTACCCTCCTAGAGATAGATATATGGACGCCTTACCAGGGCCCAGATACCAAACTCCAAACCTCCAGGAGAAGCAAGATTGAGTTTTCAAGTTCATCTCCTTAGTTTGCTCCTCTAGGCCGGCAATGCCAAACCGCTTGAAGCCGAGGAAGTCGGCACTAGGGGGCCCCCGCCACACAAACCCGGGAACGATTTAATGGGACAATCGATAAGAAAACAGAAAGATGAAAGCCGAGTGCCGGGTAGAGCAGACGGACCTGCACCGCACAATAGACCCTGGATATGTGGGGGAAGGTGTCAAGAGAAAGAGAGTGGCGATGTGCGGGGATCTTAGAACTGAATTATATTTGGTCTTCATAGCCGGAATTCTTGCTTATTGTCCCCAAATCGCCTTGCTACTACTACAACGGTGCTGATTCCGGTCACTCGTTTGTGACTGCTTTCCCACCCAAAACAACCATCGTCCCTTATATATAGAGACATGTCGACGTACGCGGTACCACGTAAGCTATGGGAGCATCCCAATCCCGAGTCGTCGAATCTGGGCCAGTTTCGACGTCGGCTAGAGCGCAAGACAGGGTTGAAGTTTCCAGTACGTGGCCCCCATGTTGCATATGAAGGCTGAATTGGTTTTGAATTCCTATCTTTGCTATATTCTATCTGGATTTTTGCAGTATTATGCCCCCTCATTTTACCCTGCTTTCTTTCTTCGCTACTACCCCTTCCCGGGCGGCTGGTACATTTCCAAAAGCAAAAATGTAGACCAACATGGTTAAGGGGCTAGTTAACGCAAGACTAAAATATCCAGACCTTCCTCTCGCTCTACGACTACTCTGTCAACAGCCGCGCGGCATTCTGGGAATTCTGCTGGCATGACCTCAACCCTATCCACTCAGGTACCTACACAAGCGTCGTCGATGAGACGGCACGCATGGACAGCATCCCGGAATGGTTCGCAGGCACATACATGAATTTCGCAGAGAACATGCTTTTCACTTCTTCTGGATCATCCGGAGTGTCCACGGCTGGTAAAGAAGATAGTAAAGCTGCTGTGACCGAGGTTCGGGAAGGTGGCGCGGAGGGGACCCGGAATATTACGTTTGGAGAACTCAGGAGGAGGGTTGGAAAGTTATCCCAGGCCATGAAGGCTGCGGGTGTGAAGAAGGGCGATCGAGTGGCGGTTGTTGCAAGCAATAGTATCGATACTCTTGTTGTATTTTTGGCTGTGACTGCGCTGGGAGGCCTATTTTCGTCGAGCTCGACCGATATGGGTGCCAAGGGGATTCTGGATCGCTTGCTCCAGATCAAACCCCAGTGGCTGTTCATGGACGATTGGACAGTGTATAATGGGAAAACGATCGATTTGAGATCGAAGATGAATGCCATTGTTCGTGGGATGGAAGGTGTGGAGGAGTTTCAAGGCATCGTATCACAGCCTCGATTCCAAGATCGTCCCGCCGATGTGAACATGGTGCCCAGAGCGCAAACCTTGGCAACTTTCTTGGCCAAAGCAAAGGGCGATAAGCTAGAATTTGTGAGAGTTAGGTTTTCGGATCCGTTCTTGGTCGTTTATTCCTCAGGTATGAATCTTGTATCAACCATTTGTGTGGATTTCGAAGGTTGGAGGCTCTGACGAGAATGTAATTAGGAACGACTGGAACGCCAAAATGCATTGTGCATTCTGTTGGAGGTATTGTCTTGAGCGGGTTAAAGGAAGGTATACTGCATCGAGAAATGAATCCGACTTCGGTGGCTCTGCAATACACAACAACAGGTTGGATAATGTATCTCAGTGCGTTGCAGCCATTGATGCATGGATGCAGAATAGTCCTGTACGACGGCAGCCCCTTTTTACCTGGTGTAACTTCCTTCATCAAATTGGCGGGAGAGCAGAAGTAAGTTCCAGGCCTAAAATAGACTTCACGAGACGCATACTTATTGAGCCAGAGTAACCCACCTGGGCACCTCCCCACGCTATATGTACGAATTGCAAAGGAACGGCATTCGTCCTCGAGAGGTCACTGATCTTAGCAATCTGGAGGTATTGACAAGCACTGGGATGGTGCTTTCCGACGCTCTTTTCGAGTGGTTTTATGACAAAGGGTTCCCACCCAACGTGCAGCTTTCAAATATTTCTGGCGGTACAGATATTGCAGGCACATTTGGAACTTCAAACGCTTTGACGCCGTTGTATGTGGGTGGATGCCAGGGACCTAGTCTTGGGACACCTATTGCAGTTTATGATCAGACTGTGGAGGGTGGGAAGGGTGTGAAAGGCATTCCGCTAGAGGAAGGAGTTCCAGGCGAACTGGTTGCGACAGCAGCATTTCCTAACATGCCCGTCATGTTCTGGGGCAAGAATGGTGCAGCGCGCTATTTCGACGCATATTTTGCTCGATTTGATGGTAATTCTGGCACACTCCCTCTTGTTGGAATTTTTGATTTTCCTGGCTAACTATATATATTCAGATGTCTGGACCCATGGCGATTTCGTCATGATACACCCCGCCACGAAGCAAATATTTTTCCTGGGACGTGCAGATGGCGTTCTAAATCCTTCAGGCGTACGGTTTGGATCCTCCGAAGTATACAGCATTCTCGAGAACGAATTTGCCAATGAGATCTCCGACTCCATATGCGTGGGACAGCGTCGACCCCACGACTCAGATGAAACAGTCATGTTATTCGTGCTCATGCGTCCCGGCGTTCCATTTACCAAAAAAATGGTAGACGATGTTAAAGCCGCCATCAGAAGCGGACTGAGTCCTCGCCATGTGCCGAAATATGTGTTTGAGACCCCGGAGATTCCGGTAAGTATATCCAAATCTATTTTGGACACATCGAAGTTGCATGCTGACCAAAATCCAAGACGACTGTCAACTTGAAGAAGGTAGAACTTCCAGTCAAACAGATTGTGTCTGGTAAAGTGATCAAGCCGTCGGGCACACTAGCCAATCCCGAGAGCCTCGAGTTCTACTACCAATTCGCTGAGGTAGAGAAGTTGGTTGCTCCATCAAGCAAGCTATAGATGTGAGAAATCGGGTGTTTTATACAGGATATAGATAATTTTTTTTTTTTTTTTTTTTTTTTTTTTTGATAGGCAGTGAGAATGCCGTAAAAGTTAGGAAGTATGTAAAGGCACCATAATTATTTATCGTTTACCTTTTTTCTTGCCCTTTTCCTGGGAAGTGCCTCCTTCAAACTTCGTAAATCCAGCCTTCAACAGGGCATCACGGGCGGCTGTATTGATGATTCGGAATCGGTCAGGGCCCAACTTAACTCCCCCATACCATCGGGTCACAACGACGACCACATCCCATACATCCATCAACTGCATAAGATGTAACAATCTGCCCCCAGCAGCGGTTTCGCCGTCATCATCGAAATCTTGAAAGATAGTTTCCTCACCAGAAGGAACCCCATTGGGACCCTGCCCGGGTTTTTGCTTGATTCGCCAGGCTGTGATATTGTGCGTTGCCGCTGCGATCTTCTTCTCCGTACCAAGAAGGTAATCGAGATATTTTTTCGCCGTCTCTGTCGATTGGACTCGGGCGACACGGGCAATGAACACTGATTTCTTCTCCGTCACGGTTTCTGAAACGACCCAGTCTGGGGGACTCTCGAGACCAAATGACGCATGTAATGATGGTGGTGAAGAAGTTGTATCTACTGTTGGAGATACTGGAGTGGAGGTGTCCGCAGTTTCGCCGCCAGCAGCAGCATCTGCTGCTGCGGCTGCGGATTCCTCAAGCTCTCCCCCTCGCATATCTCCGAACCGCTCCACGCATTCCTCTATAAGATCATAAAGACAGACGAAGCCATCTTGCCACACTTTCTGCACTGAGCCACTCAATATATCGAGACATTTTTTCCCTTCACCCCGAGAACTGGTGGACGCAGTGCCAATGACTCGGGGAGGACTAGAGGGGTATTTGCTGTCGAAACCAAGAAGGAACGAGAAATCTGGCCGATTGGGTATCCGGAGGATTATTGTGGTTGTGACTGGTAGCTCATTCGGCCGACGGGGAGGGGAATTGGACGGGTTTGATGTCAGCGTTATTGTGGAAGGGTCGTATATTGCATTGACGGAATTGATCTCTTCGGCGAGCTCATCGTTCGGGCACGAGGTCATGGTTGCGGATGTTTCATTGAGGATATGCAATGGCCATTCGGTGGAGAGAAGGACCGGGACGAGTATTCAAGGACAGACTGCGTTTGAACTAGGTTTCCGGCTTCTCGTAGGGTCACGATAGCATGCCAAATATTCATCCATGTATATTACCGTCCCGTCACATGGCGATATTGTTGATGCGGTGGTTTATGATTGATTCCAAAATTCTTGCGGATAAACATTTTAGCGGTTGGGTGTGGCTGCAACAATGAAACTTTCGATGTTGAGCAATGTGCAGATGGTAAATGAGTGGCCTTCATATAGCCGTGTAAAATCCTGACAATACATGCTGATGTTCGGGCTACTTGGCTAGAGGTTGCCTTTCTATTTCGCAGCCATTGTGACCTACGCTCGAGATTGTAAATGGTTACTGGTATATATACACATTATAGACCGCAAGTGCACAGAGCTGTTGGAGATTGAATAGATAGAAGTGGACTGGGTTGAATATTTTTTTTTGATCTAAATTATCTGATAGACCACGGCATAGAATATGCATACCTGATGAGTGTTTTAAAAAGAACGTGGCATGGCATCAACCAAGATATATATATCAAAAAATATATCCATCTAGAGATAGATGAAAGGCCAAGGTAAATCCCCGACCTCCCTTACATGTCGTCATCGTCATCGTCCTCCAAAACCCCCCGCAACCAGAAATTCCTACAACCCTCCACAAACCCCTTCGCTGACACCGCCACATCCCCCTCCTGCATCGGCGCAAAACACAATCGAAAATACCTGAACGATTCGTCGCTCCCGCCGCGCTGACCATTTCCGCCACCGGCGGGATTAAACATCGCCCCCGGTGCTACCAGGCACAGGTATGGTTTCTTCGTCAGATGCTTCCAGAGCGCGGCCGATAGTCGTTCGGCGGATACGCCCTCGCAAGACCAGAGCTGGTGTGTCTCGAAGCACATGCGCACCCAGACAAACATGCCACCGCGGGGGAACTGGAAGGAGTACAGTGGGGTTTTGCGCAGGAGCTGCCAGTCGTCTTCGTCATCTTCGTCGCTATCACTATCATAGTAGCTATGGTGGCTTCTGGAAGTACCAGCCGAGGGGGTTTGTTCAATAATCGACCTCCCCTCCTCCAGAATCGTGCACATCGTCCGCATGCGCCATTCGTAACCATCCCGCAACCCCTCCAGCCACCGAACCCATCCTTCCATCTTCCAAGTTCCGGACTGCCTACCACCAGCAGCATCACCACTACAGCCCTCCTCACCAACCCTGTCTAATTCATCCTTCTTCCCGCCACCACCACCACCCATGATCAACCCCGCAACCATCGCCTGCACAAACCCAGATGGCTGCTGCGTGCTTGTCTCCGTTATATACAGAATCCGCTCTACAATCTTCGGTTGTGCGGTCAGCCAGCCCAGCCGACAGCCGGGCGCGATGATTTTGGAAAATGTATCGAGCCGGATCACGCGGCCATCTGTGTCTATGGACAAGTATGAGGGGATGAGAGAGTCGAGGAAGGGGTAGCCGGATGTTTTGCCGTGGGTGTTGTAATTGGGCGCAAGTGTAGTGTCCGCATGATTGGAATGGGGCTGGGGTCGGGATTTGAGGGAGCTGCTGCCGCGGAAGTGAGCCTCCAGCTCGGGGCCAGCGGACGGGTATTGGAGGTGCCAGTACGGGTCATCCTCGACAATGATGATGTCGTATTTCTGGCAGAGGGAATAGAGGTCTCTGCGTCTTGGGAGGGGAAGGACGGTGCCGGTTGGGTTCTGGCCGATTCTATAGAAAATTTTTCATCAACTTTAGTACATGTTACAATATAAGTAACGAAGCAAGATAGAAAAACAACAAGCGCCTCACAAAAGATGTCGCTTGGAGGGAAAAAAAAACGTACGTCACGGTATACATCAAATGCGGCCTCTTCCCACGACTAAAATCCCAACTCTCGAGAATATGTTTCAACCCGCGATCCCCGTCTACCATCATCCCATCCGAATCCATAGCCACAGTCACGACATTGATACCCCGCGGCTTCACCGTTTGTATGGCGTTCATATACACAAATTCCTCGCACAGGATACATTCTCGATCCCTGATCCAATCACGATTCTCATCCCAGACATTCGTCAGTGCCTCGATGGTCTTGGAGAAGCCATCCGTGGCACCGCATGTCAGGATCACTTCTGGCCCGCCTGTGTAGGGGATGTTTGGGTGCAGGTTTTCGCGGACAAATTGGCGGATGAAGGAGAAGAGCGGTGGGTAGCCTTGTGCAGTGCCATATTGCAGGGCAGTGGTTAGGTCGATTCGAGTTGTGGGGTTGGTGTTGTTGCTTTCTTTTGGGATGGTGAGTCGCGCTGTTGGGGGAAGGGTTGATACTAGGATCTCGTCCCCTTCAGCGACTGTTGAGGGCCCATCGGCAGTGGATGGATCAATTCGGGTTGGAAGAGCAACTGCGGCCTCCAGGGTATCGTATGGGAAATAGGATGGGTGGGGAAGCCCTTGGATATATGTATCAGCGATTTACAGAGTAAAAAGCTACCTACCTTATTCGTCTGCAACTCCTTCGGATGGATGGTTAGGTAACCCATATAAAATGATGCTCACCTCCCGCCAGGTTGTGGATGCCCGGTATCGCAAAGTATTTGTAGAACTTCTTCACGTCGCTTCCCACCCGATTTCTCGCCACAACGGAAAAGTGATGGGACAGATCAACCGGCGCCAGTTTTGGAGGGTATTCATTCTTCGGTGCCTTAGCTTCCGTTGGCTTGCGATTGGGGTATTTGATCTTCAGGTTGGTGTCCTGTTGGTGGCCGTATGAAAACTTAGGTATAAGAGACCCAATTGCGCATTTATTGGCTGCCATTTTTTTAAAAAAAAAAAAAATTATGAATGCTGCTCGGGAGGTGGCCGGGCAAAATAAGAAATTCATACAACCGGAAATCGCTAACTGTGGTTGGATTTTACCAGCGGTGATGAAATACCGTCTGACAGCCCTGTTTCTGGTAGGTAGCTAGCTAGTCGCTACAAGGCTAAAACCCGGGGTCTTGTGTTCGTAGTCACATAGGCAAGCTTTAAGTTGAAGAATGATAGCTATTATTTGGAGTTTATTCATCTGTCTGATTTCTCGATCTTCATCTAGATATTGACTCCTCTGGCAGCCTCAGGCTGGTCTTGTTCTTGATTTCAAAGCTGGGGTCAGTGTCATATTAAGCTGAGGATTATCGATTTTGGCTACACTGGAGCCTTGCATGGGGTAGCCAGCCAAGGCGCTATGCAGCAGGGAGGCAGTTGGAGCACACTGCAGCTGGTAAATCTGATACAGAGCAGTTTGACATCTGCTCTCAAAAGGGCTGGGATGAGTTTTGGGGGCTTGATGTCAATTGAGGAGCCAAGGTCCCAGAGCTTTCGCGCCGAGGGCTGGGGTGGTTTTGAGGTTTGGACTGAGATTTCCATTTGTAGCTTTAGCGTGTGAGTTAGTGTGTCAGATAAGTCCAGACTCGATGGAGTCAGTAGGCAGCAGGTGATGATGGCGCTGATAGGCAGTGGGCCAGCCCTTGATCATCAGGACAATGCAGCAGAGACGGGAAATCGAGTGCAAATCGAGAGGAGTCAGGTAGCCCGATGGGCCAAATATAAGTAAATGATCGACTCCAGTGGAAGAAATAGAATGTTCTCCGACAAATTACAGAGTAAATGCTCATGAATGCCTGATGAGACACATGAAGTTGTCGGATAGAACTGTCTATGGATGTACAGATCTGTAGTTGGGGAGTTGGAACCGCCGGCTGACTAACTCCGCCTCACTCCGCCACCCGCTGTGACTTTTATATTTCTCCCCGTTCAGTTTCTTCCATTTTCCTGCTATTTCAGCGTCGTGATACCCCACTGGCCCGTGTCGCAATCGTCTATCCGTTCCTGCTTCTGATCCTGTCTTTCTTTGTTGGCTGCCTCGGCTTTGTGGTGAGTTGGTAAGTCCCTTCTCTCGCCTATGGTTGAGTATTCAGATATGCTATACAGAGCACATATCTGTCTATGTTGTACGGAGTAGAGTAGTCCTCTAATCTAATCCGCGCCCATTCAATTTTTCTACAGAACCGCCAAATTATGGCCAGAGAATCGTGGGATGATGAAGAGGCGCTATCCGGCAGAACCGTCATCGCCCCACTGACCGATGACGAAGACGAACATTATACCGACGAACCTGATGGAATCCAGCAACTCGGCATGTCAGGGGGTGTTGAGGCTTCGCCTACCACGCTGCCCATGCCCGTCTGGCTGGCGGAATCCTCCAAATCTTTCCACTGGAAATGGGTCCCGTTGCCGTTCCGCCAGGCTGCCCGCTCGACTGTGAAGTGGCTCAAAGGCCCCGATCCACCCCAGGTTCTTCTCTTGAACCCACTCTTCCCTAACATACAGTCTATTCCTATAAAACTCGTCGATAGGTTCTTTCCAAAACGAAAATACAAGATTTGCCTGCTGCTGGCGGTGTATTTTATCTGGTTTCTCCCCTGGGCGCTGGTGCAGAGAAATTCCGCTTCTGGTGGTCATATCGAGGGCTATGGGAAGCCCGTTCCTATTAGCTGTGGCGCTAGCTACTGGTACGTCGTATATTCTACGCTATTATTAGAATAGATTTCTTGGAAGGTATTAAAAAAAAAACCCCATCACTCTGGATTCTAACGCGGCTCGTTAAATCACAGGGCACCAGGTAACGAGTGCGGACTCAATGGGTATGAATGCCGGCCGTTTAACCGCTCGACCTATGCCTTTCGGTGTCCTGCATTTTGCAGTAGCCTTCTCGTCCTAGAGCCGTACGTGGTAGGAAATGTGACTGTCAACTACCAGCCTCTGGTCGTTGGTGGTCCTATGCCTGGCGCCCCGGTTTATGATTATGAGAATGCGATCTATCGAGCAGACAGCAAAGTATGCCAGGCTGCAATCCATGCTGGTGTTATCAGCGACTCCACAGGAGGTTGTGGCGTCGTCGAGCTGACTGGCGCCGGCTATTCATACTTCGCCAGCAAGGCGCATGGCGTCTCCTCGATTGGCTTCCCTTCGACTTTTCCGAAATCATTTAGATTCCTACGTCTGCTGGATTCACAGTCAGACTGCCCCGGAGACTTGCGATGGCCGCTGTTTGCTATTACCGCAGCTGCGATTGTCCTGGTTTCTCTCTTCACGACCTCCCCCGCTGTATTTTTCTTCACCACCTTTTTTATGCTCATTCTTCATGTGGGTCTCGTGTCTGATCCCCCAGACCTACACAGGGTTGCAGATCTATTCTCGCTCCTATGTTCAAGGCTTCTACCTGCAAGCTTCATTGCATATGTGCTCTACATCTACTGCGCGCGCCCTCTACTACAACCACTGGCTTCCCCCCCCGTTTACCAGTTCAGTAAAACAATCCTATACCTAGGCCCGGCGTTTATCGGTGCGCTTAACAACTACACTTTTGCTTTATGGATACCCATCCAGCGTCTTACCCCGCACGACATCAAATCCCAGCCAGGTGCCCCCATCGCCCTGGCCATCGTGGTCACCATCATCATCTCCATCGTCCTCGGCCAAGCGTGGCACATCCGCCAAGGCGGGCTGTTCTTCCACTATCTAAAAATCTACCTCTGCATTGGCGGCGGCCTGATCTTCCTGCTTGTCCTTCCCCAATTCCGCCTTCGTATCCACCACTACATCCTCGGCATGCTCCTTATGCCAGGCACAGCTTTCCCCACCAGGCCCTCGATCATCTACCAAGGCCTGCTTCTCGGCCTTTTCGTCAACGGTGTTGCCAGATGGGGCTTTGCCTCCATCATCGAAACGCCAAGCGCACTGGGTGAGCTTCCTGGGCCTGGGGGGAGCCATGGCTGGTGGGGCGCCACAAGCCCCAACGTCACCAATTCCTCCGTCCATATCTCGCTGCCGTCCGGCGACAATGTGAACCGAGGTAATGGCAACATTACCTTCCGGCTATGGGAGCCGGAGCGTATGGAGACGCTGGGCGTTGATGGCATTAGTGTGTTGGTGAATGATGTGGAGAGGTGGCGTGGGTTTTTGGACGAGGATGTGAACGGAGTGTTTGTCTGGCATCGACAGGGGCATCGGGGGCTAGATATGTCGAGACCAGTGCCGCTGGTTGTTGAGAGAGCTGGTGTCGATGGACAAGAGTATGAGGATGACGATACCTCTCTTATATCAGTGCAGGATCAAGATGAGGATCCGGCTGAGGATTTGTTCTTCCGCTTTGCGTTTTTGAAGGGTTCAAAGGTTGGTCTTTATGGTGGCGCTGGGATTTGGAATAGAGATGGCAGCTGGATAAATCCTCCTCCTCCGAGGACTTGATTTTCGTTTTCCGCTTCTCGTTTCATATATTGCATGTGTGGGTTTTGTTCTCTGGGGTCACCTGGGGGAAGGGAGTGGGAGGGCCGCTGCTTTTGTTCCCTTGTTCATATTCACGATCGGTTTCTGCTTTTACATTGCCGCGAGGCAATCGATCACCCAGAATCCTAGACGGTCCGGCTTTTTTTCGTCTATTGAATAAGTATATCATGTAAACATCGCTTCCTTGCTTTTCCTTTTTTTTTTTTTCTTCCTTCCTCCCTTGTTCCTATTCCTTTCTTGTTTTATTTTTCATTGACTCTTGTAACGTGTTGGACACCTTTTATATTCCCTTTATTATTTGCTTCTGCTTTTACTGGAGTCGAGTGGAGGTAACAATACGAATATGGAACGGGACACTGTACGGTGTGGGCTGGTCGATATGAACGAATGGTTATTACGGTGGTATGCGTGAGAGATAAGTTTCTATACCATATTTATATAGTTTATATATGCGTATATGCGTTATTATAGAAGCGGGGCCTTTGCGGGGTTGGAGAGAAGAATAGACGATGATAGGGTTCCTATTTCTCCATCCTCTTCCATTTTTATTTTTTATTTATTTTTTATCCCCCTTGGTCTAATGTCAAATCCCTCAAGCCCCTTTTCGCCGCTCGATGTTTCACTCACTCCTGCCATCTGCATGGCTTAACTGCGTAATTAAGACTCTATTTGCGCAAGGTTTTGCATCCCACAACGCGATCAACGAACAACCTAAGCACCTACGCTAACGCAGGGGGAGATTTAGCCCAAGGTTTCCGACATTTCTTGACTTGAACTATAGAGATACCTCGTCACCGTGGACGATTTTCGAATGGAGCTTTCGAGGAAAATTTCACATGTGTGCCAAACCAAACAAATCTACAACCAACAGCGCGCACGCGCGCGCGCCCGGGAGCTCTTTGAACGGATGGGATATTTTTCAATACTTAGTACTCATACAGCGGCACACATTGACCACGCAACGATATCGTTCTTGAATCCCCTTTTTAATTCCCTACGGGGAAGGTGGTGGTGGAGACGCCACGCAGCATGATAAAGGCCAGTTACCTTTGTTGGAAAAGGAGCTGAGCGTTAGTATCACCTCTAGTCTAATTTGGCTAAACGTAAATGGCCTCGCCCTTCCAGAAGGGAAAATATCGCGAATATGTTTATTTTAGACACGAACATATGGAAATGGGAGGGGGGAAGGAGGGTTAACGCGATTAATACCCCCTAAAAGAGAAAATCCCGGGAGGCCCCGTTGTCGCAGATGAATGGATATATAAATAAATAAATAAATTACAAAATAAAAATCTATCGAAGGATAACATCATTATCACCGAATTTGGGTAAAGTCAATGGTGATGACGAAAATTTGGTTGGGGATTGTATTTATATGCCAGATATATATGTATACATATACACATATGCATAAATACATGGCATCACTTGCCAAATCCATTTCCATGCAGCAATCAAAAGAAGAGACATGCACAAAATGGATATCAAACATAAACCACAAGTGTGCCGAACGTCCTAGGCCATTCCATCCATCACGAGAAGAAAGAAAAGAGCGAGAGAAAAGTAAAAAGAAAACTCAATTTAGCCGAAATTTTCTTTGCTTAATGCTAGTTATCCCCAAGCTTACGTTCAAGATCATTGGTGTGTGCTTCACAGTCACCATTTGGCAAGTTGTTGAGCGCATCTTCCTCTTTATCGGTACCGCGGTTGGTGAACCAAAAGCCGGCGGCACCGACGAAAGCAAGGATAGCGGTGACGGCATAGTTCCACTCGAGCAAGGGATCCTCAGAGAGACCGACGAGAGCTTGGCCGAGGGCAGAAGAAAAGGCGTTCATGAATAGGGCCACGGCTTGGACGAGGGAACGCATGTTCTTGGGTGCCTTGGTGAAGGCATACTCAAGACTAGTGACAGAGGCAAAGATCTCGGAAATACCACCCAAGACATAGGGGACGGTTTGTACCCAGACAGAGATGGGTGCCGGGATATTTTTGGCAGCGCATTCATTTGCTTGTTTCCCGCAAGGCCCAAGTTTGTAGATGTAGTGCTGGATGACTGTGGCGGCAATCATCCCGGAACCTGCTAACATGAAGCCGATGGTGATGCGCTTCACTGGAGTAAGCTTGATGCCAAACTTTCGGAGAGTCGGGTAAAAAAATCTGTCGAGGAGTGGGATGAATAGAATGAGAGTGAAGGGATTGAGGTTGGTGACGACGTCGTTAGGTACTCCATTGAGCTCCATTGTGGCGGCTTGGGACAAGAGATTGTTCAACATCTGGTTATAGGAGAGCCCTGATGAGGAAGTGTTGTGTTAGACACATGGGATATTCTCCAAAATATGAAAAGGATGGTTTTGGGAATACGTACAGAAAAGAGGGTACCAGAGGAAGACAGCGCATGCTTTGATACCACGACGGACTTCATCAACCCACGCATCGTCAAATGTCATCCAGACTGGCTTGTTAGTAATGTTGCTTGGCTTCGCTCTTTCCCACTTATCCGGGTCTTTAATGTTGCGGTATCTATTCCTCATCCGTCAGTAAATGGCCAAACAGGCGAACAATGAACGGGAGTAGCTGTGGGTACGAACGTTCTCGCAGGATTCCATGATACGACGCCTTTGGTGGCCAGTCTCCATACCCTGAAGGCTTTGCCGTACACTGAACCAACTGGCTTTCTGCGACTATATTTGTTGCGTAGAAGAAAGAGAACCATTGGACATAGGCAAAACATGAAAGTGGGGAGGAGGAATGAAAGATAGAAGCCAACGTATTTCTCGGCGTAAACCATGGATATCTGACCAATGAGGGCTCCGATGTTGATCATGAGATAGAAATAGTGGTAGATTCGGGAAATAGTGACGGAGGGATCCACGATCACACGCTCGCCTTTCTTTGTCGTTTGGATATACATGTATTCTTCTGTGTACTGTTCTGCAATCAGAGGGGAAATGTTGGATCTATTTGCAAAGAAGTCAGATTGGACGACTCATAGACAGCAATGAGTTTGTAAATTTTGAACGGGCATACTTGAAGCCACCAGTTCCAATTCCCATGATGACGAGACCAACCGCAAAGCAGCCAATAGCGCTGTTCGGTTTTTTGAGCACAGGTGGAATTGCTGATATAATCAAAATTGTGTGTCCGACGAGCGCAATACCAATCGAGTACATGATCGTGTTGAAGCGACCCAGATGTTCATCAGCAACATAAGCACCAAGCAGTGGCATGATGTAGGACCAAAAGGAATTGACTGCATACAGAGGTCAGCCAAGCACATGTGGATAGGATATTGTTTGGCAAGGGCCATTACATAGAGTTAGACCAGTGGAAGCTCGTTGTCCCAAGCCCAATGCACCAGGAGTGCGATCAGTACCACCAGCACCAGTCGTAGAGCCCTCAGGCATTTTCCGCTGTATGAAGTTGACAACTGTATGCGGGAAAGTAGTGTTAGTCTATGACAAAGCTATCAAGCGAGCTGGGTGGTTAAAACTCACACACGATAATGGTTCCATAGTAGGAGAATCGTTCACACAACTCGACGAAGGCGATAGAGAAAGAAATCCACGGAACCTTTCCAGGGACACGGCGGAGAGTTGCTACTTCGTCAGGCGTGGGAGCTTGTCGATTGATATCGTCGAGGCTGCCATGCGAGCTGTTGTAGACAGCGGCGCCAAGTGTCTTCTCGTTGCCAGCAACTGGGACTTTATCAGATGCACCGCTGCTAGCGACATGCTGAACCTCAACTTCTTGGGAATTAGCCATCCTCGCGATTGTGTGAAAACCAAGTTGAACTTGGTAGTTTGGATGTCACTTCGCGGGCTAGGCGTGAGAAGAGAAAAGAGGGAGGGACAAAAGTCTTGGTTCACGAACGAGGATATATGCCGATATATGTAGGAATCTTAGACATTGTCTCCGGACAGTCGTTGACAACCTCCAGATTTTCGCTTAGAGTCCCCATGGGGAGGCAGTAGCGGGGTTGCAACGCTGTCTCGTCCCCCCTCATCAATCATATGAGTAGTGGTGCCAATCGGGTCAAGGTCAACAAGGGTCATTAATTGACGTTGAGACTAGAATGAGACCATGATCGATGCGTGGTAACCAGAGCAATATCAATCCATATTGCTTTTGGCTAGGGTCAGGAGAGCCTGAGCTCCTACCCGCCCCTCTCGTCCTTGACATGTACCGCTAAACTGAGGAATAACAAAACCAGCTAGTACAAGATACATCCATACAACAACTGATCCAGCTGAGAAACTCCGTATGCTGCGAAATGTTTTGGTTTTATGCGCCAACGCGGAGACCGCTGGCCAATCCACTCGGAGGAGCTGTTGTGGAGCCAAACTTAAAGGGTACATACACCTTTTGTGTTGTATCAAAGTGTGGGAGACTATGTGCTGTTCAGCAAGTTGAGAAGTAACCGTTCGACCAGAGGTACCTGCCAACTGACAGCAACAAAAGCAGAAGGCAGTGGCAATAATGTCTACATTACGGAGTACTTGGGGGGACGTTGAGAATGAATTGGGCTTACCTTCCTGTTATGGACGACCAGTTAAGGTTGGACCAGGGGGATCCCCAAATTAAGTCGCAACCGTGAAAATCGTAGCTAAGTCTATGGTTTGCCATTCCAATGTCCCACGGACGAATAGTAATCTCCGAAAATGTCATTTCGGGCTCGGCATATGAGCAGGGCAGCACATTGACTGCCTTGTTACTTTCTGGACTGGAGATTCCAAATGCACCAAGTACATGTACATGCACGAGAATTCCAAAAGTAGCAAGATATATCCACCAGGAATCTTCCCTGGAGCTTGGCTGCATTTTTGTACAAAGTATCAAGATGCCGAGTCAAAGCGTGGTGTCGTGAAAAAGCTTGCTGGGGAACCTCGCTTGCCAAGCTACAGAATACCTATTTTGATAGAATTGGTTAATATGATGTGAGACCTAGCGAGAGGATGATTCTATGTTCAATCGACTTTTTGGAGCCTGCTCGCGTGGGACATTTCGCTTCCTTGCGGTTAAAGACTGAAGTTGTGTTGTCTCAACCCGCTCGGGATACTAGCGGTTGGGCTGTGGCGGAAAATGGTGTCCCTCCCCCTGGAGTCTTGGCTGGCATGCTCCGTTGTAACCATAGTCAGCCAGACATGTGCTAACTCGGAGGCGGGTGGTCAGAATGCAAGTTGTTCGCCCGCCAGTGGATATCTCGATGACCATGGGAGGAATTAATCGGGAACGACAAGAAGTCTGCCTATTCATGCCATCACCTTCTTCTAATACGCAAAGGCTCCGAGCCAAGAATCAGATGTATTGAGATTATCATTACGGTGGCTGATGAAGAGGAGTCGAGAGTCGTTGAGACTTGAGACTTGAGACTTGAGGCTTGGGTGCAGGTACAGTACATTGCGCCCAGTGATCGCCGTCCCGCAGGGCCCATGCGGCTTGGAATCGTGATTGGGCGCCGGGCGGACTCCTAATTGCTTGGCAGACATGCTTATCCCGCCGAGTTTTGGTGCCAAGCTGCAGATTTGCCAAGAGATAGATGGGCGCGCTGGCTGAAAAAGCGGGGAAGAATGGGAGAAACAGGAATATCGTCAGCGACAGAAGATGCGTGGAAAGTGGTCTTGATTCGTTTCAATTTCCAAAACATCCGCAGTTAGATGACCCCTGGGTAGCGCTTATGCCTGATGATTTATCATCCACCTTCGAAGCGAATGTGGAGGCGATATGAGGCATGTCAGCATCGACAATAATAGTGGCCACGATGGGGAATAATCAAGAAGTGGATGGGTTACAGGGCCATTTCCCTTATCGCCACAAGGTGAAAATTGGGGCACACATGGTGACCTCCATCGAGGAATTAAAGGCGGTCTGGCGAAACAATCTCAGAGGCCGCATGGGGGATTCAGCCCGGGATCCCGGAATCCCGGTGGTTCGGGGCTCGGGCCGTCTTCTATGGAATGCTCCAAGGACTCAAGGAACGACAAGAGATGCGCCGGATGACGCACATGAGATCCTCACGTAGCTCTCTTGCCAATATTAATGGCGTTACTAAGCTTGTCGGAGTGGCGAGAGCCAATATTTAGGGTCTCAGTTCCTGTTGAGCTGCTGGTTGGAGGGAGAAACAGAAAGGAGATGGTTGCAAGCCATCGTTGTGGAAATTTGACTTTGGTGGTGTTCCTTGGGTTGTATCAACTCGGCTCCTAGAGGCAGATCCCTGTGCGCCACAAACCCCTGATCCGTCCTGGGAGGCCACAACAACGACCCTTCCTCGAGAGTCTGTCTCTTGATACGAGATGGAATCCTTGGAAATTGGATTCTCACCGGCTTTACACTTGCCCTCCAGCAGAGACATCCTCTGGGGGCCGGGGGGACGGCGGGGCACAGAGGGAGGTTGAGTTAGAGTATCGCCGGTGTTTCCCACGCCAGTTGATTGTTGGCGTTGGTGCTGCGGCGCCGCCGAGGGGTTGAGCCGCCCATCTCACGTGCTCGCGACCCCTGTGTTGGTCGTGAGAGTGCAAAAAACCCTGCCAGACCATGGATGGATGCACTTCCTGCGCACAAGAACATAGAATGCATCTGAGGTTCTTGCAGGTAGCGCCTGTAATCTTCACGCAACCTCGTGCGTCTCATCCCATTGTCGCCAACCGAAGTGCTGGGATCCAGTCAGCCGCCAAGAAGTTCTTCGTCCATGTCACTGATATCAGGTTCAACCATGCGGCGGGGCTAATGGGCGAGCAATCAACCCAGGATCCTTCCTCCCCTTATCCCGGATTCGAGCAAGGCATTCTGCATTGTGAGTTGTGAGTTTTATGGATCTCTGGGCACTTGTGTGTCTTACAGCATAAAGCTCATCGACCAGCCGCTTTCAATCTCTCCATATGTATCAAGGCAAATGTGCACAGGCTTGGTTGTCTGATTTTCTACGACTTTTCTATTTATGATTATCTTTGTTATGGTACTCAAACACGGCTTGCTAGTTAGATTCAGGTTCCGATTTCAACCGGTTCGTTCCGGGCCCTCCTTTTTTTTGCTTCGATTTTTCTTCTTCGCTCCTTCGTGTTCGAAGATGGTGGCGCAAAACGGCGCTGAACAGTGATACATAATAATGGCACGAAAGAGCAGCGGCATTGCCCCTTGATGGCCGACTTGACAAGCCCGGCTCCAGGATTGACCACACTATTTTTGGGCATATATGCTTACTTCTTGATGGCCTTCTCTTAACCAACAACCTCTTCAACATCAGACATTTACTTGACAGCGCGTTTGACGCCCACACCGGATGTCGTGTTCTAGCTTCCGCGGAGTACGAATATGTGGGCACCTCACTTCAAACCCGGAGAGATGTGCATCGTGACGGGGATCAACAGGGTTCAGCCGAGGAAATAATTTTCCGTACGACCTCTGAAAATTTTCAGATAAGTTACCTTTGTTGGCGGGCTTGAGCTTCTAGGGTAAGGCGCCCGAAAACGACGGCTACACGCGGTAATTGAGGTTCACTGGGCAGGAATTACAAAACGTTCAAATGCGACATTTTCGTCCCTCATCCTCCTAATTTGGTGATCCATCCATGTCGCAACATCATGAATTGTTGGTCATTTTTAGCATAGATCTTTCCGCTGAGCCAATCTGATGCTGAGCATCCCTACGTACAGTACATGCAGTCTTACTCAGTCTCGAGGTCTTTTCTGCCCTGAACACCTCGCAGATCTTGTTTTCCTCAGTGATACGATTGCGCCCACATTTGCAAATAATAATAATACAGAATGCAACCGTGCCTGATGCTCTTTTTTTCTGGAGGGCCTGCCGCCAGTTCTCCATCTATGAGTTTGGTATCTCACACGAAGGTTTATATCCCCTGTCAAGTAATACGTGAGCCGTTAGTAGCGAGCCGTCATGAAGCCTAATAATACCAGTTATGGTATAGAACAAACCTGTAATCCGTGAAACGCCGAGGTAGAAGTTCGGGAGAGATGTCCCCCTGTCGAACTCTGTCCATTTCAGCCAATACCTGCGTCGTCACCATAGGATTCAATTTCGGCATTCTATGGGTACACAGCAGTCGAACAACGTATCATTAGTGGTTTGTTTCACACAGACAGCCGAACTCGGGAACCGTCACCTCGGCCATATCCATGCGTGTGATATAAAAATGTGGTGCTCTCCCAGAGATGCGCTTGATTCGCATTTAACAGCCCCTTGGGCCCATTCTGGCTACCCGAATAGCTCACAGGATTAAGCTTACAAAATATTCTGGCGAAATGGATCCAACGGTTCTGGGATTGATAATCATAATTACACCCGGCCAAGAGCCACTATTTTTTTTTATATAGGTTTACATTTAAATAACTCATGATCGTTATCATCATATCATCAGATCTTTAAAATATTTTTAGAACAGAAGAGATAAACTACTTTGTTATAGAGCTCTCAAATCATCTTCATCTATCATTATATATAGTATGTAGTAGTGATATCTTTCTCATTCTAAAATCATCTTTATAATATAGTCTATCTCTATATGTACAGTACATTTTCAATCACCTCTACAATATTCTATCTTCTATCTCTGAACTGTTGATATGGTGATATCATCGCTAGATAGATACCATCATTCGTAGATATCGCAAGAGCTTGATATCATACAGAGACAGGTAATCAGACGGGTAGATAGACAGATGAGTGAATGAATGAAAGAGAGTAATCTATATGTTTCATTAAAATACCGCAAATTTTTCACATATGAGCTCTGAACATTATTCATTCTCATTTGAAAATATCTCAGTATATAAAATGAAATAAAGAATTCAAATAGTTAAATGAATATTACAAAGCTGACTATAAGAATCTAGAACATGACGCTGTATATTCTTGTAAATCTCACAAAACTCTATTTTCAATTATATAGAGAGAAGAGAAAATCTGTTCTATAAAGGTATAATAAATTTCCGTAGTATTTCCCCCAATGCGGTGGACGGGAAATTTACCTACGGAGAAGCCACAATATGTCTGTTTCTAGAATAAAATTAGACATGCAGTAGGATGGGTACAGAGGCGGGAAACGTACTTTCGCAAATAACCGTGGGGGACAGATATCAGGGGCAGCCTGGATGGAAACGCGGGAGAAGGTTCTGACAGCTCTCTGTTCATTTGACAAATTGTTCGAACTATCGTAGCTCATTAAGCTTGTAAGCATAATTTTTTCTAAGTATGACAGCTTACACCTCACTAGCCTACCTTATAAGTTATGTTTGGCTCCTCTCTAGTTAGTTACATTTCCCTTAGTATTATTATTCTTGTTCTTCTTCAAATTAGGGTATATTCAGTCAGAGGCTATGACATTCATCTGACTATTGCTCAGAATTTTTCTAGTTCTAACTGTTTTACTTTACAAATACTCCTTTTCATTTACAATACAGAATTCCAGTTCAGAATCAATCAACACTTAAAAGACACTTCTTACAAAATCACAATTCGCACAAGCTTATTGAATAAAAAGAGATTAAAGAATGACAACAGTAAAACAAAAGAAATAAACTAGATAAAATGTAACAATTTCTATACAAAGAAATTAATTAGACGGAGCGAAGCGAAGTCTCCGCAAAGCTTCAGGGAACTTGCTTCATTTTGTGACTGAAATTATTGGATATCAATGTGCGTAAAAGTGTGGCTTGAATCCCAATGATTTTATTGGTGGAGAGGAGATTTTTATACCTCTGATTGGTCTAAATGCTGGATAATCTCCATTTTTATTTATGCAGTGGAGACTTAACTTTGACATTGATTCTCAATTGGCTTTGATACCCCCTATTCTTACCCCTGAATTATCTGTCTACCTGGGCAATATCTGATCAATCTCGTGATGAATAGATGTTGCTAGCTAGATTGCTAGCTACCAACTTATCCACTCAATATTTGAGTGAGCGTGATGTGAGAAATAAGGACAGAAGTTGCAGCTCTATGGGACGGTGAGGTGGAAGGCAGAGGCCCTCAACGTCTACGGCGGTCCATGTAAAATCCGCAGATTTCTCATGGAAGAGGGATAGCCCAAAGTGCGAGAACAGGCAGCGTTTTCTGCCTTATTTCTCTCCATCTATTTATGAATTTTGTCCCTTTCTGACTCCTCACGAAATGGATGTATACCTGTGGGAAGAAACACCTTTCTATTGTACTAATTATACCATTATTGGTTGAAGATTATGCTGTTAGTGTGAGCTGTGAAGGGGTGGAATGGACCGCAGAGATTTTCCATCTCCATACAGGACCAGCCATTGAATTTTCAGGACCTTCAGGGCCATACCTTTTGCAATTTGCTTGCCTAGGTATGTTGATGAAGTAGCTCTTACCCCCAATTTTACCATGTTCCATTTTGCAGCTTCAATTCAATGGCACTCGTCGTTTTGCATCCGGCAAACAGAGTCATACTCAGCCACGTCAACCATTATAAAACATTCAAGTCCGCGTTTACGTGCATTGTACCACTGACCATAATGGCACGAGTCTGCTGTAATGGAGTATGACCTGAGCTTAGTGTGGCAAACTGGCAGATTTCTTGAGGATTCGCAAGTGAATGAAGCTGGAAAATATCGTGCGGCAAAAGACCCGAGCAATTCCTAGCCAACAACACTTGATTGATACTATCGCTCTGCCTCAACATCAGGTTCCCAACACATCTCTGGATATGCCCGGCCCATTATCCAGCAGTAGTGAAAGTGTGTTGGCTCCATCGTCAAGTCCCATGCCAACACAAGCAGCAACACCACAGCCGGCACCGGCGCCAGTGCCAGCGCCAGTGCTAGACCTCAATCTCGCGGATCTTGAGCTGATGATGAACTGGTACAGCATCGACATACACCCTTTCTCGACCGACTTAGAATACAAAATTGTCTGGCAGGAAGCACTTCGGCGGGAATCGCTCACATATCCGTTCTTAATGCATGGAATTCTAGCGGTATCTGGTCTTGAGCTTGGACGAAGATCAGGGTGTAACGCCTCCAATATCAAACAACAGCTATATCTGGCCCTCGCCCTTGGCCACCACTCTCGGGCTGTGGCTCTATCCCAACCATTACTAGGAAATATCAATGAAGAAAATTGCAAGGCTGTGTTCCTGGTTTCGATCCTTCTTACTGTCTTCGCATTTGGGTCCTCGCAGGTCTTGAACTCAGGGGATGCCTGCAACTCTATCAACCAGCTCCATCTTGTCTTTCTTCTTGCAAGAGGTATGCAGCAGGCATATTCTACTGCAGCAGATCAGATTAAGGGCGGTGCATTTGATGTAATCATGAAACTAGACGATTACACCCCGTGGCTACCCCACGATGCAATGACAGCGTTACGGAAGCTCAGCCAACACAATAAAAACTACAAACGATACACTGTCCAGAATGAGAAGAATGCTTACGAGACTGCCATAGACCTAGTTCAGTTCATATTCAAGCAGATTCACGGGGGTTCGACAAGACCTAATCCAGTGATTACATGGGCAACAACGGTGCCTCCGCTCTACCTGGAGCTTATGAGGGCACGTAGGCCCATGGCACTTGTTATACTGGCTCATTACTGCGTCGCCCTGCACCACCTTAGAGGGATATGGTGGGTCGATGGGTGGAGTGTTCCACTCCTGCGGGAAATTTGGTCATCGCTTGATGGGGAGTGGAGGAAATCGCTTCGATGGGTGGTTGCAGTGACGAAATTCACACCTTAGCAACGTTAATAAGTTCGCGGTGAGGATGATCAGAATACAGTTCGACGTGTTGGAATATCTATCAACTTGGAGTTTCAACCTCGATCCAGGACTTTGAGTGGACTTCAATCCGGAAAAGTGGACTTCATTCACAGAAATGGTAAGCACCGTCCAACCATGCAGCTCGTCATTCCTCCCCTGAAAGAACCATACCTAATCAAAATGTATACCTTTTTATAGCACTTGCGATGTTGCTACCGTTGCCAATCGCCACATTTATTTCTCTTGCCCGAGACGAGAGAGCTGCATTGAAAATTGCATTAAGTGGAAAGAGTGAATAAAACTGAACTGTTTGAAAAATTAATTTTAATCTACCGAGAGAGAAATGTGGCAGTTTCCCCAATTCTTGCTGTAGATACCATGCACTTTGACTATTGTATCAACGAGAGATAAACAGCAGGCGAAGTCCAATTGATGAATCGATACGAAGCTAAACATTGCCTTCGGCGCTTGACGGTCCCCAGAATTCCCCAGCCTTGAATCCGCGGCCGAGAACGGTGTCCATCTGCATTGATACAATCCACTAATCAAGTGTAAATAAATCCTGGTAGTACGGCCCTTCGATAATTTTTTAGGTATGTTGTCACTTACGTACAAATATCGTGTTCCGTATAAAAGTAGCGCAGCTCCCACATTTTTTTTGCATCAAGTAAAGGGCATGGAGCAAGGAGATCTATACCAACCGTGCCTTGCACCCCCCCCACCCCCAAACAGCCGCAACGGTTAGAACAGCCACTCCCATAGCAACCAAATCCAATCTATACTTTACGTTGGCCGCCCAATCCGCTCCTTGCAGCGTTCCGGTACACGACGTTCAGCGAGAGTAGACTGCTCGAACTGCGCGGCGCGAGGTTCTTTGAAGTTGAGGGTGATGTGGTGCCGTATGCGAACACGCCGCGCAATCGCATCCTGGGCATTGAGGAAGGGTTAGATCTTGAGGCGTCTGGGTGGTGCGGTGTATCATCGTACGTTGAAAGGAACGTTGGCAGTAGCGGATTGTGTGGTGCTGGCATGTCCGCATACGCCGGAGACGCATCATACTCTGAACCAGGAGACATTCAGGGTTATGAAGAAGGGGGTGCGGGGTGTGAATATTGACGAGGATGCATTGGCGGATGCGATTGAGGATGGAACAGTGGCAGGGGCGGAGTTGGATGTATATCATGATGAGCGCGTGTTCTTCCTTGTTATTTTTTGAAATCCAAAATTTCTTTGCTGCAGCTGCTTCTGGAGGGGCAAGGTTTGCTGATTGTCCACCCCAGATTGCTGGATAATATGAAGAAGATCGTGTGCGACAGCAATGTGGGGGGGACGTGTGTTGGTACCCATGAGGTTCTCATTTTACAAGGCATTGGACATTTGACTCCGATCTAGCAGTCCGTTTTTAGTATTATTCTTAATTTTATTGTATTTATTTATTTATTTACTTTTGACTCACAATACTAATTGATGAATCTTGAGGCTTTCTTCCTCGCTGATGGTAACGTTGAAGAGTGATTGATATACAGTATAAATCTTGGATAGCTAGTCCAAACTCCCTGTGATGTCGAATTCTCGGCACAGAATCGGAATGTAACAATAAAATTAAGTTAGTTAATTAAGCTCTACAAACCTTTTCTAACCGTTTGTAGTTAACTTTCACTAGTTAGTTACTTAGAACAGGCTCAAAGATTTTTCCGCGATGATGTAAATTTGCTTGATAATTTCCCCAATACAACATCCAACTTTTTCATCTCTACTCCGTATCCGCCCTGTTATCGGATCCACTTTCTTGATCTTGTGATTTCACCGCTCCATGCTATTGCTGGATGTCCAGGGCTAATTCCGGATACTGCGTTCTCGACCGCCTGACCGCTTGTGATTGCTGCAGGCACGGTGTGCATAGTCACATCGCAGCTAGATACAACTGTTGTTTTTGGGCTCCGATGGCCTGGATATATCACCATGTCTAGTTCTTCACTTCGTTTCTTCCACTCCGCACAGGTCTAAGGTAATCTAAAGTTGATTCCTTACGTACGGATAGGAGGAGATGTTGTTCCTCTGCCTCCTGACTACTAGCGATTATTGCAATCTTGATACATGTTTTATCACGTCATAGATTTGGCGGTTCTGATTTGATGCGATTAATCGAAGAGACATATCTGTGAACATTCTGCGAAGAGGAGCATTGAAATCGCGGGAGAAACGAGGACCGCTGCTCCAAAGAGGCCTCCCGTTACCGCAACCGTTTTCTCCAATATAAACGGATATATCTCACGCGCATACCCCGCTCCTATATCTCCCTATATACAGCATCCAGTCGACATATGACAACAGCGGAGCAAAGCCCAATCCATAATGGAGCGGGTTTACCAATCCGCCCGGAATCTCGCGTCCTAATAATAATGACAGGCGGCACGATATGCATGCAGCGCTCTGATTCCGGCTTCATCCCCGCACGCGGCTTTCAAAAGACTGCGCTGGATCCTGTACCCATCTTCAATGACAAATCCAACCCCAAACCCCTCGACGTCGTCATTAACGGTATAGGTGAGCGGCGACTACACGATAGCCTCCGCACCCCACCGACCTCCTATGGCGGCCGCGTCCGCTACACGGTCTTCGAATTCGATGAACTGCTCGACAGCAGCTCAATTGACTCGAAGGGCTGGGCCCAGATCGCCCTCACCATCTCCTGGAACTACACGCTCTTCGATGCCTTCGTTGTCCTGCATGGTACGGACAGTCTGGCCTACACATGCTCCGCACTCAGCTTCATGCTGCGCAACCTAGGGAAGCCAGTGATATTGACCGGGTCGCAGGCCCCCATGCTTGAGTTGCAGAACGACGCTACGAACAATCTCCTCGGCTCGCTGGTGATCGCGGGCAATTTCATGATTCCGGAAGTATGTTTGTACTTTAACTATAAGCTGCTGCGGGGGAACCGGGCAACCAAAGTGTCCGCGAGCGCATTTGCAGCGTTCGATTCGCCAAATTTCGCGCCCCTGGCTGTCACAACGGCCATGAGGACGAATGTGGCGTGGGATCTTGTACGTAGGCCGACGCATATTGAGCATTTTAGCATCCAGGTCAACCTGGATACAACGCATGTGGCCTGTCTGAGGATATTCCCTGGAATTAAGCCAGAGATGGTGGACGCCGTGTTGCGGTTGGAGGGATTAAAGGGCCTTGTACTCGAGACGTTTGGCGCCGGAAATGCGCCAGGTGGCCAGGATAATGCAATGACGGACGTGCTCGCGGCTGCGATTAAGCGCGGGATTGTTATTGTAAATGTCACGCAATGTATTTCTTCCATCTCCTTTCCTTCCCTTTCCTTTTCCTTTTTCTTTCTTTTTTTGAAAATTAGAGCTCACCCACCATAACAAGGTCTTTCCGGTTTTGTCAGCCCAGTTTATGCCCCAGGAATGACCCTCTACCGTGCCGGCGTTGTTGCTGGTCAAGATATGACGACGGAAGCTGCATTGACTAAACTTGCCTACCTACTTGCTCTTCCCGGAGCAACCCCTCAATCTGTCGCGCGCGACATGTCCATCTCCCTTCATGGAGAACTTACTGAACACTCACAGCCACTTTTCGAACACCCAGACGGCGCTCTACCACAACGAGTCAAGAGTTTGGCTGCACTTGGCTACGCAATTGCGCATGGAGATCTCGAGAAAGTGAAGGATATCCTCCGTGGTGAGGAGGAGTGGATTTTGAACGATGCTGATTATTCGGGAAATACTCCATTGGTATTTATGGGTTTTTTTTATTTTATTTTATTTTATTTTTTAATTCTCTTTCCCTGCTTTACGTCAGCTATAATTTCCTTACCCCGAACAGACCTTTACACTAACACAAAAGTACAAAAAAAATCAACAGCACCTCGCCGCAATATCCCCCAATCTATCGATCCTACGCCACTTCCTTCTCCACGGCGGATCCGTCCACTTACGAAACCGCATGGGCCGAACCGCGCTTTTCCTCGCCGCCAACGCTGGCCTAAGTGAACATGTCCAGCTGCTGCGACAGTCGGGCGCCCATTTACATGCTGACGAGCGCTCTGTGGCTGAGCTGTATGCGAGACAGCGGCTGGAGAATGGGCAGGGTTTGGGTATCTGGGGGCTTGCTGGGGTGGAGGTGGATGGACGTGGGGAAAGAGAAGAGGAAGGGAAAATGAATGGGCAAGCGGGAGGGAAATCCAAAGAAAATATGTTGTGAATTTAGAGATGAGGTTGGCGTTGGCGTCCCTTTTCCTGAATGCATTTTATTAAAGTCGAAAGGGTTGGGGGCTTAGAGAGAGGAAAGTGTTTTGCTTCTGGGGCCGGTATCTTTGTGTCGGGTTCTCTGCTGGTGCTTTATCTAAAGGAGTTAATGGGAAGCGATTGTTACACATTAGTTACACATATACACCAACAAGAGTCGTGTGTTATTAAAAGAAACGAAGATATATGGATATATCATAATCCATCCATGTTTTGTGAAGCGGTGTCGAGCAGCATGTTGCGAGCAGACGTCCTACACAACATTTTTCCTCTATATATGTATACAGCGTAAGTTCAACGGTAATTAACGCCCCCGACTGTTGGTGGATGGCGCATTTGATTGGGCCGGAGAATTATTCGCTCTAACCTGGCTTGGTTAGGCTAACTGCCGGGTGTCAAGCCATCAAAGAACTATATAAAACATGCAACAGTCCAACATGCAATACTCCGTATACGAGGAGCCCTTTTGCGTACAGACATTACCATCATGATGATTATTGTTTACACCAGATTGATCTGTGCTTCGCTTAGGGTGTTGGTCATGAATCCATTTGCAGTACCCAGGAAAGTATCAACGGGTCCACCACAACTTATCCTTGCAAACGGTCTTCTCGTCCACCCCCCATAAGGACCCAAGTGAACCCGAACCCGCAGGTTATATTCGTTACCAAAGTAATCACAAGCAAGAAGAAGCAAAGCACTCATATAATTCGTCTGTTGACTGGAATGAAAGGATTGAGTTTCGCGGGAACATCGGGTCCTCCTCCTTCTCATGACATCATGACCTGCTTAAAACGGACTTCTCTTTGCTATAATTGTTTCTTAACGACCTCCCTATCTTTCTGTGTTTTGGACTGTTTCACCCTTCAATTATCGAGCAAGCGTATCGCTTAAGGAAAAAACGCCACCATGACCCAGCCCATCAAAACTGACACTTGGCTCGTCGAAGGCACAACCGGCTTCAACAGCCTACATCTTCGTCGCGAAGTCACAATTCCAGCATTAGGCGACCATGACTGCCTTGTCCAGATCCAGGCAGTGTCCCTCAATTACCGGGACCTCATCATCACAAAGGAATTTCCCACCTCTTCCATTCCACCTACAAACCCCCCTTATATAGAGCAACCTTGTATATCCACTCTACGGAGTCCACACGCTAATATACTACATACAAAAACAGGGTCTCTACCCATTCCCCATGACCCTCCCACGAGTGCCGTGCTCTGATAGCGCAGGCATCGTCCTCTCCACAGGGCCTCGCGTCGTCCACTTCCGCCGCGGCGACCGCGTCTGCACGCTCTTCAACCAAACGCACCAGTCAAACCCCATCACGCGCGACTCCATGAGCTCTGGCCTGGGCGGCACCCTCGACGGCACCCTGCGCAAGTACGCGGTGCTGCCCGAGACAGGCCTCGTCATGGCGCCCAGCAACCTCAGCCCCATCGCTGCCAGTACGCTTAGCTGCGCGCCCCTGACGGCCTGGAATGCGCTGTATGGCCTGACGCCGCTGAAGCCGGGAGATGTTGTGCTGACGCAGGGGACGGGTGGGGTGAGTCTTGCGGCCATCCAGTTTGCGGTGGCGGCTGGGGCGATGGTGGTGGCCACGACATCGTCGGAGGAGAAGGCGCTGCGGCTGAAAAAGATGGGCGTGCAGCATGTGATTAATTATAAGACGACGCCGGAATGGGGGGAGGTTGCGCGGTCGTATACGCGCGGTGGGCGTGGGGTGGATCATGTTATTGAGGTTGGCGGCCCGGGCACGATGGCGGAGTCGCTAAAGGCTGTGCGGAAGGAAGGGATTATTACTGTTATTGGGTTTCTGGGTGGTACAGGAGGAAAGGGCGAGAAGGAACCGAGTATTTTGGATCCGTTGGTGCATATTTGTACTGTCAGGGGGATCTTTGTTGGATCGCGGCAGCAGATGGAGGATATGGTGCGCGCGATTCAGACAAACAATATCCAGCCGGTGGTAGATGAGAAGGTGTTTACATTTGAGAATGCTAAGGAGGCGTATCAATATCAGTGGGACCAGAAACACTTTGGGAAGGTTGTTATTAATGTGCAGGGTTGACTGGTCGGCATTTATAGATGCCTATGTCAATGGGAAGGCCATTCGAGCCGCAAAGACTGCCACATCTTATATTTGATAATTCCTCTTGTCTCGGGCTTTATTATGTTCATACAATTAGAAGTTGAGAACGGTTTCCAAAGCAGAGTTCTCTCCTCAGAGCTAAAAGCATTGCACAGAGAATTGTGGGATATTATGACAAGAAAAGCTTTCCCCTTAGTAGTTACTGCTATGCTACTTTATATCACGGGTATCAGACTCCACAACCCAGACTACAGTCCGACGTCCTGCCTATCTCCACGTTCCCAGATCACCAGGATTGACCCGTTCGCCTGCTTATCGAACTATATTATTTACGTGTTGATATTATCCATCGACTGCGTAAATAATTGCTTTCCTATTTTATTTTTCCATCCTTCTCCTCTGGCACAGGGTTGATTCATAGACTCGACGTTTTTTTCTTTCTTTCATTAACCGGTATGGATTGTCACCTGCTTATGGGGTTACCATTAGGTGGTGACTTTTTATCAATGGTTTAATCTATATTTGTATGCATGTTTATATGATGGAAACATGGAAGCCGGCCCGAACTGGAAGAGCCGGCCCGACGGAACATCCCCGAGGGATCCTTCCCGGCAACCCAATATTTTTGCACAAGCCATGGTATCGACAGTTTTTCAACGGAAAAATAACCGAAAGGAGACGGCAGCGCTACGGACTCAATTCAATCTCCCCATTGGTTACTTCTTATCATTGTCAGCGCATGATGTTTTACATTCAAAAATGAATACCTCAAACATGTGTTGCCTACTTCTATTAACAGTTGTCGTGTTAGGATAAATGGCTTTGGACAAAAGTTACCTCCTGGGTGAGGTGCGGATCTGCACTGCTGGAGCACATTGCTGGAGAGTATTATTACGTCCAAATTACGTCGCATGTCAACTTCCATGTGGAATTGACGCCATTTTGCTACAGGAGACGAAAAGTCGGGTGCACTGGTTGCCAAATATTTATGAGAAACACTTGATTCAGGGAACTTATAGCAAGCCATTAACACAATTCTTTAAAATGAAACCAAGTGAGAAAAGCAGGTTAAGGAGTTAAAAAATAAATAAAATAAAACAAAGTGTTCTTCCGCGCTATCCCTCAGTTTGGAAGTCCAGAAACCTGATTCCCAGCTATATCGCGTCCAATTCTCGGCTTTTGCGGGGCTCTACCATGAATCTGAGACTCTCCTCTTTTGGTATCTTCAACAGGGGTCAGGGGTCGTGGCGCCCCAGTTCGCGTCCTGGTACCCTGCTTCACTAGGCGTTGTTGATGCATTGGATTCATCCGGGGTAATGGGTGGGTCAGAAGCCATCTGGTGCTGAGATATTGATTGATTTCGAGATTGCGCTGCAAGCTCTGCGTGTCGTTCATTTGCCAACCTAATAAATTCATCCCTTTTTTCCTTCGCCCAATCTCGAGCATTCCGGTACGCGGACACCCCCCGCACAAATGTTTCCAGGTCACTGGTGATCGACCAACCTTTGAGCTGAGTCATGACGTATTCAGGAGGGCAGTCCAGATCAGGGGACTGTACGAGGTGTGTAGCATATAACTTGAGATGGCCGCCGACATAAGTTGAAGTAATAGTATAAGCATTGTTATCATAAACTGGTTTGTCTTGTTGATATGACTGAAGGAAATGTATGCCGCGAGCTCCTAGTGCACCGTAGTAACAGGCTTGCCGGTTAGCAACAGCGGGAAATCCATCGGGACCTTTTACTTCCAAGAAGAAATTTGGGAGTATTGGGAGGTCACCCTGGGTTGATGGAACGACATAGCTACTAAGCTCTTTCCGTATTTTAGGGTTGAGTTGTGTAGGAGAAGCACCGTAAAAGCGATCTGGTTTAGCATGAGCCAGCATCCCATTAGTTAAAGGAGCGAGTTTCCCAAATGGATACCCTCCTCCACTGAAATTAAGACCACCATCATTGCCTTCAATAAGAGGAATCACCGATAAAATCACTAGCTTTTCTTTCGAAGCACGTGCGTCTGCTAAAATAAACTTTTCGAATTCCTCCTCAGAGAAATTTGATAGAGAAGGCCGTGGTTGCGCTAAAACCTCATTGAGTTCCTTCCAGTTATTTGGCTTCGCCGGTCTTCTGCCATTGGGGTACACAAAATTGTGAGAGTAGATGCCATGGTCAGCCAAATGTTGTTGGAAGTTACGACAATAGGCGGTGGTGGCCATGGATTTTGTGGATTTTGTGGATTTTGTGGATTTTGTGGGGGGTGAAATAGAGGCAGCAGGCTGAGATTCTGCAAGTCGCTTTCGGCTCCAGGAACGGGAATTTTTGGTATACTAAAATCTGTCAGCACTGGCGTGTAACTAACTAACTAGTTAAGATTCTGTAGTTTACGTACATATCTAATGTCGGACAGATCAGGCCCTCCCAGTCTAGCCAGTCTTTTTATTTTCTTTAGATAAATGGGAGTGCAATGGCGAAGAAAGTCAGGAGCGAACTGAAAAGGCTCATAATGCTTCTTCCTCAGCTCCGCATGAAATTTTCGAGTGAGAGGCCGACGATTCTGGGACGATCTCTGGCAATGGTTTCTTCGGTCCAACTCTCTTAACGCACTTTTAGTGAACCAAACGTCTGACAGGTTATCCCAATGTGCTGATTCTATATTGCTGAGTTTCTGCCTTTTCGACCTAGGTGGGGACGTGTTGTAAGGATATTGCTCAGGGAACTGATGTTTGTGAGGTGGATTGGTAGTCACTGGGCAAAGCATATGGTGGTTGCCATCACCTGTTTGCGCCTTGGCCATTCCAGCGTGCATCGAAAACTGAAGGATAGAGATAGGTCTTTATAATTATATGAGAGCGCTGCCAGGCGTGGAGCTGAGAGTTGCGAGAACTAGAAGCAGGCGTCAGGCTCGTATCTTGTATTGGATAGCGAGGTGGTGATAGGTTAACTTTGCACCAACGGCTTGTATAGACAACATTCACCGCAGCTTATCCCTGTTCCCGAGGCGTCCCCTCTGAGGATTGAGTAAGTAGATAAGCAAACAGTGGACGCGAGGATCGTGTTGTTCCAAGATTGTGGTGGAACGAAGAGCAAATAAATATAAGCTGCCACCCGGGCAACTCGTGTCTAACACCAATCAGGGTCTCAAGTTCCAGCTCAATGAATTGCTTCCTCCGAGATGAAACACCGGGAGGGCCAGGAAACAAACGATGATTAGATATTCCCTCAGGTAATATGGTAGGTCATTGTTGCCATAGTTGTTCTACACGAGCTTCGGATAATTTGGGAACGTTTGTTGATATTCCTGCACCAAGGCAGCGTGGTTTGCTTGCGTTCTGCTATATTCCGTATGAATACGACTGAGGGAGTCGGCTACTTACAGAGAGGTCATGCGAACTGCTCTCTTTACCTTCGCTGCTGGTGATGATTCGTATGCGCGTTCTTGTTCCGAATAGCGTTGCTTAAACAACCAGGCATAAAAAAAATGCCAGGAAAAGCTGATGCAAGAGATATCACTGCGCGCAGTGGCACTATCCGCCCATGACTTGCGGCTTAGGGCTGTCAAGGGAAATGCCGCAGGGTCAATTTGCCATTATTTGTTTGCTCTGATGCCCCACTTTCGGTGCTATCCTTTCTTGACAAAGAGCCTGCATAAGGTTATATACCTCATTCGCTCTTTTTCCTTTGCGTGCCATGTCCACTTGCATGTTCTGTCCATGTACTGTACTGTACATACTTTTTACCTCCCGATCTCCAGAGAAGTGTTCAATCAAATGGGAAAAGGCCCTTGCTGCCCATTGTTCCCTCTGCCTTCCATCCTGAAGCATGCCCCACCTCACACTACAGGTGGTGGGGCGAGTAGGTGACGAAATCGTGAAAGGGGAATGCAATCCTTGGGGGAGTCATTCATTGCATACACAGTAAGTATTACATCCGTTGATGTATGAGATGGACTGATATTGGCACCTGGTTCATAAATCAGACTAGCACAACGGCTATATTGACATGCTGCCCTAATTTTGGGTATTATTATGGTACTTGGTAGCTACTACCTGAACGGAGGTGTGGAGTAATAGTCCTTTTTTTTGCACACGTTGGAAATTGAAATGGAAATCTCAATGGCGGTTCAAATCATTCAAATGTTGCCCCTCATTGGAGAGGTTATGGGGCTTGAACTTACCCCTGTTTTGGCAGCCACCTAACCAAACGAACGAACCCCAATTTCGGAGGGGCTGGTCAACATGGAATCCGCGCGACTCGTTCAGAACTGTGAAACAAAATTCCCTGCCAGACGCTGAAAACAGCTGATATAGACTACCAGTCAATAATCCCGGAAATATCAGCTTGGGACTTTTGAGTTGACAGGTATACTCTGCACGTGGAGATTGCCAATGCCGTAAAACCAGCGCATGGGTGACTTTAGTTTGCGAAAGAACATGAATCCCATTTGAGATCGCTTTTCCAACACGCAGAGCATTTTGGAGAGGCTAGGCTGGTATTGTCAAACGCCATAGAATGACCTTGAGGCATTAAGGTGTTGAAGGCATATATGTTTTTGCAGCTGCAATTTCCGAAGTCAAAGAAAGAAGAATGTGATTGGTCGGTCCAATGCCAAAGATTTTACTCGGCGCTTTGGTTATGCCTGGTTGAATGAAGGCAGAGTAGTAAAGCCGAATTTGAATTGTCAGGAAGGTCACCGTTATCGCATAACAACCCGAGTTAGAGAATTTCAGAACTGCGAGGTAGTTTTCAATATCAGCAACCTAGCCCAGGATTTGGATCTTCTGTTTTCCTTCGATGATGTCCCTCCCATACGTCAGTTAGCGCTACATACACCGGCCTGCTTCTCTATGAGGATGTACTCTACTCCTAAAGGAGAACTCTATACATGCACTCTCGTAACAGGGAGGTTCAGAACGTCCTTCAAACCAGGAGAGTTAGGATAGACGCGCAAGGCCACAAAACCGGCCATAGTCGCAACTTCACTATGATGCTGAAATTGGTCCACCTATGACCCCGTGTTACGGCATTAGAAGTGGATATGGTGTGAGTTGCATTGGCCCCTCTGATGTTCTGCTCAGCTGAAAATTTGGTTGAGACCTTCACATTTACATCGACAGAATCTCATCGTACACACAGAACTTCACCTATGCACTAAGACTCCATACGCCACTTTCCCGCAACTTCAATCGCCTCGGTACACTCATGGCGGCTTGTTTTTCTTCCGGCAATTCTAAAATGAATGAAACCAGGGGTATCGCGGATTCAGAGTATGAACATGGAGGCATTGAATTGGTTTACCTCAGGTCGTTGGTTTGGAACGATCGACAGTAACTTGCTTCAGATCGCCTTGGGTCTAGTCGTCGTAAAATTTTGAGAAAGCTTTACCGAAAGCAAAAGGGATCACTATGGAAGTTGCTTTTAACACTATGGAGGTCCTAGTAGTTGTCAAAGGTTGGGATGACCGTGTCGGAAGGACTTGAAGATTTTTATTAGTGGCAGCATCAATTCAATCTGTGCGTAGTGTAATAAATCTCGCTGGGGCTCTCCCGCATAACATTGTTCGCGTTGGCAGTCTGGGATGTTTTTTGCCTTGCTCGACATCTTCAACAAGGGATTGCAGTATGATGCGCTCTGGGGAGGTTACCTTTGCTTGAGTCGAAACAAGCGCTAGTCCACTGTTCAATGCATCATGCAGCTGGGATGAGCTCTTGGATTGGACAGTTGAATGGTCGTGGCGGAGCCTTGCATGCGAATGAAGGTGACAGTGAAGGTGAGGAAGCAATGGATGGAGGAGAGAAACACACTCACGTGGCCACAAGACCGCGGATACCTCGATGCTGTCCAATCTGTGGGATGATACACGGGTCTTATATATAACCCTAACCCTAATATACAGCTTTTGGTAAACATAGCGAAGCATGTTCGTGATAACCAACTACAAGGATTGCTTCAGGTTCGCTGTGGATGGTGACATTTTAGTGCTGTTGATCTCGGCAGAAATGCAACTAATCTGGAACCAAAGCCATTATCTGGCGCTTCCAGAGCCCCGAAGAACGGGATCCAAATCATACATTTCTCCCCCGCTCCGAAGGAAAGGAAAGGAAAAAGCAAAGAAAGGCTGCACGGGACCAGCTCGATTTTTCTTCAGTTCGGCGCTGCCTCTCCTTGTTCCTCTCATTTCCTCTGCGCTTCCTTTGCGGAGAGAGAGACGCTAACTAGCTCTGGCCCCCGATATCAGGTCCCGACTGTCGGTACGAGCACTCCGTAGTCTCCCCCTTATTCCTCTCCTCTTCTACATACGTGGCACCAACCCTTCATGCTCTGCAATTGATGAGGCTTTTTCACCTCTCCCGCTCCTAGGTAGAGCCCTGGTGTGATGGTGTCCCTCATAAACTTCTCTCCTCCCCTCTTCCATCCCCCCTATCTCCCCACTAGCTGGCCCCACCGCCAAAATAAATCTTTTTATACGGCCTCCTTCTGGCCCCCTTCCTGGGCACTTCTCTCCAACTACAGGCTCGATCTCCCTCCAATCAATCCATATGCCCCAAACCAAAACAATCGCCATAGTCAATGCCTCTGGCCGCCAAGCCGCCTCCCTGATCCGCGTTGCCTCGGCCGTCGGCTATCGCGTGCGTGCCCAAATCCACACCCTCGAAGGCGTCATCCCGCAGGAGCTCGCCAGCTTGCCCAACGTTACCCTCTTCAAGGGGCCTCTCCTCAACAATGCGCCGTTGATAACAACCCTCTTCGACGGCGCAAATCTCGCCTTCATAAACACCACCTCGCAGGCTGGCGATGAGGTAGCCATCGGCCGCGATCTGGCCGACGCCGCCAAACGCGCGGGCTCCATCACCCACTACATCTACAGCTCCATGCCCGACCACGCAGCCCACAACCCGTCCCGCTGGATTTCCCTGCCCCTCTGGAGCTGCAAGTTTGCCGTCGAGAATTACGTGCGCCAGCTTGGGCTGCCGGCCACCTTCGTCTATGCGGGCATCTACAACAATAACTTCACCAGCCTGCCGTACCCGTTGTTCCAGATGGAGCTGTTGGAGAATGGCTCGTTTGAATGGCGCGCGCCGTTCCATCCGGATATACCGCTCCCTTGGCTCGATGCTGAAGCTCCAATGTGGTGGAATTCCCCCACTGTCTTGCAGATTTTCAAGGATGGGCCGAAGAGGTGGAATGGGCATCGGTACGTCAACCCTTCTAACTAGTAAAACTGCACCTACAAATCCTCCAATAAACAATCTACAAAAACCACATCGAAACAACACGCAAGCTATGTATATCTAATACAAAGAAAATACATAAAGAATCGCACTCTCCTTCGAAACCCTGACCCCTAACCAAGTCTGCGCCGCCTTCTCCCGCGCCCTCCGCCGCTCATGCGTGTACACCTACTCTCCCAAAATCGACATCAAAGTCTCCATCCCCGCTGGCTACCGCGAGCACCTGGAGGGCATAGAAGTGTTATTCGGGCAGATGCAGGCGCCCTATTTCCCGCAGCCAGAGTTTATAAACGCCGGGCACAATCAGCACCAGAGTCAGGCTATCGTGACAACAACAACACCATCAACAACAGCAACAGCAACAGCAACAATAACCAGATCAGCAGCATCTGCAACGACGAAAAAAGTGAGTAAGATAAGGGGGCCCGTTGCTGATGTGGGACAAGGACAGAGACAGGGGCATGGCACGGGAAAGGGCCCCGGAGAGCCATATGGGGGTATTCAGTCGCTGGGGCTTGTGGACGAGGCGAGGAGCTTGTGGGAAGGGTGGAGGGATATGGAGGAGTATGCGCGGGAGGTCTTCCCAGTAGAGGAGGAGGCGAATGGGTTGGATTGGATGATATAGGCTTGATTGAGTCTTATTGTTGGGGGGTGACGCCCTCGATTTGGATGGGGGATATGAGCATACGAGATATGAGATATGACATGCGAGATTTGAAATTTGAGATATATTGAGATGTTGAATGATTGATTTGGGTTAGGAATATTGTTGAATTGGCCCCAAAGGGCATGAATGAATGAATGAGGAAGACGAGTGTGGGTATATCTCATCTCACCTCATTCATCTTATGTTTATTTATTTATTTATTTAACTCTTTATGTATGTATGGTTAATGAGCCCAAAAAGACACTTTTTTTTCACATCATACGTCCGCGGTGCTGTGGTAGTGAGAAAAAGAACCGATTTTCCCCCTTTTGCGATAGTTATCCCTGCCATCTTGGAAACCCCCCCTTTTAACCACTGTGTCTAAACCCAAGCTGTGATCGAAAATATTCCACAAGCTCAATCAAACCATAGATAGCATTGCAATAATTATTAATCGCCCTCGACATTCCATCTAACTCTCCTCGTTTTCAATTCTCCGGCCCTGAGCGAATGCGTTCACTAAGCCGCTATCAAACAGTGCTACTGTAGACGCAGTGCCTTGAACTTGTGCGCAGTGCAAAGTAGGGACGCACGATCGAGGGCTGGCGCGGATTCCACAGCCCAGCAGGTATCCAGCAGGTAAATTGAGTGCATTAGCCTATTATTGTTAGGTGGAGCTTCCATAGCTTAAGGAGCTCTGGTTAGCGGTAGTAGTAGCAGCTGAACCTTGCAGGGAAAAAAAAGTTTTCCTCCAAAATTTCCGCGAACAAAGTTTCTGTCAACTAACCTCCTTTTTTCTTTTCTTTTCTTTTTTTTTTTTTTTTGGTGGGATATCGCTTTCTTCCTTCCACTTTGCGTATTTTTTGTGGTTTTGTGTGGTTCGATATACCTACCTTCTATTTCTTTATTCCATTCAATTCTGTGTTGTTGTTTGGTTATAATTAAACTGGACGTCGAGGGAAAGAAAGGTGTGTAAAACTTTCATCAAGCTTGCGACAAAAAGCGGGTTATTTAACTTCCAACACCAACACACCAGCATTTATCGGCGCTTCATCTTTTGCTTCCCCAACCCCCCTCCTCCCCCCTAACTCCTATCAAAATTGTTCCTCCTCCTCCTGTTTTATTTTGGAGAATGTGCGCATCGCACGAGCACTTTTACCTATTTCCCACACAACACGACACCAAGCCGGTCGCTAACCCACGATATCTAATAGAGACGCCCATACAATGGCCTCCGACGACGAAGTCCCGCTCCTCAAGCGCATGGAATTCATGACTGATGACACCCCTGTGATCTCCAAAGAAACCACGCGCGAAATGGCGCTACTGGAGCGCGAGTTCGTGGAGGCGGAGGTTCAGGCGCGTACGTATTGATTGATATTCCTTTTAGCCATGGCCATGTTGCGTTGCTTTGCTAGGGTGTGTCTCACTCAATATATATATTTGGGAATCGAGGCGGAAAAAAAAAAACCCCAAATAAATGTAGATAAATTTTGGTTCTACGGGGCAACAAATGGCTAAAATTAAAATCTAATACAATGATGTATCACAATTACAGTTCGCGCCTCCGTTCCGATCTTCCGGCCCCTCTACACCCGGCGCAACGCCCTCATAACCAGCAAGCTCTCCGAGGCCGAATTCTGGCCACGAGTCTTCTCCAACCTCGAGGAGTACGTCCTCCCTTCCGACGAAATAATCATCGACCAGTGCCTTAAGAACTTCACCGTCGAGCGCTTCAGCGTCAACGATGCCGGCGATGCCGGCGAACCCCGTAACGTCCGCTTTACATTTGAGTTCGACACCAGCCCGGAGCAGAATCCCTGGTTTGGCGGCGATGGCAAATTCGTCAAGGATTTTTACTGGCGGAAGAGCATTGGCGCTTCGGAGAAGAGTGGGAGGAGGTCGGTGTGGGAGGGCCTAGTGTCGCAGCCTGTGAGGATTCCATGGAGGAAGGCCGAGATGGATCCTACCAAGGGACTTTTGGATGCGGCGTGTGACCTTGCGGAAGCGGAGGAGAAGGTGGCCGGCGGAAAGGGGAAGAAAGTTACTCCAGAACAGAGGTTGGAGTTACCCGAGTATGAGAAGGTGGTGAAGGAGGTGGCGAAGGCGGAGGCCATGGCGGGCTTGCATGCTGAGGATGAGGAGGATGAGGATGAGGATGGCGACGATGATGACGATAACGACGATGAGGACCAGCCTACCATGAGCTTCTTTGCGTGGTTTGGGTATCGGGGACGGGATATCTCGGCTGAGGAGTCGGAGGAGGCTGTGAAGGCAGATGAGGAGTATTGGGGGAAGATTTCCCGCGGAGAGAAGGTTGATGGTGACGAAGGGAAAGACGGTGAGGATGCTGATGATGTGAGCGAGGAGGGGGATGATGATGATGGCGGCGATGAGGATGGGCTTATGGATGCTGAGATATTCCCTGATGGCCATGAGCTTGCTATGGCACTCAGCGAAGACATCTGGGAGAATGCGTTTAAGTATTACGGTATGTCTCGTTTTGACAAATGTTTCGTTTCTTGTTCCAGTTTTCCTTGCTTTCCTCTCCTGCTAATTGTGTGAATGCAGTACAATCACTTCAGATGGGAGATGGCATCGATTCGGGGTTTGATTTCGACATGGATGGGATGGAAGACGATGAAGACGATGATGACGATGATGACGATGACGAGGAGGAAGCTGATAGACCTCGCAAAAAGGTCAAGACCTGAACTTTTCCCCCTTTTTTTTCGCCTTTGTCGTTTTCTCTGATTGAATGATTGGTATTTAATGGGATGTTCTCGAGGTTTGCGTGAAAAGTCCGGTATTCAGCTTTCGTCTTTGTCTTTCGTTTTATTGAACAATGTATACCAAAGGAAGTCAGCCCCTTCCAGTCCCCGTTCTTGTTTGTAGTTATAGCACAATAACCAGAATTAATAGTAGGATCAACACCATAATTAACACCGCTATACAGCAGCTTGACGCGGTATCTGCCAAGAGGATCAACCATAGTTAGCAATAATCTCCCTTATTGATGTAATAATGGAGCAAACAGAAAGGATTCATACCCTCATTACGCCTTATAATTTTTCCCACCCTCCTAACCCCACTCTGCAACTTGCCCCCAACTCGATCAGCCAGCGTGTCAACCTCTTTCAGCATCTCCACCTGCTCCTCCAGCTCTCGACCCATATCATCCGCCTGTCGCCGCAAGGTCCCCACCGTCTGAAACACGCCGTCAAGCTGCTGGTCCTGCTCCACCATCAGCTCTTGCTGCCGCTGCTGCTCGAATTCTGCATAGTAGTCTTCCCGATCGCCGTCGCCGAGTAAATGATCACCGTGGAGCTCGAAGTGTGAAGGACTGGGTAGTGATTGTCCGCTAACACCAGCACCAGCCTGCCTACTCCTCACAGCGCTAGAAGCACCAGAAGCAGTCGCAGAAGCACTGGCGGTAACCACCCGCACTAGCTCCGCGCGCATCCCATCGATCTCCCGCCCGACATCTTCAACTAACTGGCGCCGGCGGCCAACCTCCTCCAACTCAAGGCCGTAGCGATATGGATCGTGCTCGACAACGCGCACACTTTCGACGAGGTCTTTCAGATCTGTGGAGAGATCGTGGAGGGTTGTTTCAAGCTCTGAGCGTGCTTGCTCGAGTTCTGGGGAGGTGGGGGTGGTGGCTATGGAGCGGATGCGGAGGTAGGAAGAGAAGAGGGATCGGGTATTGTTGAGAGCAGAGAGGACATCACTGGTTTGTTTGTTGTGGGGATGATGTTAGCTTCTGGAGAGGGACGGGAAGATAGGGAGGGAGAATAAACATACGCTTGGACCTGGAGGAAGGGATCTGTTTCTATCGAGGACGCCATGTGTATGTGCATAGAGGTGTAGGGAATGCTGGATGTGAAGAGGAAGCGGGCGTTGGAGTTGGAAGTTGATGATTTGTCGCTTTGGGAAGCTTGGCGCCAAGTCCGGAGCTCGACTGTGAATTCAAAAATTTATATTTTTCTATTTTCCGTCAGCTGGTACTCTTTCTCTCCAGCAATTAGATTCCCGTCGGTTTCCTCGACGGACATTACTTCATTTTCTTGTATCTTATACAATTCGTCATGAATCTACTCGCGATGTCGCTAGAACATCTGCTCATCTGAGAAGCCCACGATACCCCTCCATACACTATGCGCCCCGAAACTCCCCTTCCGCTCCCCGCCTGCTGGCCGGACGCGGACACCTACATATCCTCCCTCCTCTCCTTCATAACGACTTCTACTATATTCCGCAACCTGTGCGGGGGCGTGCATATCCTCGACTTCCTCACCCGCATTCCAGATCTCTACACAACCGTCCTCCCGCAAGAGTGGAGGGATTTCTTCGTGCACCATGATATTGGAGTTATATTAGATTTGCTCATGCGAGAGGATATAGACGCGCTGCTACGGAATATTACAGGTCCGGCCAATTCGCATGGAGATGATTTTGGTGGCTGCTGGAGAGGAGCACCCGTGCTTCCCCCCGAGAGTCTTCTGCGATATATCAATGATGTTCGCCGACATTGCCTCCAGCGTGAATTTCCGCGATTGCCAATCCCAATATCGAACACCAGTAACAGCCAACCTTCCAACAACAATAATGATCATAACAATCATAAGCATAATAATGGTAATCACGATACCATCCCGCAGCACATTGCTATCGGTATGAAACCCAAAAAAGCCCATGAAGTCGCTCATTTCGCGCGCTACGTCGACGCACTATCCGATTATATCCAGCAGCAAGCAGGTGGGGCGGAGGACATCTCGCATATTGTCGATTTTGGCTCCGGGCAGAATTACCTGGGCAGGACATTAGCGAGCCCGTTGTATAATCGGCAGATTATCGCTATTGAACGCAGGCAGAATAATATTAGCGGCGCGATTGGGAAGGATGTGCTTGCGAAGTTGAAGAAGAATAAGACCAAAAAGAAGAACCAAGGGAAGAAGGAGAATGCGAGTGGTGATGTTGAGGTTGCGGCAGAGTCTGACTCTGCTGTGTCGACATCACGGAATGGGGAGGAGGTTCGGGTTGAGGATGGAAAGGAGGGTGTGATTGATCTTGATATGGGGGGGTGTGTTGGCCGCAATAATGGCCGGACTGCATATAACGCTGTGGTAAAGGAGAGACATGGTTATAAAGGGTCTATGGATTATATCGAACATGATATCCAAAATGGATACCTGGAGGCCATAGTCAGGCATGTCGTGGAACCATCATCTCCTCCAAGTCCAAACGGTCAAAATCCACAAAGCCAACGTGCATGCAAATATCCAGATTCGCCGCCCGTCTCCGAAAGCAATACCAAACCCGCTCGCGTGATGGTCATCTCCCTCCACTCTTGTGGCAACCTCGTCCACCACGGTATCCGCTCCCTCATCCTCAACCCCTCCGTCACCGCCATCGCCATGATCGGCTGCTGCTACAACCTCATGACCGAACGCCTCGGTCCTGTAACCTACAAACTCCCCATCCTCCGCTCCCTCCACCCTCGCCTCGAAGCTACTTCAAATGCCTACGACCCACACGGTTTCCCCATGAGCAAGAAGCTCGAAACGTACAGGCACGAGGGCGGTACCGGGATCAAGTTGAACATCACCGCGCGCATGATGGCTGTCCAGGCGCCTTATAACTGGGGCCCGAAGGATAGCGAGACTTTCTTCACAAGACACTTTTACCGCGCGCTGTTGCAGCGGGTGCTGGTGGATTATGGCGTTGTGCCTGTTCCCGGGATTGGGGGTCCAATTGGCGATGTACCCTTGGAAGGCGGAGGCAAGGCGGAGGAAGTGGCCAGCGGTACGCCGTTGATTGTTGGATCGATGCGTAAGGCTGCGTTCGTTTCGTTTGCCGCATATGCGCACGCGGCTATTGAGAAGTTATCGCGGGATGCGCATTACGGGGGGGCGATTCAGGAAAAGGTATGCGGGTTGCCTGAAACAGTGTTTCAGGGGTATGAGGCGCGGTATGCAGTGTATCGGAAGAATCTGAGCATTGTGTGGAGTCTCATGGCGTTTAGTGCTGGGGTTGTAGAATCAGTGATTGTGGTGGATCGGTGGCTGTTTCTGCGTGAGCAGACTGAGGTGAAGGAGGCGTGGGTGGAGGCGGTGTTTGACTATCAGCAAAGCCCAAGGAATTTGGTTGTTGTTGGGATTAAAGGGTGACCGTGATTTCCGCTTGTGGCCCTTCTGCTCTTCAGGGAGTTGGCTGGCGAACTGTGCATCTGGTACTATCAAAGTCAAAAAGTAATCCCTCACGCAGATTGCAAGCGCTGGTTTCTCAGGGTGTAAGACTAGTTGAGAGGGAATATGCTGTCCAGAGATACAGTGGATAGTTCAAAATTCGTCTCCTGCCAGAGGTCAGGTTTGCATCCAAATGCTATCCACGGCACACAACTGGCTAGGCAGCCAACCTGCTACAAAACTTGCTCATCTTCAGTCATTTCCTGATGGCCAAGGATTCAATCGGGATGGCTGAGCGCTGGTGATCGGGATCGGGGTTTTTTTTTTAAAAAACAAGGGTCGACTGACCTGGATATCGCCATTCATGCTCTTTTGCAGTGTTTCCTAAGCCTCATCATGTGGGCCATACACCGTTTCAATAACGTTGGAGCTGAATTTACCACAAGTCATCTTGCCTGATGGTTGCTCAAGCGGTACACGTTTGATGCTCGAGCCTTTTTCCTGCAATCATGTACGGATGGAATCCACTTACAAGACGGGAATTCATTGGCTACTCAGCGCCAAAACATCTCTCACCGAACATTCAAAAAGTTTGTTCGCGTCAACAAAAGCTATTGCCATCCGAAGACCAGTCAGCACAAAATATATATAGAACAATGCCCTAGGACTCACTGACAGCTTTGCCTATATATAGTTAAACCAATCATCAGCCGGAAGCCTGGCTCCTGAACTTATACAAGATTCTTTCTATTCATGGACCCTCATCGCCACCACGCTATATTGGGTGATCAGAAACCACAGTTTGAAGAATCGAAGCGACGTGACGGTCTGCATCTGCATCTGTTCCTTTCTTTTACAAACAGGGCGCATTTCATCCCATCGCGATGAAGCAAGGACGCATTGACGACGGTTCCCTCCTGCCACCTGCCTCAAAGCCCCACTCCCCCTTCCACGGCTGATTTCCGTGTCTCCAGCTTGTTTGGTTCTTTTATATTGCAGCTACTCTTCCTCTTTTTCTCCCTTTCCCTTTTCCCTTTTTTCCTCCTTTCCTCTCTATTCCCTATCCTGTCTCTCTGGACTCTACATACATATCTGTCTCTACCGTACCTATTTATATATCTTTCTCTACACTACTTATTTATATATCAAGCATAATTGCCACCTATTATTTCTATCACCCTACAACCGACTGAGTGTTTGACCCGTTAATCCTCAGCAGCCATGCCTTCCATTTGCATTAACGGTAATACACTCGATCCGAGCGCAGAGTCCCGCCAATTGATGGACTTTGGCATGATCGCAGACGATGCTTCCAAATCAGACTACGTCCTCATCCAGGCAAGCTCTGATTGTCTGTCAACTGAGGAACATGGTGCGCTTCAGACCTTAGGCGTCAATATCATGGAATATGTCTCCGAAGGTACATACCTTTGCAGCTACAAGGGCACCGACCTGACACAGATTCGTTCGCTGGAATTTATCTCCTGGGCCAATACCTACTGTGATCAGTTTGTTGTGCAAGGCAGCCTGAAATCAAGAACCCCACAGGTCAAGCAATTATCAGCATTTACTGCTACCCCCAAAACCAGTCACCTGCAATTGGTCGATATCATCGTTCATCACGATGTCGATCCAAATGATGACTCTGTTAGAGAGGCAGTCGCGAAGGCGGCTCGTGCTGATTTGAAATGCTTGGAAGCAACGTCTCAAGGTTTCCGTCTTCAGGTGCAGCAAGAGTATCTCGATGATATAGCTGCCATTGACCAAGTATACCTCATCCAGCAGGTCCATCCCTTTGTTCTCTGGAACAACAAGGCTCGCGAAATCGTCGGATGTAGCGGCACTAGCACGTATACCGAGCCAGGTGACTATCAGGGTGAGGGTCAGGTTGTCGTAGCCTGTGACACTGGTTTTGATATCGGCGATAAGGAGGATACACATCCTGCTTTCACGGGCCGGGTCGACAAACTCTACGATATGGGGAGAAAGGGCAAGTGTGATGACCCAGACGGGCATGGTACGCATGTTGCCGGCTCCGTACTTGGCAACGGTGAGTCGAAGTCCATGGGAGGCTCGATTATGGGCACCGCACCCAAGGCTCACCTTGTATTGCAATCTGTCCTTGATGGGTCTAATGGCTTGGGTGGTATTCCGCGGGATTTGACTCAGCTTTTTCGCGTTCCGTACGAAGAATGTGGGGCACGCATACACACAAACTCCTGGGGATCAGCTTCCCCTTTTGGCCAGCTTCCGTATGACGCGTCAGCCCGGCAGATTGACGATTTTGTCTGGAAACATCCTGATATGGTTATTCTCTTTGCTGGTGGTAATGACGGAGTAGACGCCAACCGCGACGGCAAGATCGACCAAGGCCAGGTTGGGTCACAAGCATCTGCAAAGAACATCATTACTGTTGGCGCTAGTGAAAATAACCGTCCCGACATCCCCGTCACATACGGCAGTCGTTGGCCAGTGGATCCCCTGCGCAATGACCGAATGGCCGACAACCCTAAAGGAATGGCGGCTTTCAGCAGCCGTGGACCAACCGTAGAGGGTCGTTTCAAGCCTGATGTGGTCTGCCCCGGAACCGCCGTCTTGTCCACTCTCTCACGACGCGCCCAAATGACCTCTCGATTTGGACAGAGCAGCGATCCCTTGTGGATGTTCCTGGCAGGCACAAGCATGGCAACTCCTCTGGCTGCTGGTTGCGTCGCATGTGTGCGCGAATGTCTTGTCAAAAACGGTGTGAAGAGTCCCACCGCCGCTCTTCTGAAAGCTCTGATCCTGCATGGTGCTATGGAGCTCGTCGGGCAGTATACACCCAGTGAAGCTGGCCCGTCTCCCAACAATAGCTCCGGGTGGGGCTTGCTCAATCTCACGAACTCTATTTGCATAGCTAGTGGAAGAGGTGGAGGCTATCTGGAAGGTAAGGCACTGGGGCATGGTGAGAGCGCACCTACACTCACTCTGACCGTTCCTCCAAATGGAACATTGAAGGTGACTCTCGTGTGGACCGATCCGGCCGGCCCACGCCTTCAGAACGACTTAGACCTCAGCGCGATAGCCCCCGATGGCCAAGAACGCCACGGAAACATGAGCACCGGTTCTGGTTATGATAGAGTGAACAATGTTGAGCAAATTATGTGGAACAATCCTCCAGAGGGGAAGATGAACATCAGCGTGAAAGCATTCCGCATCACCCGCCCCTCTTCCCCCCAGCCATACGCTCTGGTATGGTCCACAACCTGGCCTCCCGACCCGAAAGCATGAACATCTTTCTTTCGCCCTATTAAACCTGTATTTTAAACCTAATATGCCACTGCTATGTTTCCTTTTGTAGTTTCCAGCCGTTTATTGCATGATAAAATTACCAGCGGCAGAGGAAGCCTTTCAAAAGGCGGGAAACCAAAAAAAAAAAAGGCACGAAAACGAAACAGAAGGTGGAAAGTGTGGCGGGATAGAAGTTTAGACTTTCGGCTTGTTTCAATTCCTAGGAGTGTTAGCTGGTAAATGATAGATTGTGTCGCTGAGTCAACCTGTATAAATAGTTATATCTTTCAACTAATATGTAATCCCCATGATCCTACCTTCAATCATCCCAACGGACGATATGTCTTATTCTCTAGTCCTCGTACCCCTTTAACAAACATCATTCTACCAGCACTATGCCACGTGGACAACGAAAATATACATACTATGTATATTAGCTTTCCCTTTAAACCATGAAACCAAACCGCACGGTTAGTCATAGTAGTAACCGTCGTCCGACTATTTTCCGAAAGTTTTCTGACAGGGTGGGGAATAATACGGAGGAAGCCCCGCTTCTTGCATGAATGAATGTCATTATACGTGAAGCTTAATTTTTGAACCGCGCTGACGGAACGAATATTTTGGGTGGTGAACCACTATAATTGGTGTGGCGCTCTCATACCGCGGATTTTGCTCGGAAGTATGCAGGAACCCGAACCCGAGTCTCTTGCACGCATGGGCTGTGGGGTTTTAATCTCAGCGCGGGATGTATGTATGTATGTACTGGTTGTGGGCTATGTATGGGCTATGAATGTAGGAAAAGTATCTGTAGAGTAGGGGATGCGTATAATGCTTCTGTTAAGTATCAACTAACTATATTAACTATGGGGTATTAATAACAGGCATACGCCGTATGGAGTACGCTGATTGGATATAACGGGGTACATGTGCGCTCAAAACAAATGCCAAAAAGAACAAGACAGCAACGACAACTCCGTCTCCAGCCTTTAACGCCACTTCTCTCTCCGTCCGATTTGCCATGTGTGATAATATATGAGGGTTTTGAACAGGGTTTTTTTGTTTTTTTCTTCTCCCCTTTCCGGTCCTTTTGCCTACCCTCTTTCTTCTACCGTTTGATATGTAGATGAGGAATGTTTGCGAGTTGCGCTGTATGCTGATGGGAATGCCCTGATTAAAATTGTATATTCCATGTATACAAAAATGAATCAATATATATATACATATACTGACCGGTCAGCGGGTTCTCTGGCAGTCGGATCGCGCCCCCGTATCATGGCTGGGCAAATGATGGGGTTGGTTTTTTGTTTTATTTATTCTTTCTCCTGTGTTGGGAATCTAGTTGTCGACGTGGATTTGAATTAAGCGGACAGGGGAGGTGGGTGAAAGAAACCGCCCGCTATTTTTTATTTAATTTATTTTTTTGTCTTTCTCACTTTCAGGAGTTTCGGTGGGCACATGCCACATTCACATCGCTGCGGGAGCCGAAGAGGGTATGGGAAGTAGTCCCCTTTAACTTCAACAGATTGAGAACGCGCGATCAAGGAGCCAACAGGTTTCTTGTCTTGTTCTACGCGTCTTTATACGGGTGTGTTTGCGTGTGTCGCGCTAGCGTCACTTCCGGAAGTAAAAAGTTGTTCCACAGAGATCGCCAGATCAATCAGTCCCAACATATTTGAACCAGTTTGGTCGGCAATCTTCTAGCTGAAGGAAAGGTTCACCGGCGTAAAACTTCCCTGGCGTACAGCCCTTGCATTTCGGAGAGTTCGGGCAGTTAAAATATGGGATGTGTTGGTAGCCGATGTCACGGAACCTAAATGAAAAAGTGGTGGATAGGATAGGACATTAGGATAGGAAATCGACTGCGTAATGACATTGGAGAACATTGTGAAGGCAAAACAAAAAGGTGAGAAAAGCAAAGAAATCTTGACGTACCAATGGATTTTACTCTTGTCTTCGAATAGGCCGAGGCCGATAGAATGTACGGGTGCATCTCCCCATCTTTCATAGAAGAAACCTCCAGCACGATCCAAATGGTTGAAATAATCCTCATAGGCCTGGCTTCGATAAAAGGACATATCCGCGATTTCGAAGTTGGACCAGAAGTGACAGGTGGAATAGCCGTTCGCCTCCTTGTGATGTTTTGGTCTTTGCTTATTGTCCACTAACCAGTCCATTGCGTTGTTTTTATGTAGGTAATTGGGGTGTGCCTCGAGGAACTTAAGCGTCTGTGGCCATAGAGTAGTAATGCTTTCAGGAGCATCATAGAGATTGATGGTGAAGCCATAAGTTTTGTTGTGGTCTTGCATGTAGCGGAACACGTCATAATCGACGTCGCAGAAGAAATGGACCTTAGGTTCAACTCGCCAATAGTACTGCACGTTTTCCAAAGCTGGGTGCTTGTAAAACATGCCGCTGTTCCAGCGACACATTTGATGATATGACATCAGGTTGCTGTATTGTATATTTTTCTCCTCGAGGATTTTGGAGGATTCGTCGTAAAGGTCCATATTGATGAAATCGGGCACATCCCAATGCTCTTTTGGGATCAATTCTGGGAAATGAAAAAAACAGGATTAGATCGCGATTATATACAAGGGGGAGGCCAGGAGAAATTCTGCGCATTTATCCGTACCGTAATTGCATTTCGCTTTCGTTTCTGCTTGGGTTCGAATTTTGAACTCTTCCGTAAACTCCTTGTCATTGAAAAATGTCCAAGGATAATTGAACTTGCTATTCCATGTCCTTTCCAGATCCCTCATCGTCAATACCAACTCCTCCAATTCTTCGTTCCGAACTAGGGAGAGGAGCGTCGCATTGATGCGAGCAGAGTTGGGATTGTCGGGCGCATATGCATCATCTTTTGCCCGCCAAAGTGGCTCAGGAGGCTCTCCGGTAGCTACGGATCTTGTCAATACGTGTCGGATTGTGATGTGGTAGCACACGAGTTACTCACGATCTAGAAGCGGTTCTCGTAGCAGCCCATTGTCGTAATTCCCCTTTTCTCCGGTCAGAGTCGGGGGTGATTTGGAGACATGGAAGATGAGAAAAAGGGTAAGAACGAAGCAGGTCGCTAAAAGAAAACGAAGCGGTCGTGCAAGGCCCATGGTGCTTCTGTGCGCATGGCCGTTGACTAGTTGGAGAGTGAGGGTGAAGGGATAGATTTCTGATTGTTGTCTGCGGTCAGAGCAAGCTTTCGTCAGCTGAATCAGCAACAAATTCTCCTGCCTGTTACGGACTAGTTATGTTTCGCGATATCATTATCATCACGACAACTTCGACAGAACTATGAGTAAATAGACGCGTAAGTATATCAATGCCTGCCACCCGCGACTGAGTATCTAATCTAAGATTGGATACAGAATATGGCAGGCTATGGCTCTATCAGCAAACGTCGGGGCACTGACTGACGAGCTCATCATCATAATTACAAACACGTCCGACAAAGCAAGTATTCAAGCCGATTATCAATGGACTGTTCTGTTTCTAACCTGTAGCAGGGCAGCCGTCACTTTCATAAGTTGAAATCCCTGGTTGAGAGGACCCTGAAGAAGAACAATGCTGGAAGAACAGACCACCTGGATGTTGCAAAGAGACTTGACGGCCTCCAAGAAAAATTTCAAGTTTTAAACAAGGATGCATTGTCCGACGCACTTCGTATACGCCTGGAAGAGCTAAATCGAAGGAGGAGCCATCGGGCCCCTGAACTGTTGTCTTTACTCCTGGAACTCTCGGATAGGCCTGCGATACATTCCAAAATCGAGGACTTGGATTTGCTTCAACGACCAGCTTCGCCCCCGCCTTTAACGTGGAAAGATATTTATGCATCGGACCCTCCCAGTGACCAGGAAGGTATTTGGCAGGATATCGATTTTGCTGCGCTTTCCTCCGATGATGATCTATCAGACTTATCGAGCGACATATCTATCCCCAGAATTATCCCTCAACGGCCCAAGCCTCCATTGGATGATTTTAAGGTCCCTGATAGCGCTTTTTTACCAGCCGAAGATGAGACCTTGCTTTCACGCATCCAGGGTCTTGAGCTCTGGAGAAACAGGGTTGCGCAAACTAGTCAGCCGATGAATGAGGATGACCTGTGCCTTACTGAGTTTCAAGTAATAAGAGAGACGATATTTATGCTTCAGGACCTGCCCACCGTTTTGTTTTGGTATTTGGACGGTAACGTTGAGGTTGATCGGAGATTTAGATTGCGCCACGTATCGCCAGTTGCCTTCGGGAACCTACTTCGCTCATTTGGTGTCCAAGGAGCCAAATTACATGTTATTCGGCAGTTTGTTAAGCGCCCCCAGAAACTTCAATTTATGCAAATGTTTCAGCGCGAAGTGGAATTTTACTTGAGTAACTTTACCAAAAATTTATCGCATATGGAAGCGGAATACTCAAGAACAACTGAGTCTTCTACGCTGAGTTTGATTCGACTCTACTCAGATGTGTACGAGGAAACATATCTGCTACGAGAACTGTCAGACATCATCAACAAACTAGGCGATCAGTCGCAAAACGAGCCGTTCCTGTGTTTGGATTTACTCTACGAACTTGTTTGTTCGAAACAGGCGTGCGGAGACGATAAAACTTTTCAGGATGTGGCTAAGATATTTTTCAAATGCTTCGAAGTGTATGCAAGGCCAATACGACTGTGGATAGAAACTGGACTGCTGGACAGGACCTTAGGTTCATTTTTTGTGTCCGATTCGGGAAAGCAACTCACTGACCTAAGGACGCTTTGGCACGAATGGTTTACACTGGACGAAGCTCATGGACAATTTTACGCACCTAGTTTTTTTCAACCTGCAGCAAAGAAGATTTTTACCACGGGAAGAAGCATGATATTCCTTCGCCGCCTCGGCATAGATCCAGAGCTTTTAGAGGCCCCCAAATGTAAAAACTTTTCGTATGAGGATATTTGTTCTTCAGAATTCTTCTCTCCCTTGGTGCCATTTACAGTACTTCTAGAGCGCTCATTTGATCGACTCATTGATTCCAACCACTCTTTTTCTTCGAACTTGTTGCGGAAACAACTGGACGAACAGTGTGGCCTCTGGGTTTCACTGGAGGCACTTGAGTACATATACCTGGGAAAAGACATGTCACTTTCATCGATAATCGATCATGAAATATTCGATTTGATTGATAAAGGGATTCAGTCATGGAATGATAGATTCTTCCTCACTGAGCTCGCTCAAGGAGCATTCAGTAGCCTAGCCTGTATTGATCCCAGTCGTCTCATAATCAGATCAAAGCAGCTCGGACTTCGAGATTTTGAACACCACTGTCGCTCCGTCCAAATTTTGAAAGCCATCGCCATGGACTATATTCTTCCTTGGCCAGTGGCTAATATTATTACAAAACAGTCACTTTTAGCATATCGACGTGTTTCGACATTCCTAATGCAAATACGACGAGCCAAATATGTCGTGGAGCGGCAGCGTCTCCTAAGATCATTACATTCAGAGACCGAAAGCGAGAAGAAAGACGACGTTCTCGGGTACAGCATTCGACACCACCTCGTCTGGTTTTTGAATGTCCTCTACGCACATCTCACACAGCTTGTCATTTGCAGTTCGACAGCAAACATGAAGGAATTGCTATCGAAGGCGAAAGATGTAGATGGGATGATAGCTGCTCACCAATCATACACCTCGTCATTAGAAGATCAATGCTTGCTCTCCCCCAACCTCGCCCCGATTTACCAGGCAGTCACATCCCTTCTTGATCTATGTATACATTTCTCTGATATTCAAATCTCGCGCCATGGCGACAATCAATTCGACCAGGGAAATAGCAGATCACTCCGCTCCTCTACTGGGCATCGATATAGGGCGAGCGGAAGCCATAGGAGTCGTCATTCCCTGTCCCGTGATGATGAATCTAGCTCTGTTGACGATGATGGTATCTGCGATACTGATGATAGCATGGAGGACGAGGGAAATTTAACCAGTGTCTCGTTTCTTGAAACGTCGTACAGGAAGCGATTAATCGCTGTTAGGGATAAATTTGAGCGGTTGTGTTCGTTCATTACGGCAGGTTTGCGGGGCATGGGGCGCGTAGATGGTCACAACAGTTGGGAGATTCTTGCGGAGAAATTGGAGTGGAGGAAGAGTACGGGTGTGATATATTTGTCTTAATTTCGGCATTACACTGGTCACGATGCATGTTGTTATATCCATTGTATAGCCGTTGATTACAATGTCTCTAAAAGCTGGTTACCTGGGGCCCCATGAGAAGTTTCCCTGAAATATCGGCGCTGGATACCCCAGCAACCCCAGATTATCATTCAAAATTTGCATCAAACCATGTCCGCTTCTATTAAATCAAAGCTGGCGTCTATATATTTTTTTCTACAAGTAACTAAATATGAAAATGGGTACGGGACTGTTCGGCGTTGAGACATGTGAAGGATATAGAGGTATGCAGGCAAAGAGCCACAGATAGGCTGCGGTAGGATAAATGTTGAGAATTGATATAATTCAGCGTCAAGAATATAATAGCTGAACAGGATGGCCGTGAAGGAAGGGTTACATCAAAGGAACTTGCCAGGGAAGACATGACGAAAAAAAATAAATAAAAATAAATAAACAAATAAATAAAAAGCATAGAAAAACAGTTTTTGTGTAATCTAGCCAACCCATCTTCTTGCACTATAGAAAAACCTCCCCCATGGACCAATATCATCCCATTCCTCTACCTTGTCGGGCGGTATCCAACTTCCAATCCCCGCCATGACAGTCCGCTCTGGATGCGGCATAAGAGCCAGGACTCTACCATCCGGAGTTCGGACTCCCGCTATACCTCCTGGGCTACCATTAGGATTGAAAGGGTATCTCATCGTAGGTTTCAGCGAGGAGTTATCCACATAGCGGATCGGGGCGAGATTTTGATTCACAAGACTCTCTGCGTCCGAACTCGAGTTTGTGAACGATGCGCGGCCCTCGCCATGCGCGACGGCAATGGGCAGGCTGGAGCCGTGCATGCCGTGAAGGAAAACGCTGGGAGTTGTTGGGTCCGGATCGCTGATGCCTACCATGCAAACACGGCCTTCGTACTGTTCGCTCTCGTTTCGTTCGAAGCTAGGCCAGTGCCGGGCGCCAGGGATAAGTTCCTTGAGACGGCTAAGGAACTGGCAACCGTTGCAAACGCCGAGAGCAAAAGTATCTGGACGCTGGAAAAAGGATTGGAATTCGTTCCGGGTTTCTTTATGCAGGAGAACTGATTTGGACCAGCCCTGGCCTGCACCCAGGACATCACCGTATGAGAAGCCGCCACAAGCTGCGATGCCGACAAAAGATGTGAGGGACACTTGTCCAGATATAATATCTGTCATGTGCACGTCGACGGCAGTAAAGCCGGCCATGTTGAAAGCGAAGGCCATCTCAGCTTGGCTGTTCACGCCCTGTTCGCGGAGGATTGCAACTCGAGGTTTCGTAGAGAAGGGGGAAAAGCGTGAGGTAAGGCTAGTCATTAATGGCAATATTGATTCCTTGGGGTCAAAAGTGAGGTTGTATGACAGGCCAGGATCTTTGTCGTCAAGGATATTTTCGTACTCTTGATCTGCGGCTGTGGGATTGTCGCGGAGTCGTTGCATTTGGTGGGATGTGCTGGCCCATGTCTGTTGCAGCTGGGCTCGGGAATTCCGATAGATCAAAGTGGAATCATGATAAATGGCCAGGTTTTGCTTGGATTTGTCGGATACCCGACCGATTCGGAATATCAATCCAGGTGGGGGGCCACAAGTTGAAAAGCAGCTTCGGAATTGAGTTTCATGCTTCTTACGGACCTGGAATACTGCACCAAGTTCCTCATTGAAAAGAGTCTCGAGAGCGTGGTGGGTATCGGAGCTTTGACATATATCATCAAGCATAATTTGAACTCCACACCTACCAGCAAACATCATTTCGGCAAGAGTTGTGAAAAGGCCTCCATCGGATCGATCGTGGTATGCAAGGACAATGTCGGCTTCCTGGAGCTGTTGGGTAGCGTCGAAAAAGTCTTTCAGAAGTTCAACATCATGGACGTCTGGGCATTGATTTCCCACTTGTCCGAACACCTGTGCCAGTGCGGATCCTCCAAGGGCCTTACGACCAAATGATAGATCAACGAACATAATCACGGTTTCTCCCACTTCCTCGAAGCTGCGGAGGGCTGGTGTCCAAGTTTTACGAATGTCGCCAACGGGCGCAAATGCTGAGATCACTACAGACAAGGGGGCTGTAACTTCAAGCGGCTCATTAGATTTCTCATCCCTCCATTTCATCTTCATTGACATCGAGTCTTTTCCAACAGGTATACTAATACCCAGCTGTGGGCATAAACCCAATCCAATGGCTTCAACAGCTTCGTATATCGCAGCACCTTCTCCGGGATGGCTTCCGGCTGACATCCAATTGGCAGAGAGCTTGACACGGGCCAATTGACCAAGCAAATCTGCAGCAGCGATATTCAGGATAGATTCTGCGACGGCCATTCTTGCAGAAGCAGCTGGCGAAATTAGGGCCAAGGTCGGCTTCTCTCCCATAGCCATAGCTTCACCAGTTCTCATCCCTTGCAGCAATGATGTTGCCGTAACAGACACGTCTGACACGGGAACTTGCCAAGGCCCAACCATTTGATCCCTTGCCGTGAGTCCACCTACGGTTCTATCGCCAATGGTGATGAGGAACGATTTCGAACCAACAGCCGGTAGATTGAGGACTCTAGTAACGGCTTCGCTAAGCAGGCCATCCTTAGGGATGTTGGGCAAGTAAGTCTGAAGGCTAGAGTCGAAAGGAGGAAGAGAAAGTTGTCTAGATGTTACGTTCCTCGTCATTTTCGGTGGTTTGCCGAAGAGGACCGAAAGGGGGAGATCAATTGGATCGGGTTGGTTTTTCGAATCCCGGTCAAGAAGAATAAGCCTCCTGTCTTCTTCAGGCTGTCCCAGCCCGCGGCCAACAACGGAATAACCACAGCGTTCCCGTTTCACGATCGCGGTAAATTTATTCATCCCTTCCTCACCGACAGCCATAACATATCGTTCTTGAGCTTCACAGCACCATATCTGCATAGGACTCATACCTCTATCAGCCGTGTCAATTTCACGGAGCTCAAATTTTGCTCCGAGGCCAGCATCATGAATTAGCTCAGGTAGAGCATTAGATAAACCTCCTGCCCCGACGTCATGGATGAACTTGATGGGGTTATCGGCTCCCATGGCCGTGCAGGCGTTAATAACTTCCTGTGCTCTCCGCTGGACCTCTGCATTTCCCCTCTGGACACTAGCGAAGTCGAGATCAGCAGATCCTTCCCCAGATGCAATGCTGGAGGCTGCACCTCCACCCAACCCGATGAGCATAGCCGGTCCGCCAAGGACCACTAAAAATGAACCCGGTTTGACAGCGTGTGGGTTTTTAAGTGCGTGTTGCGGCCTTACAGTTCCAACACCTCCCGCAATCATGATGGGTTTATGATAGCCTCGGAGTTCTGAATGTCCATTCCCGATATCGATTCTGGTAAGGAGGGTTCGGAAGTAACCGGCAGTACATGGTCTTCCAAACTCGTTGTTGAACGCGGCGCTTCCGATTGGAGCCTCAAGCATAATATCCAAGCTGCTTGCGATATGATTGGGCTTTCCAACGTCAAGTTCCCAAGGCTGCTTATGTCCAGGAATCAATAGATCAGAAACGCAAAAACCAGTAAGACCTGTCTTCGGTTTTGAACCTCTGCCGACAGATCCTTCGTCACGGATTTCACCTCCGGATCCAGTTGCGGCGCCAGGAAAAGGCGACACCGCGGTGGGGTGATTGTGTGTTTCAACTTTGGCCAAGAAATGAACCTGCTCTTTTGTTTGAGTCCATTCTCCATTGAGTGGGTTGGGCGCCCAATAACCAGCTACTTCTCCTTCCAGGACAGCAGCATTGTCGCTATATGCACTAATAGTGTATTCTGGATGCTGTTTGTGGGTATTCCTGATCATTCCAAACAGAGTGTGAGGCTTCTCCTTGCCGTCGATGATCCAGGTAGCATTGAACTGCTTATGACGGCAATGTTCGGAGTTAACTTGAGCGAACATAAACAACTCGACGTCGGTAGGAGGCCGTCCCACTGGGCCACCAGACGCATAGGCATCCACCAGGTAATCGATTTCAGATTGGTCCAATGCCAAACCAAGTCGGGTGTTTGCCTCTTGTAGCACCTCAATCGGGGACTTGCTCTCACCGTAAAGCGGTATCGTTTCAAGGGGAAGAGGCTGATGTTCTGAGAACATGAGGTGAAGATCTGGCTCATCTTGACTTATCATTTGAGTCATTCGATCGTGAAGAACGTCCAAAGCAGCTTTATCCAACTCTTTTCGGTCTTCAGCAAGCAGACACGAGATTCGCAAACCGCGTTCAATACGCTTGATAGTATTTTTGAGGCCACAGACATGAGATATACCAGTAGCTTGCGAACTCCACGGCGAAATTGTGCCCGTTCGCGGGCTAATGTGATAATCAATGAATGACCCGTCTGTTGACTCAAAGGAGCCCGGCACACCTGCAATATCTCCGTAATGAAGAAGCTGTTCTAGAACCGCGCGCTCGCTTTGCTGCAAATCCCCAGCAGCATGAACATAATGAATCCACTGGGCCCGCACATCCTTCACACCGATGGTTGCTGCAATGGAGCGGCTTCGGGATTGAGTAAAGGCAATTGAGCCAGGAATCGTGAGGTAAGTGGCCTGAAAGGAAGTCATTATGAATGCTGGTCAATGCGAATGGGTATATGAACAAAGGCCATCTAACCATAGTCATAGATTGTCAGCAAGTGTACGAGACCTACTCGTTGGTCATAATACCCCGCGCCAATTTGACTTACTCGAACTGGATAACAGGCAGGATGAGAGCAGCTGGGTTCGACAGCGGAATGCCCCGAGACGAGGACCTTCGTAAGGAAGAGTTTAGCTGTCTATTAACCAGCCATCAGCAGCAATGTCAGCTCCGTTGCTATACATGTGAGTCCGTAAAGGCAAAAATGTTCCCCGCCAAGAGCAAGAATTTCTTCCAAGACTTGCCAGTTGCTGTGTCACGTGCTGATAGCGCACCGCGCTAACTTTGAGAGTCAAGCAGCAACAAGAATTGCTGTCGTTGACGACGTGATGGATGGCCCCGAGTATAATTATTCGCCAAACAGATTCTCAATGTCGCGAGACGCCCATAATTTCAACGATTATACGGATGGCTTAATCTCCTTTGACAGAAACAAGGTTTGAACGAAGCGCAGCAATCTGCTTCTCTATCATTGCATGAAGACCTACTTGATAAGGTTCCTCAATACTCATCTTTGCATTGAACCACAGATACCCATCCCAAGAGCCCAAGTTAATACACGATCTGTTTCTTTCCATCCTTTCTCAATCTCACTTGAAACTTATCTGGTCAGTTTTCAGCGTTTGCTGAGCAACATCCCTGGTTACGGTTGAAGATGGACAGAGCTTGGATTTTTGCCTGAACCCCGCCAGGGCTCGATTTCGGAACTATGCTCAGCTTTGGCATGCTATTTGGCCTTTCTAAAACACACTACAAGCTCTCTCTTCGTGGAATTCCTGATTTCCTTCCTTGTCAGACTTAGGATTAGGGGTTTCGGTTAGGGTCTGAGAAATATAGCAAGATAAAAGGAGTGAGGGTTGAAATATGATGAACGAGCACTAGAAATTGTCCGCCTGCACACAAATTTTCCGGCCGAAAGCCCAAGTGAAAAAATTCAATCTTGGATACAACATGAAGATATTGTTTTTAAAAATTCAACTCATGTTCAACAAGGCGGTGTAAGATTGTCAGTCGTGCCCATCGCCTCTACTTATCAGCAGCACCCATCAGCAGGGCCTATCAACTTGATATTTTTCTAATGACTGACAATGATTAGTATATGTTTGCATCCGTATCAGAAAATTATAATTGCAATGTCATAGGATTGCAAGATCTTAAAGAAGATAGGAAAGGAGCTAAACTCTATCTATATCTATCTTGATGCTCAGCATTTGCTGTGTTGAGAGAATTTGATTTTCCATTTCTACCCACATTCAATTTTTTGCTAACCACGTTTAACTAGAACACGAAAAACATTCAATTTTGAACTCCCGGCCCCAAGAGCGGCCTCTACTTATCCACTTGATGTGTTGAGACTATATTGGGCCGCTTGATCCGGGAAGACCTATATTTATTTTTTTTTTCATGGCCCACCAGATGACGGCCGCGGTTCAGTTAGCGCCCTACGCTTGACTGGGTCCCGTTCGGCAACCCGAACGTCCATATAGTTAACCATTGTGCATGCACAATGATATACACAATCTTCCTTCGGATCGACATTCGATTCTCAAAAGGGCCACGGAAATCCTGTCTAGTTATTTCAGGCAGCAGACCATTGGCGCTAAAAAAAAATTGTTGAGGCTGCTATAACTTATATCCGCTTTGGATGTGTTGTTTTGTTCCTCTTTTTACACCTGGCCATGTCAAGATACATTCGTTGGTCAGATTTACGAGAATCGGAACTTCAGGGGTAAACCCGAATACTATGTACTATCCCAACAACGCATGATGCGGCTTACCGTGCCTGCCAGTTCTCAAGCCTCAGTGGCTATCAACTTAAGTCTTTCCTTCGCCACGAAATGTTGTCTGTATAAAATAAAGTGGGATCCCGAGCACTTATCCGAGCGCTCGCCGAGCGCCGAAAGAGAAACATCCCTGCAATTCACGGGCCCTACGATACTTTATATAATATCCAATGATAAGCATGAATCTGTAGGTTAAGGACCCCTCGTCCCTCTCCTGTTCCCACAATGAGGTCACCAACATGGCCGAAGTGCCGTTTCTCCCTGGCCAAAAATTTTTTCTTCGCCTGGTATATATAGAGCTAGGGGTGCCCAGTCCGTTTCAGCTGTTTCTAAGTATTGTTTATCTTTGGAGGGAAAAATATCACCCACGGTGAAAACATTGTCAAAATGGAGGAGGAACCCCCGCACGTTGATGCGATTCGGCGTACGCCGACTTACTCTGCTGGACTTCCAGACACGATTGACCCCACAGATCTCCCATCCCGTATTCTCAGAGAGACCGCTACACTTGAGGAATATACACGAGAAACTCCGGAAGGCCGGATCACAAAGCCAGTCAGATCCCATGCAACTGGGAAAATTGAGGACTTCGAGCTTGTCACTTTTAAACTCGACGATCCAGAGAACCCAAAGAACTGGAGTAAAGCGCGGAAATGGTACATCACGATGGTGGTGGCTGTTACGTGCTTCGTCGTCGCCTTTGACAGTAGCGTAATAACGGCTGGTATAAACCAGGTAGCAGAGGAATTCGCCGTGGGGGAGGTCGTGGCACTACTTACGATCACAGTCTTCGTTATTGGGTTTGGTATTGGTGGGTTTTTATTAATTTTTTTTTTTTTTTCATTTTCTTTTTGAATGAATTTAAATTTGCCCCATTTCCAAATCGGGAGCGCAGGGCACACTTTTTTGTCAGCATGCTTATATTTGCGGTTTCCAGGACCGATGGTTTTTGCGCCCATGTCAGAAATGATTGGCCGGAAACCAGTATACACGTCTACATTGCTGGTCGCCGTTGTCTTCTTGATTCCTTGTGCGGTAGCCCAGAACTTTGCAACCCTCGTTGTTTGCCGCGCCATTGCCGGTGTGGCATTCAGCGCACCCATGACACTGGTTGGAGGTACCTTGGCAGACATGTGGCGAAACGAAGAGCGAGGTGTTCCCATGGCAGCTTTCAGTGCCGCGCCATTCATCGGCCCTGCTGCAGGGCCGCTTATCGGCGGCTTTTTGTCCGATGCGAAAGGTTGGAGATGGCTCTATTGGTTACAGCTCATATTGTCAGGGGCCGCTTGGGTGTTGCTCACGTTTACTGTCCCGGAGACCTACACGCCCACGCTGCTCGCTATGAGAGCCAAAAGGTTAAGGGAGGAGACGAAAAACAAGAGATATGTGACAGAAGAAGATCTTGATTCTAGACCACTGGGCGAAAAGCTTCGGTTGTTCCTTTTCCGGCCATTCCAGCTTCTCTTCTTGGAACCTATTGTTTTACTCTTCTCGATCTATATGTCGATTCTCTACGGCCTCCTCTACATGTTTTTTATTGCGTAAGTGTTTGTCCATGACGTAGCCTAGAATTGATCTTATCAAGGAAGTAGGGCTCACCTCTTCCCCTTTTTCAGATTCCCCATCGTCTATCACGGAGGGAAAGGTTATTCCGCAAGTGTTACTGGACTCATGTTTATTCCTCTCTCAATCGGGGTATTCGCCAGCGCCTGCTTCTCTCCACTGGTTAACAAGCACTACCTAAAATTGAGTGCGCGGTATAGCGGTAGACCACCTGCAGAGATACGTTTGGTTCCGATGATGATGTCGTGCTGGTTTATTCCCATTGGAATGTTCATTTTTGCATGGACCTCCTATCCGCAAATGCACTGGATTGGGCCGACATTAGGCGGCCTCCCTGTTGGATTCGGGTTCATCTTCTTGTACAACTCGTGTAATAATTACCTAGGTACTACTAATCCTTACTTTTCCCCCTTCGCGTTAATTTCCCCAGTGGGTAGATGACGTCATGCTCACCCAGCTTTCCGACAGTGGACACCTACCAGCACCAAGCTGCTTCCGCGCTTGCCGCCAAAACCTTTCTGCGATCCATGTGGGGTGCGTCTGTCGTGCTGTTTACTCGCCAAATGTATGACAAGCTGGGTTACCAGTGGGCAAGCTCCCTTATCGCATTCCTCGGCTTGGCCTGCTGCGCGATCCCATTCTGTTTCTATTACAAGGGCGATGCAATTCGGAGACACTCCAAATACGCCTTCGTGGACGACGCAGAGCAAGAAATACTGGGGAAATAAACGATGGCAGCACAAACCCGTGGGTCCGGTATGATGTGTATCCAGTATGATGTGGATCCAGATACCATGGGGCTGGTGACCAACCAGGATTCGCAGAGAACGAAAATGCCGGCTGTTTTTCCTCGTCTGACATATGCGGCAAGGTCTTCATCTTTCATCTTTTCCTTTTCCCTTTCCATGTCTTCAAACTTACTATCTTAGACTCCCAACCCGGACCTTCGTTGTTTATTCATCATCTCTGCAACACGTTTCCTGTAACACCTTATTACTGCATGAGTGTGTCGCATCAAAAGGAAATTCCTGCAGCGGGGTTTTCTTTCTTTTTTCTTTTTCTTTTTCCTTTTTTTGATTGTCATCACTATTTCCCCCTTCGTTGCGTTGGCGAAACTCACGGCATTTGATACCACCTTAGAGAAGACATAGATAGATACCGAGTATGCTAGAATTCTATAAATAAAACTTGGAAACCGTTTTTGACTTCGGAAACATGGATCCCCACGCCCATGGCGCACCCGGACTATCGTTGACCCGGCGGCTCCGCGCTGCCATTGGGTCATCCAACGTTCACGCTGGACGCTGCGTCTGGTTGCTGGAAGCTGGATCAACGGTTAGCTGCGTCCTGGACCTAGGTAGCGCCATCAATGGGTGAGATCATAGACAAGAACAGCATCCAGTTGGGCACCGTTTTAAAAATCCGGCGTGCGGACACCTTCGTTCATAGCCTACATACACCCACCCTATCTACGTTTCACATATATGAAGTTAGGCCGTCCAAAGCGCTTCTCAGTCCCTGTTCAACAACTGTTCGTTAAACCCGACAAAGTCCCTGGTTTGGCGGTGATTACGTCAAGTAATCCATCGCCAAGATCCCAGAAATCGTCGTTCCCAGCGCGATGCCAGTGGTAACCACGCATTGGCCTGCCGAATTCCTGGCTTTCGTATAGAGCCCCATCCGTGAAATCACAATGGGTCCAATGTGTTTGCTCCTCAACGATAAAACTCTTCCAGCTGACTCTGTGATGTCTCTACAACTTAATACTCGTGCTGTAGCGCCCTCCCCGATTCCCTCCTTCTCGAACCGCATCTCTGAGCTTCCCCAGGCACAGGTGGATGCGATTATCCGCACGAAGCGCAAGGCACGCGAACCCAAAGCCTGCTACCCTTGTCACACCCGAAAGGTCAAATGCGACCGCAACCTGCCCTGTGACGGCTGCGTCAAGCGAGACCATGCAGATCTATGCTCATACGAACGGCCCTCGAAGAAGCGGCAGATTGCAACAGCCCATGCATTCGCCCCAGCTGTTGTAACATCATCCGCAACCTGCAACGGAGGACCGGCCGGGAGCCCCCGGATCAGTCCAACGGATCTGCAAATTAGTGCTCCCGGCACGACGGGCAAAGTGATGATTCCAAAGGAGGAATGGGATACGGTGTGTGCCAAGTTGAAGGAAATGGAAAATATGATCTCCGCACTTCGAATGGGTCTCGAGCAGACGGAATCGGGTCAGGCTGTCCCATCGACGATACCAAGTGCCAGTTCAGCTGGTCGTTCAGGGGATACCTTTCCCGACCGCGAAGGAATCCATGCGTCGAATGAGCTTGGGAATGGGACCGTGCATCTAGGCTCGAGATCCGTCTTGGCATATCTACTTGGTCGATCGGGCTCTTCGCAAGAGGCTTCCCAGGCGTTGCTTGAAGGCGGCATTCTTCCAAAGTTGGGGCTCGATAATGAATCAGCTACATATCCGTTCGTAGATCTCTGGTCGACTGATACATCTACATTTGACCTGGGCGCCGTCTGCGCGGTTTTACCAGACGATGACCAGTGCAAGATGTATGTTTCCCCCCACTACTATTCCTCCTTGTTTTTGTTTTCTTTTCTCTCTTTTGGCAACGCTCTCCTCTCTGTTCTTCCGGCAACTCTTTTTCCTAACTGTGTGGTTCCGTTGGGTTCTTCTATGTTAGGTTCATTGGACGTTATTGTGATATTAGCGCCACCATTTATCCGGTCATTCCGGACATCGAAGAGTTTCAAAAGAATTTGAGCACCCTCCTTCAAAATAGAGCGTTATGGGGTGGTCTTCAGCCGGAATCTAGCGAGGTAACGGACAGGCCTTATGGGATGAGCCTCGCTTTTGTTGGGTTGCTGTTTGCCGCACTGGCTGCAGGATGTCAATCATCCGATCTCCCTAGCAAGGAGAGGGAGTTGACCTCCCAGGTTTACGGTACGTTCTTCTACTGAATATCCCCTCCTTCTCATAGTTCTTGACTCTTCCTTCTTTCTTTTTTACCCTTAAACAGTAGGATCTAATACATGTTTAGTATGCTGTTCGTATCAATTTCTACGAATGACGAATTTCTTATCCCAGCCGACGCTGGAAGCTATACAAACATTGCTTATTATTGGCAACGTTCTTTCCTACAATATGAATCCTGGTGTATCATACGTTTTGCTAGGTGGGTGTGACGTCCTACGGCAATGATCTCATTTCTATTTGCTTGAGAGTGAAACGATCCTAATATCCTTCTTACAGGTATGACTCTAAGAATGGGTCTTGCTTTGGGTTTACATGTAGAATCGAACAGGTTTCCAACTGCTGAAAGATACATTCGGCGAAGAATCTGGTAAGAATTCTCCATTCCCTTTGGTCACGTTGTGGGTTGTTGAGACGTACTGTTTACTTACTTGCACAGGTGGTCGATGGCATGGCAAGATAGCCACTTCTCCCTGTCGTATGACAGACCATCCACAATGGCGTTTAGCCAACCTGATATACCCTACCATGTGACCTCTCAACCAGGGCATCGCCTATACTTCGAAACGCTCAGCCGCATAATCTCACTCACCCTGGAAATTCTTAAGGGCCGTATGCTATCACCGCACTCTCAAATGGGTATTCCCGTCATTCAGGCTTACAGGGATGAACTTCAAAAAATCATGTCAGATGCAGCCCCGCATCTTCGCGATCCGGCGCACTGCCTCACCCCCTTTGACCATATCGAAAGATTGGCATTGAAACTACATTCATCATACGTGACGTCAGAACTCTGTCGACCCTCATTGAAGAACTCTGAATCCAAGGACCCTTCCTGGGTAAATATGCGCAAGGATTGCATCGCCGCCCTCGCCCGCACCATCGAGGCCTACACAGAGTTGTACTCCTTCAACTCCCAGGCAGGGCGAACGTGGATCGGCCTTCAACGAGCAATCAGCTCCGCCTTCCTCCTCGCCGTAATCGGAGAATCCAAAAACGACGCTCATATTCTACAACTGCTCCGCCGGCTAGAATCAGTCATCGCAGAACGTGCAACGTCTGAGGGTGGTCTGAATGCCAGTCCCCCCACCAACCCCGCCCCAAGCACAGCCGGTTCCGCCGGCATCCCCTCCCCGGGACAGGCATACCGCCCTGTCAAAGTAGAGCAATCCGGCATGATCAATGGCATCACGAACATATCCACCCCAAGCTATGACCCAGTGTCCGTCTCAATCGCCTCCACAGCCCCTGTCCCCATCTCTGTCGCAGCTGACACACAGACCCAGTGGGCAAAGCCCCTAATCAAGTCGCTGCGTGCCTTACAAAGGCTCAATGCAGTCTTCAGCATGCAGCTTCAGCACAAAAAAGCCTCGTCATCGGTGCCGCTGCATATGGTTGTCCAAGGCGGTGTTGGCATTGGCAATGGCAGCGCTGGTTCCACCTCCTTATCCACCCCGTCCTCCGCCTCTCCTCCTACTGTCAACGGCGGATTCCCCTCGTCGTCAATCGGGTGTGCTGCTGCGGCTGTCGCCCATACGACGAAGACCGAGTCGCTCCCGCCATATACCCCGGAAAGCACGACGAGCGGGGAGTGGTCGCTACCGAATCTGATGGATCGGGCGGCGGAGTATATCCATCCGCCGCTGTGGGAATGAAGGGTTTCTCTATCTCTCACTACTATCAAGACGAAGCCAGTGTGGTGGGGCGATCTACATTATATATATATATATATATTTAAACGGATATATATATAAACGGACATCCAAGAGGGTATGTGCCAGGAGCAGAGAAAGAGGAAGAAAAGAAAATGACGCGGACAAAAGAACGGGGTTCCGATGCCTCCTCATTTCCTGTCCGCCTGTCTTATCCTCTCCTCGTTTCCTAACCTCCTTGCCTAGTCCCCGGGTTCTTGCATACATACTGTTTACCACCTCATCCCATCCCATGTTTCCGGTTACAGCTATTATACACTTTCTTTGGCTGTGACATCTTTTCACTAATATTATAACAGTATATATGCGTAATTTTTTTTTTTTTTATATTATACCTCTCCCCCTTCCAACCCAACGAAGGTTCCGATTTTTGTACTCTTATCCTCAAACGTAAAAATTATTATTACCATGTTAGGTTTCATATTTTGTTGTCCCTTTTTTTTTTTTTTTTTGCTTTTCGCCTTCATTTTCTTCATTTTCAACCATGGCATATAAAAATGTAAAATCACCGGGGCGTTTGAAAAAGATTTAAGTTTTAACAAACTTTGCAGATTAGTTTGCGGATTAGGATTCTTTTTTTTTTTTTTTCATTGGGAAGTTTATTCTAATGATGATATATTATGCGTAAATGAATGTATCTTCCATTACAGCGATAGGATAAAAATATACATATATATATATATATAGAGAGAGAGAGAGAGAGAGAGAACATACGTAGCAAGACTGAAATGAAAATGGAGTAAAAGTTAAATAAAATAACTGAAAAGGAACTTATATTAAAACAAGACCCGTCATCCAACCCGGCTCCCCTTCCCAATTCTTTTGTTTTATGGTTATGGATTCATATGGTTACACATATATGCAGATTTTTTCCGTCCCCCACGTCTCCCTCTTTCTCCCCACCCCTTCCTTTCTTTTTTTCTTTTCTTTGCGCTCTCCGTTTTCATTCCTCTTTGCCAACTAAACCCCTCGTCACCGCTCTCAGAAATTGGAAACCGGTTCCATCTCTAGGTAAACTACGTACACACTTCCCACATGCGCTTTTCCAACTTCTTCCTTTCTACTACTTCTTTCCTTTTCTATTCGTTTTTGGTGCTGTTTTGTGTTTCGGTTGGATGGGTTGTATATATTGAAACAATGGTAGCCACAGTCTCCAGTTTGCAATTCACCGCTGGAAATGTGCGCGTTGTCTAGCCGAGGCGGAAAAGAGGGAGTGCGGACGCGACTGGGTTGTATGGAGGTAGTACATATGGAAGAGACGAAAGGGAAGATAGAGAGAGAGAGAGCAGAGAGAGAGGAGCGAGAGGAGAGGGTGTAGGGGAATGCGATTGAACTTCTCGAAATGGAAGCAAGAACAGAAAGGAGGAAAGAGGGGAGATGCAGGAAGAGAAATAGTGGCGATTTTATTTCTGCTCCTGGGGGTACAGTTCCTCCTGGAGTGTGACGCCAAGTTCCTCTCGTAGACCCTTGAGTTCTTGGAGGTACATTTCGTATTGGGCTTTGTTTTCGACTTTGGCTCGGATGCCTGTGGTGTTTTACCAATCCATATGTTAGTACTTGTTGAGGGTATAAAAATGTAACCGCAAACATTGGAATTGGGATATATATCGTCGGTACGGAGCAAACGAACCTTCGAAGATTCTTACGGCTGTAGGGAAGTCGTTGACTCTGCGGGCAGCCTTGAGGGCGGCGGTCATGACGCTGACGGAGGGTACGAGATCGTAGGCGAAGGCGTTGTTAAGGTTTCGCTGTATGATTCCCAGGGGGGATTTTGTTAGCATTGTGTTGAATTCTTTGGGCGAGGATATCAATTGGTGATTGTATTTCGGGGAGCAGAGAGCTGGGGAGTTTTCACTACCTGAAGTTCAAAGACATCCTGTACAGCATCGAATTCCTTCTCATATCTGTTGAACAATTTGGAATTAGTGAGGGTCTACACCAAATGGAATCACAATAGATATTGCATATTTTCTTAAACGATGAATGAAAATGGCTCATCATTTGCAGTCGATCCCAAGGAATATATATATATATATATACATGGTTGTTTTATTGTTGCAAACCCTTCTTACGGTCAGAGAACTCCTCAAAGGTCTCCTCCTCATGACCCATAGCTGCGCTGGAGCATTTCGAAGACGAGCTGAAGCTGTGGACTCCCCCAAAGGCGACAATGGCGGGAGCAGCCGCGGAAGCGAAGATGGGCGCCACGACTCTTGATCGGGCAGAGTAGGAAGCTCTGAAGAAGCCGACTGGTGATGTGCGCGAGGCGATGCGGAAGAGGGTGGAGGACGACATTGGGACGGGGGATTGCCGATTAAATTGGATTGGACAGGATAGGAGACGTGTATGTCGCAGAGGAGTGGGAGGCGTGGTGGTGGTTGATGGGTGGTGAGGTGGAATGTTGGATGATGTTAGCAGGAAGAAAGTTGAAGTGGTTGTGGTTGGCGGAGTTTGCTGTGGGCAGTCCCGGAGAGGCTTAGCCCGGGCAGCTTTGGTCAGCAATTGGCCCAGCGTGGTTGGACTCCCATATCGGGACAGTCTGTACTGTACATAGTAGGTCTGCCGCTGGTCGTTTGCGACAACCAAAAAACTGTCTGGGGGACTGCGGACATGTTGACTTCTTCGCCTGTGGCAGCGTTCTCCTCAGTCTGTGGCATTGTATACTATATCCCTCTCTCTTGCTCTGGTGTCATGGAGCCAAATTTCTCAGACAACACATCCTTTATGAAATACAATACTAGTAACTAATGTAATATCGAGAGCAGAATAACACATGGGTTAGCTGGCTGTCCCATTTGCGATGGCGAACCGAATCGTTCCCATTTCGAATTACTAGTACCTCCTGTGTTGAGGTTTTCTCCGCGATGCCAGGAGGAAGACATCTCACCGTTGGCATGGATTTCAAACCCAAAGCGTGAACATGGTTCTAAATCCCTCCTCCTCTACCTAGGACTGCTAGGTTAGGATTTTTGATGAAGAAATATCAAAGATGGGCTGCCGTAGATTCATTCAATGGATGGTTTGGGCGCGCAAACCGGCGCTTAAGCTTTGCCTGGTGAACCTTGACCATATACGTATCTATCTATCAATCTATACATGAACCTTGATCCTTACAATAACTCATTTGGAACATATCTTTCCCCCCAAGAACATCCCGACACAGTATGGAGTTCGTTATCAATCACTAGTTGAGTCTGCTCCAATTTTTTTTCCTGGGCTGTTTTATATTTCAATCGTTTCCTCCTGTATTGAGCTGTCCCACTAAGATATCCAATTTCAGCGTATCACACACATCACAAGCGTTGTATCGTCGATACGGTACGCGGAATTGCCTGCCCAGAGCCTGCCAAGCAGCCCATTTCCACTCTCCGACCCGATGTTCTGTGCAAATTGGCCCCTTTGCCGGCTTGGTCGGATCGAGGAACTGTAATTTATTCTTTCGGTGCACTGCAACTCTTACTTACAATTCCCAGATCGCAGTTTTCCAGTTCGTTGGCGTTGATGGAAATTTAGTTTACCATACCATACTAACCAATACCATACATTTTTTCGCTGCTCCTTTTTTTTTTTTTTTTTTTTTTTTTTTTCATCTCAATCTCCATCTCCATCTATCTCTCTCTCCTCTCTCCTCTCTCTCTCTCTATCCCTATCTTTATTCGATATTTCTCCTCATTCTTCCTCCACGCGTTATCTCATCTCCGCGCCTTTCTGCTGATTCTCTCCGTCGCTCACTTTTCCTCGGTGCCATCTTCCTCTTCTTGTCGCTCCTTCATCCAGTCCATTGACTTCCGCCATCTTTTTCTCTCATCTTATTCTTGTTAACGTCTTCCTCTTCTTCTTTTTGGTGTGCCTCTGCTCCCGTATATCGATCGGATCACCACTTGGATTCGAACTCTATACTCCATTATATATATTTATATATTAATTTCCGCCATTTAAAAATCATCTCACGTCGCGATAATCTTTTTTTTTGGGCTATCTTATTGTGTACGAGTATACGTGTATGCATTGACTGAATCTTGCTCCTTGGAACGTCCTCACCCCCGAAATCACTCACCGTGCATTGTCCTGACCATAAACTCATCTCCGCGAAATGTCGTTCGACCTCCGCTCCATCCCGATTCCGTCCCTCGATCGCCCCTTTGGTGTTGAGCTATGGCCACTCTTCTCCAAAGCCTACACGGCAGTCGCGGGGTTTTCACCGGAAGAATTCAGCTTCACCCAAGGTCAGACGCCCATGTCGACGTTGAACGGAACTCTCATCTCGCTCGCGTCCTACTACGTCATTGTGTTTGGAGGTCGAGAAATCATGAGGAACCGCCCCGCGATGAAGTTGAACGGCATCTTCCTCATACACAATCTATACCTAACTTTAATCAGTGGGACCTTGCTGGCTCTGTTTATTGAACAATTGCTGTCGACTCTATGGAGGAATGGCATTTTTTATGCCATTTGTAATGTCAATGGGGGCTGGACAGAACCCCTGGTTGTTCTATACTATGTATGGCACACGCTCTTCATATTTCATGTTTATATATCTCCTCAATTGACCTTGAAAGTTTGCGCGCTAACACCTGTTCTAGTTGAACTATTTGACGAAATACCTCGAGCTCCTCGACACGGTCTTTCTCGTCCTCAAGAAGAAGCCTCTCACCTTCCTCCATACCTACCACCATGGCGCTACAGCCCTCCTCTGCTACACACAATTGATCGGCCACACAGCAGTCTCCTGGGTGCCCATCACCTTGAACCTCCTGGTCCATGTCGTGATGTACTGGTACTACTTCCAGAGCGCCCGCGGCATCCGCATCTGGTGGAAGAAATGGGTCACCATCCTCCAGATCGTGCAGTTCGTCATTGACTTGGGTGAGTAAATAATGAACAACGCCGCTCCACTCCAACAAATCAACCAAAGCTATATATAAACTAATACACCCATCAGGATTCGTGTACTTCGCCTCCTACACCTACTTCACCTCCACCTATTTCCCTTACATGCCCAACGCCGGCAACTGCGCCGGCGAGGAATTCGCCGCTTTCTCCGGCCTAATCATCCTCTCCTCCTACCTCCTCCTCTTCATCTCCTTCTACTTCGCGACATACAAGAAAGCAGGCAAAAGTGGCCGCCCACGTAGAAACACTGGAAAACAGGCTGTCATCGATATGCGCAATCTGGAGATTCCTTCGGTTGGCGGGAAACCTGCTTCTAGCACCACGACGAAGACCAATGGCATTGCTAATGGCAATGGTTATGCCCACCTCGAGAATGGCTCAGCGACCTCCACAGCGCGTTCGAACGGGGGCCCCGTCACGCGGTCCAGAAAGGCCTAGTTAGGTTAAATGCTAAATTTATCTCATGGCTTTCTTTTGGGAATGGAATATAGAGGAACACCCCAACGAAGAGAAAAGAAGGTAAATAGAGGGTATTGAACATAGGCAAGCAAAATGGCGAATACCGGCATCAAAAATATGAAACAATATTGGTCGAGGGGGGGAAAAAAAAAGAAGAAGCTCCAATGCTTCCCTTAATTTTTCTTAGCCCGACGTTCACACTGCTCGCCAGCCGCAAATCGCCAACCGCCATTCAACGAGTGCGGGTCTTTTATCGTTTGATCTTCCTCATTTCCCCCCCTTTTTTATATATTTATATTTACGTACTTTTTTTTTTTTTGGTCAAAATCTAATTAATCAACCTTTGTTGCTTTCCATCTGGCCACATTGGATGAGATTAATTTGCATGCCATTGTTCGAGATTTCTTTTCTTATTTCTTTTCTATATTTTTCCCGGTCTTTTTAACTCAAGATAAAAGACCCGAATTTTGGGGGTTCCAACAATACCTACTTCCAATTCTAATTTTTTAATGTTTTTTTTTCTTTTCACATAATGTTTTTACTAAATTTTTTCCCCTCTATTTCGATTTTTATTTACTCTTGCAATTTTGTTTAACATTTTTTTGTAGTATTTTTGTATGTATAATTTTTTTTGTTCTTCGTGCTTGCTTATCTCTCTGTCCGAACATATTGACGTCGCTATATCACACACCAAATCATACGTATATATCACCAACAACAAACTTACTCTACCGATCTTCTTTGGCTTATTTTTATTTTTATATCTTTGTCATGCTTCGCACTATCACAAGGGGATAACGGATGAAAAAGAAAGGGGAAAAAAATGAACAATTAAATCAATTTATTCATATTAGGAGTAGAGTGTACTGGAGACCTCATGTTTTTTCTTTTTCTTTTTCTCTTTTTCTTTTTTTCTTCCTGTGATTATACTCAGTATGTATATGAATAGTTGGATTTGTGTTTCCTTTAATTCATCTGCTTCTTTTTCTTTTTCTTTTCTTTATTTTTTTTTTTTTTTTGCTACTGAGCTCTTGAATCGTGTTTGACAGGTTCCAGGATGCATGCATCACCCACAATCCGCGGTATCAGATCGACGAACAATAAAGAAACGCAAATAAACAGACCAGCCAACAAGCATACGTCGGGGCCATTGCTTATAATAGATATACGATTCGCTCTGTTCCTCCCGAAATTATCATCATCAAATTACCACCCATCTATCTCTCCTGGTACAACAACGACATATTCCGTGCTCACGAGTTGGGTGGGGGATGGAGTGGGGATTTGGAAAGTGTCAGGAAACTGAGATGCGGTCTCAGTATATCTATCTACATCTATACCATCTATCTACCTTGTCTGTTATCTTACCACTCAGTGGAGGGCAATTCACGCTCTGATAAAGGCCCACTAACACTCACCACTGCTGCATTTTCTGATTGCTTGTTCTTTTAAGGGGCCTACCCTTATATTTTCTACATCTATGGATGGATGTGGTCTCCTGATGCCGCTATTTTTCTGCATATGTTCTCAATCGTCTTATTCTTTCCCTCTCTTGAGTACAATAATTCGTGTATTTCCATGGATTCCCCCCCCTGATTCCCTCTTGATTCATTATTTCTTTGCTCTTCTTTCCTTCGCACTCCTTTCACATTTCAATTTGATTAATTCCCTTCCTCATCTTCTGCATAAAAGGGATATTGAGCAATATGATAATAATATCAGATGCCTGACAAATGCATGTGTGTGCTACGCTTGACAGGACATATACATATATATACAAGTAAATAAATATATAAATATATCTATATATATCTATTTATATACGTGCCTCAGTTTTGACCTCGCAGCCTAAATCTAGAATTGACGAAGTGAGTGTGGGTGGGTTTTGTCTTCTTGCTACACAACTATATTCTATCCCTCATTACCTTCGGAAGCCTCTAGCCCTCGCCACCCTCCTCCTCACCCCCTAAATATGCACGTTTTGTATATGCAGTGTATTGTTTCGATAACCACATAGAACTGCATCCATCCATGCATTCATCAATTCAGTTTATCGCCGGTGTATTCGCATGGGTGCATGGATGTATAAAGGGTCTTGGGCACCGTCCACTGTGTTTTCATATGACACATTACATGCGTTAAATGCGAAGCAGGTGAGGGGGTTGGTGGGTGATGTAATATACTTACTTGAATGTCGTGCAGGTTGCATTACTCGGGAGAAATCAGGAGGATCTATCACAACGGCTGAAGTTTTGTTATTCGAGAGCCGGAGAGAGAGAGAGAGAGAGAGTTGTGCGAGCTTGGTGTTTTTCTGCGGATTTGCTTTGAGCACAAACTGCCACTTCCCCCCTCCCCTTAACCCTTTTCTTGTCTTGTCAAGCATGCTGCATTCCATCCTTCACTCTCGACCATCATCCCGCATCTTATTGGTGCGTATGTGTAAGTTTAGAAATAAGAAGGTTTGTGGTCTCTCTAGAATGAGCGGGAACACTGACATACGCTTATCCAGCAATCAGCAATTGGGAGCTTAATTATTTACACCATGCATTGAAATGTTGTGGTTTTTTTTTTTTTTTTTTTTTTTTTTTTCCTGTCTCATCACAATTTCTCCAATTGGAAAGTAGACCATCATATGAACTTGGTCTTTGTTTTCCGAGACCTGCTACATGGGCCGTTTCGATTCTGTGATGTAGATGGCTTGTTTCGTGTTATACGAGCAAGAATAGACTTATCACATAACTAAAGCCTCTCATGCAGGCGAAAAGTGACTGTTCGAGAGGTTATATACACAAATTCAATCTTCTGCATGTGTCTTTTTAGTTCATCGATGTATTTGAGCTAGATAGCCGCGGTGGTATTCGGCGACCTGATTGTGGCAGTAAATATCTGGAGATAGTCGGATTGGGAAGAGGATCCATTATGTAGTTAGTTTTCTTTTTTCTAATTACATTCCGAATTTGCTCTGATAACGAACCCAGGACACAATACCGCCAACGCAATAACCCTAGTAACGTGTTAGGGTGCCTAGAACTAAAGCATTGAATTTCCAGGAACAACGAACTTTCCGGGGTTTGATGATACTATGTTTGGGACCGTGTTCCGCTCAGGGATGCCTACCCTAGTGCACGTCAAAGACAAATTCCCTATTACAGGAGCGGGGAGAAGGAAACTTTGAAATCGACTGCTTTGAATTTCTGCCAACGAAATCACTGATGAAGAAACGTGGTCGCTTGCTTGCTGGATTTCTTTGACTGTGTGGAAGAATTGTTTCTATCGATGAGAATGTGCTGAGGTAGCTGACCATGTTGCTTTTCCAATTTTAATTCAAGGCGGGGTGGCAGAGATCGATCCATTATGTATCGATGATGGCTCCATTGGCTCGCGGTATCATCCTTCTTCGGGTGGTTTAATGCACTGTACCAAACAGGATGGGAGGGGAAATGAAAAGAAAACACATTGGTCTTCGTGAAACACGCAATACGATGAACTCAGAGCAACGATTGATTGGTTGACTGGGGAATGAAAGATTGATATTAGAAATCTTCAATTGTTTTCTTCAAGGAGCTGTTAAGGTCAAAGAATATCAATCATAGCAGGAGTGTGCATGGCGCATAATTTATATCACACCATTAAAACTTAGCGAAGCTATTACGCGCTAGAACTCTTGAAACGCGATTGGCAGTGCTGCTTGTTCGCTCATCAGTTCAGAACAACCGGGAAGGAATAAAATATGGCAATCAGGAGAGGGAAGGGGACTTGGGATCATCATAAAGGCGCACAGCCGGAAGATGAGGCCGTGCTGCTGGTTCAGTGATCCTGCCCGGCCCATCAGAGCCTGTTGGAAATTACCAGCTGGAGGCAAATCGGAGGATCTGCAGCCACACCGGCCATTAAGCATTTTGTCCTGCCTGATAAACCTGGTGGAGGATGATCTGGGTGGACGTGGCAGCCAGTTGGAAGCGAAAGGTGCCTGTTGTTTGTCGGCCTTGGGCGAGAAAATTGCTGGAGACGAATCAGGTTACAGGCCTTACACACCTTCAACGAGGCAGCCAAGGAGGTAACAGATACTCATGCACTGTGCCAGTGCTAGGAGCAGGATTTGCCCAAAGAATTCTTTGATGATGCAGAGTCACACTGGTCGTTGAATACGACAGATCTCAGGGGACGATAATGATAAGAAGGGTAAATCGCCGGAGATAGGGCTTAGCCCTGGCCTGCCCTAAATGGTAACAAGACCTGTAGACTGTCATCAAACGGAAATTGTCTCGTCGACCAGAGCACTTGCAGGCCGAGTTTTCCACCACCAAGATGGAGGAACCCTGAACAGATGTGTTGCAGTGCAGGAAACTGACAGGAGACACGCAGCAAGTTATGACTCCAACAAACACATGTACTTTATGTACAGTACATGCACATGGGACACGATCACGATCAGGCTACTTGGTCCAGCAGAAGTATTTGTTTGGTTGCTGCTGTGTGGGACGTTCGGATGTCCAGCGGGGTCTACGGACGCACCACATAATTTGTGCAGAAGTCCAGAGAGGATCTTGAATCCAGCTTCAGAAGTCTGATGGATTGCCCGCATGATACGGCTCTGGCTAAACTATTTTTGAAATAGTCGAACAGGAATTGATGGCTGTGCGATCGAGACGCTTCCCCTGGCCTAAACTGGTGCTCCCGACATGTCTCATGTTCGAAGCCATCTCTCATCCACGCCGCTCTCATTGGCACGTTGGCGAGGCGGATGACTTGGAGGGCTGCTTCGCGTATCTTGGCTGGGTTGACCACCGAACTCACGGAGCCACAAACCACGGCAGAGAACCTTTTGACAGTTGCAATACCACCCTGTCCGCCGATGCATGGCTCAAGCACCATTGGCTTGTTCGTTCAAGTTGAAAACTCCGCATTTTTGCTTCTGTATTTTGTTCTCGACCCTCATACCATCCCGGCCTAAGAGTCAAACGTGGTCCAATCAGTGCCTTTACTTGCAGCCCCTTCAAGCCATCTGGTCAGCATTTGCTTGTGCTTCGTTTTTCTCCAAAGAAAATGCAATTGTTTTCAGGCACCATGCCCTGTTGGGGGGTTGGAGAGGGGGAGGCGAATTTCTCGAACGATCCTAGGATATATACTCATGACCCTCGCCATTCCCCCCCTGCTCCTGTTTGGGATCCAAGCTGGGCCGAAGTCTTCACACCCGCTCGAGCAGGGTCATGATACACTTCATACCTCACTGTTGTGTTTGGGTTTCCTTCCTTTACAGCCCAGACATGGTCGCCGTTCCTTCGTGTTATAGAGCAACCTTAGCTCTGTACACCTGAGATTGTTGTATACTACGTACATTTATTTTTTCTGAAGCTCTTCCATCTTATGAACTCGTGGGCCTTGCTTTGGTGAGCCAACCTCTTTATAACCAATGCACTCCTGCAGCTTGTTAACCGGATTCCAGTATTTCAGTTCTTGTTACACCCCATGTCCTAGTTATTATTACAATTTGTTTTGCCCTTATCTCGACATATATATACATAAGCTTCGATTTTTTCCGTCCAATATATTTTTGATTTTTGTCCTTCAAATTGAGTCGACATTAACTGGCGAGGATTTTCTCCGATTTCACCAGCCATGGCTGCCGTTGCTGAACGAGCAATGAGCTCTACTGAACTATATATGAAGTTCAGCGATCCGAGAACTTCAATAAATGTCGCCCATATTCGACCGGTGGATGTGCACCCGATATATGAATCCGAGGAAGAGGAGATGTCTGAAGCGGAAGCGACTGGTCAGACAGAGCCTGGTTTTTCCCCCATAGAAAATGACAGTGATACTGGGGTCTCCGAATTTGAAGAGATCAATGTCAATCCATCCCAAGCCCATGTAGCCCACGAGAGATATACATCAGGGCACAAATTTGCCTTGCAAATTTCCCCTTTTCCAACACCAGAAGGAACTATTTCGAGAGCGGCTTCGATTAGCACTGTCAAAAGGGCCAGTTGCATTACCCTAATGCCTCAGATACATCCACAGCCAACGAAGTTGGTCTCACCAGTTACACCAACGTCCGAATCAAATTCTCCATCAAATTCTCCACCTTTTTTGCCATTCATGGAGGGAAAACCCCTCTCTAAACCTGTTATAGAAGAGGATACTCTTCAAAACTTCCGATCTTTTTATTCGGACACAGTTTCATCCGATGACGAGGATCTTGCCAACACGTCTTTTCTCATTGCAACTCCAGTATCCCTCTATGCACCAGAGCGTAAACCCCATTTGATATCTATAGAATCTCCAACTGCTCAAATTTCGAATGGACGAATAACAGAAACCCAAAAGATACAAGAACTTGTCCCTCTCGCAAGTGGAGGTTCTTCCAAGCGCAGCCCCGGCAGAAATCTTAAAAAACGCATTTCTGGCCTGAATATAGGAAAATATACGCAGAGACGGAGCTCCAACCAGCCAGCCTCCGAGTCAACGTTTCCTGCAAAACCTCTATTTTCGAATGCATCCGTTCACTCCCTTTCCAGCCTGAGCTGGCGTTCTAGTAGCGCGATCTCTTCGAACTCTGAGACCGAACTTCATTCTTCTGTTACCTCGAGGGAATCACCGGGTGTAACGCCATCCCCTCAACGGAGTCATACTTTATTACCGTCACCTAGGATGTTAGAGCAGAAATCTCCTGATGGCAGTCGCAAGACAAATGAGAGACATGTCGCAGATAACGTCAAACGCAGAGAAAACGCCAACCGAACAAGTTACCGAAGAACTAGTAAGATCAAAATGAACCACAACATACCACCCGTACCCCAAATAATGGGAATTGCGATCTCATCGGATATTTCATCACCAGCGTCCGTCGAATCATCTCTAGATAGCCCTCGGCCTTCGACTTTACCGGATCGACGACTCCCGCCCAGCCCCATATGTCCGACATACAGTGCATCTCGTCGTAATAGTAAGAGTACGAAAAGCTCATTGAGCTCTTCACCGGCACCTGTCACTCCCATGGAGAGATCTACACACTTTCCTTTCCCTGACATACCTAGTTCGGGCACGTTACAGGTAGCATCAAAAAGAAGAGGTTTCCATGAACGAACCCACTCGATCAACAGTTTGGCCAGTACAACCAGCATGCCGAACTTTGCGTCCTCAGATAATCCCTCACCCCGATCCGCAACCCACCGATACAGACAACGATTTTACCCAGCAGATACTACCCCATCTGAACGGTCTCCATCACGCGAGAGTGTGAATCAAGTCAAACTCAACCCCCGCAACACTTACACCTTTGCGCCGCGTGGAAGCATACCCACCGTGAATCTGAGCAATCTGTCTTCATCCTCGACTGCAACCTCGAGATCTAACTCTCAAACTGATGTCAACAACTTGTCTTGGAATTATCGCACAGGCGCTTGGAGTCCATCCACAACCCCAGCAGCGGATAGCTTAAAAGTTCCGTTGAGAAAACAGGCGCATTCGAAAAGTATTAAGCGTTTGTATGAGACGAGTGAATCTGTCTCCCGTGCGGGGACTAAGGCCTTCAATGGCCTCGGGTCTATCTTGCGCAAGAAGAACGTTGCATCTAGTGATGAGCGGTGGAGTTCAAATCGGGTTGTGTAAAAAATATGCAGAAACGAGTACCGGCGAAACCACCCGTTAGAGATGTCATATTGTTTACAGCTTTGTAATTATCAGAGGTTATTTGGGGCTCTGAGCGCTTTAATTCGCTATATTTTTATTTATTCGTATGCTTTACTTGTTCCTAGCCACGTCTCTAGTTTCCACCCACTTTCTTTTCCTTATATTGAATGGACTGCTCCTCATCTATCTACGATATTGCACATCGCTTTCTCTCCCCTGCAATAATGCATTACATGGCTGAACAAATCCATGATGAACCATCGTCCATGTTCACACTGTTCAACGATGTACTGCATCATATTGTATTGCCTGTTATATCAATCACCCTATCCCATACCTCTGACAAGCCCTATACTACAGATGTATGTATAAGCCCGCTACTGAATCTTCCTCAGACCGTCATTCCTGTTCCAAGCTAGCATTTCCGGGGTTTTATTCTCTGCTCTTTCACCCTGGTCGATGTGGAATCTGTATTACTTTTATTTATTCTTGTGGTTGCGTTTCCTCTTCCTGCTATCGGATTCACTGTGAATATTCATACCCCAGGAGTGTGTTTCTCTTTGCAGTGACCGAGGTGCTCTATTTATTTCACTTGGCACTATTTTAGTTTTATCTATTTTGGAGTGAATATTAATTGTTGGTATAGTTGATAACCATGAGACCAACCTCCTATATTTGCAAATTCGCAAATATTGACGTGACCGCATTTAAAATGGGATCGGTATATCCAGTAAGCAACTTTGTGAACACTCCCGTCTTAAGGTCTGTCATTTTCTTTTTGTTGGCAAAAGGTTACAGTGCGCTAGGCACCACGAGGATTTGGATTCGGGAGACAAAGCAAGGGCCCTAAGCGTATCTGATCCGCTATACCTGGATATCATGTCTACCAATATTCCCATATGGAAAACCCCTGAAGTATGAGAGACCGTCGGGTCTCACTAGGGGAACAGCCTAAGCGCAGGGGCGGAATTGTCTTCCATCATACTGCCCGGTACGCATGGCTCAGCAACAATTTTGGGGGCCTAGAAGATACTCTAGTATCGCTATGATGATCAAATACATCCTAAGATCTACCTATTCCACAACCCAGTATAATCTCAGAGGTAATTTCTGAGCTATTGACGTTGAGCGGATACAGAGTGTGTTCCTCTTCTGGTCAGTAAAACCTTGGATTTCAAAAATAAAACTAGTTCACCAAGGCAACAACTGTAAATTCGGCGTTTGTTTCAGTTCTCTTGTTACATTTATAGGCTGGTTTTACTATCTTGCATGGATGATGTAGAATCGACTATTCGCAATATTGTCCATTACCTCGTTACTCTCGGTGGCAAATTATAGCTTCAATATTCATCGATTTAAGCTTGGTATTTCAAAGCCTTTCTTGGATTCCCATTCCTAGTACTCACCCGTATCGTGGAGTCCATATCCAAACGCTAAACCAACCCCAATACATCGTGTCTGGCTAGCCCATTCCGAAAAGTAGAAACACAAAACAGGTGATCAAAAACTTCATTCCCTCCCCAAGAAGGAAAGAGGAGCTGGGTCCATCCATAAACGTAAACGCATGCACCTAGAAATCCTGTGCAATTGTGAAAATATTCATCGCTTGCAGGCTTTCGCTTAGTCGGTTTGGCTCACCAAATATGGGGACCAAATACAAATCATCTATACGTTTTGGAAACCAAGACAACGTGGACGCCTTTGACGGACACCACTTTGTAAGCTCTCCGGACGCTCTGTTTTGGAGTGTAAGGGACAGCGGTGAGCCGATTTGGATGATTTGGTGAGTAAATGTGTCTATCGGACTGCTTGTGTCACATATATGTTCTTCGTTATTTTCATTCTTTCGGCATATGCGTATTTTTGAGAGGCAGTATGAGCGAAAAAGACATGAAACCCTCGCGCATGTGAGGAATGTGGCGTTGTCGGTATAGTCAAGTATCATGTAATAGATTTCGTTTGGCAGGAGGCCCTGGGTCTCCCTACCATGGGGCTTTAGACAACGGAGCGTAGCGGTTGCGAAGAAGCTTGAGAGAGCTCTGAAAGCTTCTTTGCTAGTCAATGAAGGTGGGGCAGGAAGGCTTTGCGGTTGATATATCTGGAGATTGCTTAGCGAACGAAGCAGAGGAGGCTCGTTTGAAGAAATGTCTGCGACCTGACAGTCCCCGAATAATTTGAGCGGGTCTGTGTGTTTCACCACCGGAATCCCATCTACAACTTCCACATCGAGAAGCATGATGGTTGAGAGTGACAGCAATATGGCTTGGAAGGCGAGGTTTCCTTGCCGAAGGCCGAAGCTGACTGTCTTTTCGATATAAATGTGCCTCCGTCCTGGAATTTCTGGGACAAGGCTGACCAGGACATTATCAAACCAATAAATTGATTCGTCGGGCGCCGAGCCTGGGAGGTGATTTGCAAGGTGATATCCAAGGCCAAGTTCTGATGGCCATGAAGCTTTATCTGATGGGATATGAGGACGCTCTGAATGCTCGATCCGAAAGTAAACTCGCCCAGATGCCATAGAGATGATTGCATATGCAAGCTCCCGGAACATGAAGCTACATGGCGACCACCTGATATATGCTTGACAGGTACTATGAGAATATGCGGCTTTGAAGTTGGAAAACACCAGCTCGTAAAACGGCCAAAAAGGGCCTGGGTCCGCAGATAACCACCTGTTTGGGAGAAGAGGAATTGCGCGATATCCTGTCCCGTAATTGTAAAGATCACATTTCAGTTCAGCTGGCAAGGGGGATGGAAAAGGGACGAGGTGATGTGCAGCCATTGGGAGACATGGCCAACGGAAAGAAGGGCTAGCGGGCGCAGCAAAAAATTTATTACGATCACTAGGTAAATCAGTCAAGCTGAGGTGTATCGTAGTTCCAAAAGATACTACCTGCAAGTCTAAATCAATTGTGAAAAGTGGTGGATACCGGCCGCAGCGTTTGGGAGGTAGTGGCGATGGTAGCTGGTAAAGATCGATTTCCTGAAGTTTCTGCTTCACATACGCGTCGCTACAGTCCTGGGAGCTATGCAGCGTAAACACGAAATCTTCAAGCACTTTGTCCTTCGCAGCATACTCTTGCCGCGTCGTTTCGAGCCAAACTATAGAAAATAATCGTTCAAATTAGATTCTTCATTCTTGTGAATCCTCAGTTTAGTTTCATGAAAGCTGGCCTATGACCTACCACTGTATTCCACACTATTCAAGGGTATTGTATAAAGGATATCTGGAACATATGCGCCATCAGGATTCGCGAAAATCTTTTGTGCATAGTATCTGCCACAATATACGACGAGCTGAATCCCCCGATTATGTCCATCTTGTCTTGTGGTAGCAAACATGGTGGACGCAAACCTGGGTTTTTGTAGGGCATGATACTGGTATCTGCACGGTGACTATGAAACGAGCTCTGAATCACGTTCCCAGAACTAGTACTTCCCCATATTTTGGAGCAAAACTGGTCGCCTCTTTTTCTACTTCATAACATTGTAAGCTAGGAGATTGGACATCAACAGATTGACAAAACAAGTGGTGCTAGGGAAGCTTAAGCTTAAAAGGTGGAACTAACGCCAACTAGTTAGATCGTCCCAACTTGCCACTGAGCTAAAACAGACATTCATCCAATGCTCTGACTCCTGCATTTGTGGATGAAAACCTATCTACAATGTATTTCCCAATATACCCTTATATCATCAACCTACTTTCTTATATGGACAGCCGCGATGTCCAATCCACATAATTTGCGGAATCAAAACGTGAACGCTCAAAATTTCCCTTCTGGAGACGTATGTTCCTTCGCACTTTTGATTTGAATACAGAGAGCTAGAAATAAACCCAGCAGAGGTTTATCTGCTCTCGCAGCTCACTAGTTTTCTCTGTTTATTGACTGATAGTTGGCTTCAGGGAATGGCCGTGCTTCCCTTTGAATTTCACGTTACTTTGGATGTTTTCACGGAAAACGCCATCCTTTCAATAGCGATGAAGCCACTTCGTCACATATGGGACTGTACTTATGGTGTACATAAAAATATGGCACTATCTATGAAACGTGCAAAATATAGCTGCTGCTAGTTTTGATACATTTGCTGTTCAGTACATAAATCCCAGACGCTATAGCAGTCGCAACTTTCAATTGGCCCGCTTTTCCGCACAAATGATACCCTAACCACACTGTTATTTCTGATTTAGTACCTATCATGATAGCATCAAATTTTTTGTTCATGACTGAACCAGCGAAATCGGTGGCCTTCTATTTCTCACACTATATTTCAAACGGATTGCGAGATAAAAGTCAATGCAGAAATTTCTCTCAAAAGAGGACGATGCGGGTAGCTGGTGCCTGTGACTCAAGACTTTGTTATGTCCGATGTCAGTTTCAACTATCAGTTTCCAAATGTTGCGAGGATGATTGAGGCGGCCTTGTTCCAGGCACCGATTTCCACGCGGCTGGAGGTTGGTTTCGAAAAGCTAAATACATCTCATCAACGTCCGAAGGGAGTTGATTTTCATATCTTTCAATTTACTCAAGACACGGGCGAACCATCGCTAGGATATTATATTATTTGACTACCCCTAACTCGTCCCCTTATTCAGCTTCGACTGTCTTTACTCAATTCCACATACCACGGGCAGCCACAATTTATTTTAACGTTCAACGCCATGAACCATCTGCCGAAACTTTGACGTCATAGGTCATGATCAATGGGTCATAGGAATATTGTTGCTAAATTTATAATTGACTTTTGAGTTTATTTCAACCCAGGAATCTGGTTTGGCTCCTCTCCAGGTTATATATATAACAGTGTCCCAGGTCAATTAAATAAATAATAGAACACTGGACAATAAAATTGTCTTGGGAAACTGGATATCTGAGCTAAAATTATATGACTGCGCCACATCAAAAACTTTTTATATTATTTATGGAGTTCAACATTTCCTGATTATAGCTTCTTCGGTCAAGTTAATCCAGCCTTTTATTCTTCTGTGCCAGCATCAGAATTCTTTCATTCCATTTTGTTTGTTCACCTTATCGCAGTCTTTATGCACAGCTGTCTCTATCTCTGATCCATTTTTAAACAGCTGGATTATAGAATTTAACCGATTACAAAATGACACCCAAAAAAACAGTCGTCGTCGTCGGCGCTTCGTGGGCCGGGATCAAAACAACACACGCCATCCTGAAGAACATTTCAGATGTGAAAGTCATCCTGGTCAACCCTTCATCGAAGCATTTTTTCAACATCGCCGCTCCCCGCATCCTAGCAAAACCAGATGCATTCAAACCGGACCAGTATATTTTCGACATTCCGGAATTGTTCCAAAAGTACAATAGGAAACTCGTCTCGTTTGTCCAAGGCGTTGCAAGCTCAATAGACGTGAATCAGAAGACTGTAACTGTCACCGTCGCTGACGTTGACAACAAGGAACATGGGGAATCGATCATTTCTTACGATTATCTCGTTATAGCGTCTGGCAGCACTACCTGGGCAACGAGGGGCCAATCCAGTGTTCTTGCACCGTTTAAAACGACCGGATCAGATGCTATGCAGACTACCATCGAACAAGCACAGAAGGCTATATCAGAAGCTAAAACAGTAGTGGTTGGAGGAGCCGGCGCTGTCGGGGTCGAATTTTGTGGAGAGCTAGCGGAAGCATTCCATGGCAAAAAGGACAAATCCATCACACTCCTGACAAGGACAGATCGGATTCTACCTACCTTGAAGCCTACAGCAAGCAAGAAAGCTCATAAAATCCTCTCCGGCATGGGCGTCAATATTCGCACATCCACTGCTGTCAGCAGCGCTTCCCAAGATCCATCCTCTAAAAAGTGGACAGTAACATTGGAGGGAGGCGAAACCATCACTGCGGACGTATATATCTCAACCACTGGCGTCGTTCCCAATAGCGACTTTGTCCCCGCCGACCTAAAAGACAACGATGGCTGGGTATCAGTCGATGCGGAATTCCGCGTAAAGAGAAAGAATGGAACAGCTAAAGAGAAATTACCAATTTACGCGGTTGGCGATATCACTACCCACACGCCTCGCATGTTGTTGAAAGTTGATGGCCAAGTCTCTGTGCTGGTCGCCAATCTCCACGCTGACATAGAGAAATTGAAGGGGAAAAGGTCCCAATATTCAGAGAGTGATAAAACCATCATGCTTGTGCCGATTGGGTCACGGTCGGGTACAGGCCAGATTTGGTTCTTTGTTGTATGGGGATGGCTTGTCGCGCTCCTAAAAGGAAGAGACTATTTCCTCTCTCGGGCTGACTCCGAACTTATGTGATGGTTGCGGAGAAGTCGACTGTTGTTTTTTCTCCTTATATGTCCTTGTAATAATATGTGTACTGTGGGAAATCTTCCTTTCAACTTCTATTTTCAGTTCTATCAACAATGGCAGTTTAGATGGTTCTTGTGGTGCGGGGCTTGCTTTGTTTTTTCTCTCTAATATACATCTTTATTCCCCTTGTTCAATAATCGTTCTGTGTAGTACACCTTACATTATTTTATTTTAATTTAATTTTAGTTTCACAATTTATACGCAATGGGAAATATACACTGGGTCTATGTACTCATGAAATTGGTTGGATCTAATTACAGAAGTGGAGGTAACATGTCCTGCTCAGCTTCAAGTATGCCCGATATCTATATCCAACAAAAAGGACTTCCTTCCGACATACACTATGAAAACAGCCACTGGAGGGAAATGCCCTTCTCTTCCCTCCAACCAAACACACAGAGTTATCCAAATAGCCAAAGCCACTCACATAACACCATGTCTCAACGTCCGGGTCTGCCGTGGAATCCAGCCACATTCCAAGTTGGAAACCAACATAAAAATGTAGTAACATACGCGACTCCTATATACCTTTCCTCCTACGTGCAAGTATATTAAAGGGGAAGGGAAAATAGTCCAAGTAGTGCATGTATATCTACTGCTTATGTTGTGTACATAGGTACACGGTGGTGTGTACTTCAAAAGCACGCAAGCAAATATATCTGAGAATAATAAGGGGTTTGAAATGTAGTTGGTCATACCCAGGTACAAAGGCTTACAGCATTTAGTGATTAGTTTTACGTATTTCAGCATGTATATGTACAGGGGACAAAGTACCAACTAGTACACCACAGTCCATACTAGATCTCACAGCATTGATTCTGACTGCCTTTTGTGTTGTGCTTGGGAAAAAAATAAAATAATGAGTGGTAGAATAAATACAACCAATGGGTACTTGCGGAGGTCGTACTGTTTTCTCGTTAGCCTACGTCGAGAGAAAGCTACAATACAAAAACTCAACTCCCTACATTTCCACGTGTAGACGTGTAGATACCTGGAGCTTATAATTTCTATCTAGAGCTGGATAATATGTTGTTCTGTACAATATGCGTCTCCTGGCATTTGCGGGGGTAACAATATGGGAATGTAAAGACCCCAGATCCAATATTCATCATTCTGCATATATTTTCTGTCTTGCGTTCTAGAATATGGTTCGGTTATATATGATTTCAAAGTTTGGTTAAGTTTGCACCCAAATTGAGTATAGCCCATGCGTTTCCCAAGGTATGCTTGTTAGAATCGGATGCGCTGCAGCACTAACGCCTCGACACCACCACCAACAAAAGCGGGAGCAACGGGGACAACATAAGGGAAGCGGCAGCATTTAGCAACTTATGTATTTGGTTACTGCAAGCAGCCACCCGTTAAACTTGCCCTAGCGGACACAATGAAACTGGATGGGCGAAAAAGAAGGAAGGGGTTAAACAGGATAATACAGGGAATCCCCCTTGTACTACACTGTGTCACCTCACTGTTCAGTAGTTTCTGCAGCATCCGAATACGACCGAGAGGTAGCAGTCGTCGATCTTGTCACTCCAGCGCTCTGGAGTTTGTGGTCGAGTGCTCTTTTCTCTTCATCTATTGCATCTGTAGTGACTAGTGCAACTTCCTCACCGAAATTTTTCGCGATTTCTTCCAACGTCAGACGAGCTGTTTCGGGGAAGAAGAAGTAGATAACTATTAATTTTGTGTCAGTAGTCCTTTCTATGGGTTTGGTATTTATTGACACGGTCAGCAGACCAAAAGCTAAGACAAATGGGAATTCTAACATACTTGGGATGAAGAATGCTGACCAGCAAATAATAACGAGATAATACTTCCAGCCTACGTTAGCAAATCCTATTGGAGCGGTTTGGAGGAGAATGATAGTCGCTGCGCAATCGTTAGTAAACGTATTCCAGCGTTGAGAGTTGTAGTTGCTCGAGCTCCTTACATGCAAACTGCCCAAAGAGCGAAAACCCCATTCCAATTGGGCGAATCTCAGTAGGGAAGATTTCAGACACGTATAGGTACATAGTAGTGTCACAGAAGGTACTAAGATGAGAAATTAGTTATAGATTCACGGCGGGTCATTACAAGACTTACCCTTGGAAAGCAAGATATAAAAATATGAAGAAAATTCCCAAGCCATTGCCAACGCGGTTGAGAGTTCCAGCATACCTGGCGGTCATGGCTGCCAAGCATGATGTCGTTACAACGATGCCAATGAAGCCAATTATAAACATTCCTCGTCGAGAATTGACTTTATCATGCAACCACGCGCCACCAGGATTGTAAATAAGGCCTGCCGTGGTTAGCCAAAGTGCGCTTAGGAGCAGCGGCATATGGCCAGTCATGCCTAGGTTTTGGTACAGGAGTACTGCATAGTTATTCTGAATATGGTGTTAGCAATGAATTGAGCCACCAGCGCAAGTAGTAATTGCTGAAAATATAACTTACAATAATCAAGGGCCCACCAAATTCAGCTCCCCACTGCGTCAAAAACCCGATGAGCATGCGCTTTCTGTATGACTTTTTCTTGAAAATAGCAGTCCACACGCCGTGACCTGTTGCGGCAAGTTTTTCAGCTTCAAGTTTAAGTTGCTCCTTAGTTTGAACAAATTCATCCTTTGCTACCAGATTGTCTGGATCATCTTTTGATTGCCGTAGGCGGCAAATGATCTCCCAGGCTTCGTCGAGCTTCCCTTTTGATATTAGCCACCTAGGAGATCTTGGAAGCCAAGGTGACCCTGCAAGCAAGACCAAGGAACTTAACGTTTGCAAGCATAGCGGGAACCGCCAGGCGAAAGTGGGATTTCGCGCTGTTGCAAAGTAACACCCATAGCCAACCCAACTGGAGAGCATGTAGCCGAAAACCAAGAATATTGGATGATGTCCTACCAACCAGCCACGTACAAAGGGGCTCGACAGCTCTGCGAGATACATTGGACAGACGGTGACGAGGATTCCAATCGCAGTACCAGAGACAAATCGACCGGCTTGAAACATCCTGTCCGAAAAGTTAGTTATGACTGCCGCTACTGCCAGACAGTTCGGAAGGTTATCAAACATACTTCAAATTAACTGCCGCTCCCTGTAGAGCACCGCCGAGTACTGCAAGGAACGATCCAAGTTGAATGTTGGCTTTGCGTCCTACAGCTTCACAGGACCACATCATAAACAAAGATCCCACAGCACCCCCAGCACTAAAAACTCCGTTCGCTGTAGCAATCGCACTGGTCGTGATCTCGGTATAACCGGGCTCGCCCTGTAATGGGAGATTAAAAAAAGCGTACCAGCCAGGTTGACCGATAGTGCTGCCTATGACAGAGGCACAGTATCCATATGTCTAGAAAGACATTCGAGGCAGAATAGTTAGCATGAGCCAGGATTGAAAATACATTGGGGCGTCGGAATCCCAAGCAGGGCTATCACGTACGAAGGAGCCTAATGCAACAAACGCTATCACTAATCGATTATATCGGCTGGTCTGCGCTCCAAAATTTGTCATATTGAGCGCAAGCTTAAAGAGGTTAATGGAATTGGGGGCGAGTGGAAGGGAGTAGTAGAGTTCTTAACACTTAAAAATATCATAGGGATTGGGGAGCAGAATGGTGACATGAACAAAACGGCAACAACGGAACAAAAGCCAGAAACGCTCCACTGAAAAGGAAATGGAGGACGACGCCTTAGAGAATAGCAAGAGCATAGACAAGTGCAGGCTATTTTAAAGAATCAAAGCAGGTTGAGATGTCGTACGGGTTTAACTCTCCTATTGTCTTTGCAATACCCGAGTAGGGCTTCGAGAGCACAATGCCAGGTACGAAAGAAAGAAAGAGAGAAAGGAATAAAGAAAGAATAAAAGAAATAGAAAGTGAGAATCAGATCTTGTCAGAACTCGATGTGACAACCACTGAGAACGCACAAGAGAAAGAGAATTCATGTATCGAAGTGAGAGGTATCAGCCACGCATTTTGCAGCCCTGGGCCACGCTGGTAAGACGAACCAGCTTCCAAGAATAGCAGGGCACCCCGTAAGTAAACAAATTTGGAAATAAAAAGAAAAACGTAGTAACTGTCAAAAGTTGCTCGACACATGGCCACCAAAGCCACGAGTTTCTGTGTAATCGGTGGGTTCGGCTATTATATCTGGCTTAAGATATCTATCTGTCTTTTGCCTTGCAAAGCCAGAACTGCGTATAAAGGCACCTCCGGTGGAAATGAGCAATTGAACATCCGAAAGAGGAGAAAAGAAAGGAGAAGAAAAGAGAGTGGGTGAAAGGAATAAACACTTGAATATCCTCGTGTTTCAAGTTTCCGATGCAATGCATCGATAATCGCTTTGGTCACCTTTTGAACCTATGTGCTGTGCATGCATATGTCCTAGGAACTATGCAAACGCGAAGTTCTCCCATGGATTGATGGAGTATAAAACGCATCAGGTTAGTTGTTAGCATAGCCTGACAGGAGGTTTACAGTCTGTGCACACTTCCATCAATGCACAGTGTGTACATTATAATATCTATTGCACCAGGAGACGGCTGGCTCAAAATCGGTGACAGAAACGAGCGTAAGGTCAAATTGAATTAGCCAGGATAAAAGATGTCCCGCCGGTCTATTTGCGAACAGAGCTGATGGACAACGCAAGTGGAAGCAATGTGATTAACTCGAAAACCTCCTCGAAACTCACCCCATGGAGCCCGATGATTGCAAAAAACCGTTGCATGTCGTCTTTCGATAGGCATGATGACTCAGCAACTCACCTTGACTAACTCTTTCCAACGTGAAGTTAGCACCAACTACGACGATAGCAGCCAGCTCGCGATTTCTCGCATTATTACCATTGTTTGGTCTAAATTACTTTTGATTCCTGGAGTCCTGGACGATCTGCTGCATTGTGGCTCTCCAGAGCTGCAAGAGTATCAATTCCAACACGAGGCTGCTGAGCTACCTGAGTTTGTGATACATGTGCATGTACTAACGTCCAACGAAAACTGCAGCCCAGTACTTTACCGCCAATTGCTTGGGAACAGCTGGAAATAAATATGATGTTCAATACGGTCATTCCCTCGTGGCTGGAGATGATTTCTTCCTGTTCGTTAACTTGACTGATTTGAACGTTGTTAGAAAATCCATGTGTTGGTGACCAAGTCACATCCATGTATGATCATGTATGGTGTATTTTCCCGATTTAGCCATGCATGCACATATTAGTGACTGATAAAAAATATCCCGTACGGACTCTTGAGATTGGGCTTCATGCCTCATCTATTGGTTCCCAACTATAGAGTTACCTACTGAGCAGAACAAAATAAGGCGAAAATTGGTATCCTCGTACACTCAGGATGCGTGCCGTCATTTACTATCTAAGAGGAACATGACATGATTCAATCATTATGCTTTTATAGAAAGAAGCATTCCCGCGCAATTCCCGCGCAGAAATACTCTCCCGTTGTGGAGATGATGCCAAATATGGCTTATAATTGGCACAGTGAATGCTCCGCGGTTTGTTTTGTCATTGGAAACGATTCTGAGGACTTTTCACACCCCCAAGAAAATGCATTTCACCACTTATTTATCCTCCGTCTTGAGGGGCATGTTCAGGTATATAAAAGGTACTGAGGATGTCATTATTGTTGTCAATACCAATGTGCTGTCTGGATCTAATCTCCTTATGGCCCAAAACGATGTTACACATGATGGGATTGGATTGTACGACATGAATAAACCTCGATCTCGTCTTTCGGTTCTTCCGCAGTTAAGATATCCCATACACCACAAATATCATATTGTTTAAGAATAAGCGTTGGCAACCATGGCCCAGATATCGCCATTCGATATCCCATTTGATAAACTCCCAAACCCTCGCCAGGTGTGGGTAGGCGCACCAGGGAGCCTGGAAGAGGGCCTGGGAAAAATTTCCCTTTTGACCCCAGAAGTCGTCGCTGAAGCAGCTGCAGAAATCAAAACGGGAGTGCGGGTGACCCTTGGTTGGGAGATGACGAAACTTGAACTGGCGAATCTAAATCGACAACCTTGCCAGCATCATATCATCTCCCTTCTGAATGGTCTTGCATTTGACGATGTTTACATCATGAACCCTCGTGCGTTACCTGACAATTGTCCTGTCTTTGTTGAAACAGCCATTTCATTAACAGTTGAATTAGAACAAAGCAGCCAGTGGGACGGGCTACGTCATTTCTCGCAACCCGTACCTGATACCGATGGAAAGTCTGCGGAACGAGTATTCTATGGGGGAACCACTGCTAGTGAAATACTTAATCGATCAAACGATCGCATCGGGATGCAATATTGGGCTCGTCAAGGAATTACAGGTCCGTTTATCCTTCATATTTGCTTCTATGAAGCAGCATTGTGGTGCTCACAAAAGTGTGCTAATCTACCTTTTATCATCCTTTCCTCACAGGCCGCGGAGTTCTTATTGACTACGCATCCTATGCCACAAAAAGAGGAATTAAATATAGCACTTTTTCCACTCATCAAATCCGCCTATCGGATATCTTAGAGATTTCTGCCGATTGTAACCTGACGTTTAAACGTGGAGATATTCTATTCATCAGGATCGGAGTGACAAATGAGTGGGACAACGTCATGACTGATGACCAAAAACGGGCGTACTCGGTGAATCCGAAGCCAGAACATGCGGGCGTTGAAGCTACGACTGAAATGCTCCGTTGGCTTTGGGACACGGGATTCTCCGCCGTTGCAGGCGATGCTATCAGCTGGGAGGTAAATGCGTTGCTGACCGATAACAGATCTACAGTGGCCTTCTCCATAAATATGAATAAATTTATGTAAAAACTCTTAGCTGACAAAATTGTTTCTTCTTTTTCCAGGTGTATCCTCCACAGAACCCAGATATCTTCCTACACGAGTATTTACTTGCAGGTTGGGGAGTTCCAATAGGTAAGCAAGCCGGGGATCTCTGATCTACAAGTCCACCCCCTTCACTTGCTTTCGATCGTCTCTAATTTTTTTTTGTGGGAATTCTTTTCTTGCCGCGTTTTAGGTGAACTTTTCGACCTCGAAACACTCTCGCACACCTGCCAAGAACTGGGCAGATGGACATTCTTCCTTTCATCAGTTCCTCTCAATATGCCTGGTGGTGTTTCTTCGCCGCCCAATGCTATCGCGATTTTCTGATCAGATTGTCTAAATGAGCATCCTCGATGGATTTGTTTCATAACTTTATACTGAAACACGTCGTACGGAAACGGAGAATAACCCTAATCCGACAAGCTTTCGCCTTAACCCCTCCTTCCCCCCTTTATTGGAATTCTCTTTTACAATATCTGCCATTCTTTGGAGACCTCTCCACCTTCTTATAGATCTACATCATCTAAAGAACTATTTTGGATTGTATTTCCCCAAGATTAGTGCCTACTGACAAACGATTTGAACTCTTTGAGATTAATTTCGGAAATGGACAATGATATCATTCTTTTGTTTTTTACCCCTGCTAGTTGACTTGACAATTTATATCACACAGTGGTCACTCCCTCCGTGTCTCCCACCTCTTCTCCGTCAGAAACCAAAAAAATCTTCCAATCGCACCTCTTCAATATTGAGCGAGCAGATAATATACCAATTACATACACCCTTACTCTCTAACGATTGGTAGACACAGACTTTGCAAATCGCCAACCCGACGTATGACCCCACTATACCCCCCACCATCATCTCTAATTATTTACCAACGCTTGTGCAGATGTATATCAGAATTCAATAATGTACTGCACGCAGCGTAGGCCCCCTACCTTTTGGTCCACCACACAGGACACGCTTATTATGATCGAGCACTGCTTTTGGCAAACGCTGAAAAATATGTAATAATTTCTCTACTTAAAAACAACCCACCTATCACCGGAAATCCAGCTCCAGTATGTCGGGAATGAAGGCCCCCTTTAATATCTCTATCCCTTTGCGCTAAAATATACCCTTTTTGGAACATGAACTGTATATGCACGACTGAAAAAAAAAAAAAAAAAAAAGAGGAAAAGGGGGTTCCACAAGAATAAAACCCAACAACTATCAAAATATAGCTAGTTTATGAGAATTATAATGCATGTACTCTATAGTCATACATACGCAGCACATGCGTAGTAACGTACGACTTGTTTTCCCCCGCACTAGCCCAACGGTTACAGAGCATACCTATGTACATGGTGCATTTTCAATCCAGACTAGCTGGTCTGGTTTCTCCCACAAGCTTCGGGATGAGGGCCGGATTGAATTTATATATCTACCGGGGTTTGATGCCAAGTATCGTGAAATCGCAGCCAATTCCCTCCGGAGAGATATGTCAGGGCCCTCCGTGGAGGCATGTAGCTGTGCTGTACATTTAAATAGCATTGCAATGACAGAGCTGGAAGATACAGCGTTTTTATAGAAGAGAGAAAGATTGCTCCATTTATAGAGTGTGTCGGTTGTTTTGAAGACCATTTCCCTGTTATAAGAACGGATATGTACATACATGGTAAGGCCATCCCCACCACCAGATGAGGGGATTTTGTGCATATTGCATGCAGAAGGGAAGGTCGTCGGAATATTATAGACACGCATGACATATGGTATATGTGATGTTATGTATGAATGCTGTCAGTTGACATCTCAAGTCGGCAGCGAGAGAGATACTTAGGATTTCGCAATTTGCCAGATGAGTCAACACAGTTTTCCTGTCAGTTGGCTTTGTTGTGTTAGCAAAATATCCCCATCCGCTTGAAATCTTGTCAGGGGCCAATTCATAAACAACTCCTTAAAACAGATAAATACAGCCGAGGGCACCTCCGTAATCAGTCCATTTTATAACCAGCCCTCATAGCCAAGGACTACCCAATGTCACCGAAGAAGCAACTTCACAGGTGGTTTGCCATAGTACGTGCTTCACCATAGTTGCAGTACTTCCCGGAGTTCCCGAGAGCTCGATCATTCCGTACCCAAAGCGGCCAAAGCCGGGCCCGGCGGGACTTGCACTATAACGGGAGCAGTGCCGATTCTGTACCTCAACCCTCTCGGTCCTAGCATTTTGTATCTCATAGTAGTTGCTCTGCGGGCCCTTGTACACCCTACTGCTTTCGCCGTATTCCACCCACCTCAGCATACAGGGAGCGAAGGTAAATTGGCGGTTCCTTGACTGCTGGCAAAATTAAGGGCGCCCCGTTATTGTTCATGTCACACATCACTGATCTAAAACACGCTCGGGCCACTGAATCCTTAATCGGGTCCTTCGAGGTAGAGGCGTGATAGCCCAGCAAATATAACTTTAATCCGTAGTCTCACGGATACACAGGATAGGGGAGACGAAATGTGTAGCTATCCATCAATGCCATCGGATTGGGGACAAAACGCAGGGTCACTTCTCGTTCAGTCCCAATACATCAACAAAAAAATCATAGGGTTCCCCTTTGGCATAACCTAGCACAAGAGGTAACACGCTGCTAAACCATCTGTGTAGTTGAAAGTAGCTCACAACCAAATTCGATCACATCAATTCGACTGGGAAAGCAACAACAAAAAGTTAGCGAAATATATCCACTTAGATGTATGATCCGCGCATCCAGACCCTGGTGCTCTACTATATCTTTTTGTCTGCTTGAACAGATACAGAAAGGTCAGATGGAGTCGCTCTGCGGGAGGTACATACCTGCATCAGCCCTAATGATAAAAGCTTCTGGTAAATTTTGAATTTTTTTCTCATTCGGTGAGCGTGTCACACACATACTATCGAAACACTATGTTCTCCTCCTTTTGGACGTAAGATAAGAAGGAGACGGCTTCGCGCCCCATGTCCTCCAAACACGACATAGAAATGACTTTTCCTTTCCATTCCCGCGTTGGCAAACATAACCGCTGATAATGAAATTGTGGGATCAATATCGGAATTTTTGTTAGGCGTGGACGGAGACTGGACCGGATGTGGTTAAAAGAGGAGTGAGAGAGATCCGCAAAAGACATCACACTGTTTCAACGACAAATATCAACCAAACGGAGACGAAAAGACCTTGATATTTATCATCTTTTCCGACGGGAAAATCTCTCTTCATACCCCTACCCGTCCATCCGATCCTACCGCTCCTCTTGTCCCCTCGCCTTTCTATTTCCTTTTCTAGTTGATTTGTTGAGATTTCATGACTTTTCTGATTCAAAAGTATATGGTTTTGATTTGTGAGTCGTCGAAAAGTATTTTTTGTTTTCGTCACTCGTTTGACTCTGTTTGCTGAAACGGGGGGAAGGAAAAGAAGAAGGGGAAGAGTAAGAAGGGGAAGACGTTGAAGAAGAGATAGCGTGAGGTATTTTCATAGTCACTAGAGGCGAAACTATGGCATCCGCGGCCGCTCAAACAGAGGCAGCTCTGACGCCTCCGTCGGGCATCGAGTCCAACTTCAACGGGCCGGGAGAGGCATTACATATGTGGAATCTTATCACGCAGGGTCTCTGCATCTCCTTAACGTCAATAATTTTCTTGTTGAGGATGTATGTCCGGGTTTGTGTTAATAAGGGGTTCGGAAGGGAAGATTGTAAGTTATATCTGCTGGATCGGACATTGTCTCCCCTTCATCATTTGTTCCAAGGACAAGGGCAGGAGCTAACACATGCAAAAAGGGTGTTGTTCGCTTGCTTGGGTTTGTGCATCCAACTTTGTCTGTGCATCTGCCGAGGCAGTATGGCTGACTTGCCGCTTTAGTTTCTCGGAATTGGTTATTCCATCATTGCAATTTTGAGTTCGTCTCCCTTGAAGTATGGCGCATTGCTTAATTCATCCAATGCACTGACTGATCCCCTTGTAGTGGGCAAATATGGTGGCGGGTATCACCAATGGGATGTCCCAAAGGCAGATCTTGTCCCGTTCAATAAGGTGCGTAAAAAAAGGGGATTGGATAAACAGTATCATCTGTCATTGTGCAGAACACGGATGCTAAAGATATGAACTGCTCATCAATCGAGCACAACAAAACAGACCGTGTACGGAACCATGGTCATATACGGACCAGCCGCATTTCTCACGAAGGCATCCATCCTCCTAATCCTAACCCGAGTTTTCGCGCCTTACCGCAAAACGGTAAGGTTCATATATGTATACTTTGGGGTACTGCTCGCATATTACGTCCCCGCGATCATCGTTAAAATCCGCATCTGTATGCCCATATCCCACTTTTGGATGGGTCAGGCTTCGAATGGGTCATGCTTGGATGAACGAGCCATTATTCTAGCTGATGCAATTATCAGTGTCGTGAGCGACTTGACAATTTTGGTCTTGCCGCTTCTTTTGACCCATTCGCTGCAGATGTCTCTTAAGAAGAAAATCCGCGTCATTGGCATTTTGGGGGCAGGTGGTTTGGCCTGTGCATCGAGCATTGTGAGACTGGTTTTGATAGTTCAGAAGGGGAATGCCAAAGATCAGACTTATGTGTTCATGCAAATCAACCTTTGGGGGTAAGATATTAAACCGCAACCCTTTAATATCGCTTTTATGAGACTAAAGAGAAATTGATACACACAGGAACGCGGAGGTGAGCATTGGGATAATCTGCGCCTGTCTCCCGTCGCTCGCCGCGTTACTCAACCGCGTATCGAACGAATACATGTCGCGAAATGGCAGCAGGAGCTATGACTGCGAGCTGGCCGGAACGGACACACTGACAGGGTCCAGCTCCAAAATTGGGTCCCAAGGCAGCTTTAATGATGCAGGGTCTGACCAAGAAATCCTAACCTCACATGCACAGCCAGACTTGAAGGTTGAGACTGCAATCCGAGCTGACGAGCCAGGCACTAAGCATTCCCACAACCACGGGCTTCACTCCTTCACTGGCCATGGGATCATGAAAACGGTTGATGTTTCGCATACAATCACCACTAAGGAATGAATTTGAGTCACGGACTGTGTGGGATGTTGAAAGGGTGTTTCACTTAGATATCACCTAGTTGTGATTGATAAACGAAAAGTTGACAAGCCGAATTTATTTAATACGGGCGTATGAATCTAAAACCATTACGGAGTACGGAGGGTGCTATCAAAAGAATTGCGCCGGCAAAAAGACAACTAGACAGCGCCACAAATCTTGGCAGAAATTCACACTGTATTTTATACTGAATACTCAGCTCTTGATTATTCCTTGTCTCCGCTGCTATTCAACATGGAATCTGCCTGCCAATCTGCCTGCCAATCTGCGTGCCAATCTGCCTGCCAACCTGCGTGCCAATCTGCCTGCCAACCTGCGTGCCAATCTGCCAACCAGATGAGTATCCTATTCCTCCACCTGCCCGTGCTGTCTTCCTTCTCTATACTCATTGCCACCTTCTAACTCTATAATCTTTTCAATATGTACAGGAATCCACTCAATCCATGCCTGTATCTTCTCTTGTGGCAGATCCTTCCATGCCTGCTCCCATACTCTAACAGCTTCTGTACAGTTCTTAGGAGCTTCTTTTCTTGTTGTTCTGCACTTCATCCAGGGCCAAGCTGCCTCAATTGCATTGAGATCAGGTGAATTCCCACACCAAAGCAGCTGTTGAATCCCATGAATATTGTACATATAATATTGGATATAGTGATTGTGTGAAGGGGCCTTATCCTCTTGCACAATAGTATTTGAACAATCAATTTGACACTCTTTTGCAAAGGGAAATAGCTTTGGTAAGAGAATTTGAACTTGATAGTGATACCAATCAATTCCATCATCTTTGCCATGAGATAGCTTGCCTGTGGTCTGTTTGAACTTCCATATTGGTTTTTGATCTGGTTGCTGACAATCAATTCATAATCTTTGAATGCCATTTGACAGCTCCCATTCTTACCTCTTTATAGGTTCCATTTCAGCATTTAAAGCCTCAATATACTCAAGGGATTGAGCACACTCCTGCAAGGTTTCTCTGACCCAACAATGAAATGGGTCCTTCTTATTGTATGAGAAGTAGGCTCAGAACATGAATTCAGATGATCCCTTCCATCATTCATGTATACAGCTTCAAGAATAGATCTCATGAGGTGCACACCATATTCTATATCCACCTTGTCAATGAAGAAGAATAACAGAGGTTTCATCTGACCAGATAACATTCTTCCAATCCTCCAAGATTCAATCTTTATGCTTCAGACAGAATTGAAGTTGATCTAGTCACATCTTCTTGATGAGTCCTGGCTTCCATATAGACTTTGTTTTTCACAGGCCTGCTTTGTGAAGAATCCTTCATATAGTCATAGAAGATATCTCAATTCCTTCATTACTGAATTCATTGACAAGATCAGTACATGTCTTTTCTCATTCATATCAATCACATTGAATCTTTGCAAGAATAGTGTTCTTAATACTATCATTTCTCTGAGTTGATTGGCCAGATTTGGGGGCATCTTGAAGCCATTCATTGCAAAGTATAATATGAGGCAGTTCAGGATCAAATCTGTGTTCAATTGCATGTTTATATATATGATTGATTTGACTCTTTGAGATCTGAGTGATTTCTGTGATTTCAGCATTTGACTTGCCAAAATAGAGTGATTTAAGAGCCACCACAAGAGCTCTTGTGACAATATCAGTATTGAGTGTCATATGAATCAGCAGATGAAATATTAGAGATGAGATATTTGAGAAAAAAGAGGAATCAATTCAGAATATGTGGCATTCTCATATAAATAGAATGTGGGGTCATTTGAAGCTAAATGTAATTACTCATTAAAACATTGTGGCGCTTCTTAGTTGTATAAATTGAATCTGAGCGGCGCAATTCTTTTGATAGCGCCCTCCGTAGTTACATTCCATAATTTTAATTTTACCATGACGTAATTTATTCCGAAAGAGTGGTAAGGGCGGTGAGAGCATGGTTGGCAGAATACCAACTTAGGTTGCTCCTGGAATCATAGAGCATCACCACCACCACCACCATGTACACCGCTCCTCTGTGGTTCCTCACTATGCTGTGGCTGGCGGTCGCAGTATATAGGTGGTGGATTGGGTGGCCACGCCCGCTGTGGGCCGAGCCACACCACCACGCCCACGGGTATATATATCACTATGAGCGCAACCATTTAACAAATGGTTACGTTGGCTATGGATAACCTAGTGGTCAAACTGCTATCTTATCACACCTCCTCTGAGAATCCTCGACGATGAAAGCTCCTTTTCATCTTTATCCTCAGCTCTTTTGCGAACACAATCAACAACTACGAATATTCATTCTCGCTCACCCGACGCGTCGTGCTCTCGCTCATCAGCTAGCCATGACGTCTTCAAGCACCCCTGTGAAGCTCTCGGACACCGCCGAGATGCTTCTCATTTCGCCGATCATAGTTACTCCAAATGGCCAGCCTGCTTCGACTCCCTCCCCTAACAGGAAACGCAAAATCACGCCATCCAGCGAAGAATCATCTGCGAAAAGAATCGCGGTCATTACCAGTCCCCCTAGGGAACACAGGGCGGATACTGTTCAGCGGTCAAGCGTCCCGAATCCTCTTGGATGGCCAACATCTGCCCCTCAAGCTCGTATTGGCAAGTATAAGCCTCGACACATCCCACTCATTAAGCGGAATAACGCTGATGGTTTTATTGTCTTAGATGAACGACAAACATTTTTTACGAATCCACGGTTGCAACGCAAGTTATCATCCCCCGAACAAGCTCCCCCACCACCACTGCAACATATTATCCTCCCCTTCGACCTCCGAGAAAACCCAGATGCATTTTATAATGAAGAAAATAGAAATATCTTATCTAGCATCTTTCCGGAAACTCACGGTTTAGCCATGGATAGCATGTTTCTTATCTTCCTTCAAACCAAAGTGCCCCCCAAGCCCTGGCCAAGAACAATAGCGGGAGTTCCAGTCTGTTTCGCACCAGAAATAGGTCCCCAGTATATACCCCGGCCAATTGGAATTCCTGCTTACGTGAAGAACCCGTCGATTTCTAAAGATCTAAATGGTCGAGCCATGCAGGACTGGGAGCCTCTTTTTGTCAGCATCAAGACTTACTTTCAGGAACAAGGCATTTCGATCACCGAGGTCATGTACTTGAAAAGTTATGTCGTCATCGTACTTGAACATCGCAATACTGACCCCACGAAGCTGCTAAGTCAGGCTGCAAACATTAGGTGTTTTTACTACTATGACGATGAGATAGGACGACCTGCAAGTCTTCGAGCTTGCCGCCTCACGGACCCAACCCCAACTAACCCCGATAATAATGAGTACAGTACTCTTCAACCTGGGCTCAGGGTAACATCGGACTACTTGCCAAGCAAGCCAGGCACGTTTCTGTCAACAACAGCCGGGGTTCTCGTGAGGGATGCTGTTGGGAACGAGTTCATGACGGTCGCGCCTCATGGTTTCCCGGACGAATGCGGTCTCATAGTCAACCATCCACTTCCTAGCGGGCGCGATATCGGTGAACTGATTAGGGAAGTCGCACATACAGATGTCGCCCTTGTAAAATTGCGGGAGACTGAAAAGTTTTCTAATGTTACATTCCAGAATTCTATATTAGAGTCTATTCAGCTTAAACGCTTAGCCAGCGCCAAGGGTCCCCCAGAAGAAAATACTATCTATTTAGACTCACCCGACACGGGCTGTGTATTGGGTAGCTTGTTGATGACTTCATTTCAACGAGTCCCTATTGACGATTCTTTTCAGCCAAACCAGCAATGGGTATTTACAATTTGGAACTATATGGGGCAGGACATATCAAGCACCCTCCCAGAAAGGATATGTGGAAGTGCTATCTGGAATGGGGATGGGGACGTCCTTGGTTTTTTTAGATATGCCCCAAAAGCTGGGGTAATGAAGGATTGGTGTGCTGGGATTGCGGCAGATGAGCTTATCAACAAAGGGTACACACTTGTTGATACGACAGGCAGGCAGGAATTGCTAAAGCAAGAATGATTTTTGTTGTTGTTTTTTCTTTTCTTTCAGTTCATGTCATTGCAGAGTATTCAATATCACGCTGTAGGGCAGGGAGGCCTCGGCATCTCCGGGGGCATTAACGAAAGGGTACAGGCTCCAATAACAGCTGCTGCTGTTATTGTGTGTGATCTTTTTGATCTGGTGGTTTAAGGGCCTGCCCGAGCCTAGCACCATCACAACTAATACTGATAGCTAAAACGTACCAGTATCCAAAACCATCGATGAAGGGACATAGCTTGTAAAAGTATAAATAGACTTTTGCATTCCTTCATTCTTTATTGTGGACAGCCGGACAAACCAAACCGTCTCTCTCGTAGTGCCTCTTGGCTGTGCAGAGAGCCGGAAACGAGAATTCTCGATCCATCCTCCTCCACTTATTTTTGCATATTTATTATTCTTAAGGGGGGAAAAAAAGCCCTTCTAGCGAGGGGGTTCAAATCCACCATATCCATAAGGCTTACTGTGTCTGCAGCACATGAACGCAGGACGCAGAACGCAACCAGATTTACAGAGTCCTCGCATTGATAGAATTATCAACCCGGAAGTTTATCCCACCAGGGATGAGAGGGTCCACTTGGCAGCGGTTGGCGCCCGCCGAAAGCGACCGGTTTCATCAGTTGTTCCCAACTCCCAATCACAGGATTCAACAGGAGATGTCATCCAGGGCCAAGGCGAGGGTTGTCTCGACGTGGTTGGCTGGTACCTGAACTGCAATGCAACAAACGTGGACCCAGGGAACATTCTTGAGGGGACGTGGAGTCTCCTTGTTCCTCGCTGCCAGCCGCGGGTCGCTCCGGTGGAGAGTTCTGCTCATGCCTTGGGACAAAGGAGTGAGGAAAATTCGCATGCATCCTTGCATTTTCTTGTCTTTATTTCCCTTCTTTTCCCCATCTGCTACTTTGTAGGGAGGCGAAAAAAAGCAGGGAATCCGTGAACGAATGGGAAAAGCCGCCTGCTCATTCGCGGAACAAGGCAGATTAGGATCGATCCTGATGCTCGACAATCACACCTGATCCGGTCGCAAATCATGGCAACGGCAGTGACACCAACCTTGGAACGATCCTCCTTGGGGCCGCTGGAGACCCATAACGGCTTGGGGAAACGTTGAGGCTCATTGATGATAGTTATCAGGCTCCTGAGAACGGGATGACATCCCAAGCGGCGTTGAGAAACCCGAGGAAATATAAAAAGTGCCCGCTTGATAATTTGAGCCCTTCTGCCGGGTGCTTGGATCTTGTTTCATCCCCCTTCCTGCTGACAGCGTGTGAGACCGCGGGCTCTGGCCGCTGTGCACTAAAACCGTGCTGCTGGTGGGGATGGATAGGGAGCCCTTGCTGCCCACTGTGCCCAGGTGCCTAGCGACACTAAGAGGTTAGCGGTCTCAATCTGAAATTCCCGTGCAAATCAGGCGGCTCGACTGAGTGCGCCTGTTCCCCTGGTGGACGAAGGGGGAAATTGGCCATCTTTCTGCGCCGTCTCTTGTCGCTATCTCCGCTATCTTTTCTTCCCTCCTTAACCTTCACTCCCTTTTCACCACTCCTCCAAGGGCTGCATCTCCTGTCTTTGGAAGACAGCTAGGTGAAGCTATTCATTCTTTTGCCTTCGTGCATCTACCGCTTCAAAGAGGCGTTCATCTTGTCGTTCGTTTCAGTCGTCGATTCTGCAATCTCCTCCCCTCACGAATAAATCCAATCCACCACCCCGTTTCCTGGAATTCCGAGTGAAGTGAAACAACTCCCTTATTCTTACCCAGTTGAGGAGTGTATAGACAAAGCAACAGAATAGATAGTAGACAGGCTTCACATCGCCACTGGATTGCGGTCCATTCACCGAGAAACCGAACACAAACAACATCCACTATTCTTTCACTATATACAGGTGTCCGGTGTTTGATGTATTAATTAACATCCATCAGATTCCCCCAGCTGGATGACTTGTTAGCCGCTCACTCCTTTGACCAATCTATCAACTCATTCGTTTTCCTTATCGCTTCTTCTGCCACTCCTTACTGTTTCACCCCGAGGGATATTGAGATTGCAGGCTTCCAATCGATCCTCCACTTTCATTATATACGTTTGGACTTATTCAAAAACTATACATCAATATTTCGGAGTCTGGACTCTAATACCATAAGCTACACACAACATATAAGGATCTATATATACGCCAAAGATGCAATTGAGCATCATTTTCACCGCAGTTCTTGCGGCGACCATCTCCCCGGCTTTGGCATTCTGGCGTCTGCCATGTCGGGGACGTCTAGGCGTTGCCCGCCTCGATCCGCTGGTCAATCCCGGCGCCGTCTCTTCTCACGCACACGTTATCCACGGTGCTGGCAGTATGTACTGATATATAAAACTCCGCGTTTGGTGGGAAGTTAATACTAACTGCCTAACAATAGACTTCGGAAAGAGTGTCACCGTCGATGAACTGTTGGCGTCGGACTGCACTTCCTGTGCAATCAAACAGGATAAATCCATTTATTGGACTCCAGCAGCCTACTTCAGACACCCCAATGGAGACACAGAGCTGGTTCCCCAAGTTGGGGGCATGCTTGTGTAAGTTTCAAAGCACTACAAGCTACGATTTGTTTGAGCCATGTCTCCTAATACTTCCACATATTACAGCTACTATCTGCAACGCGGGGAGAACGTGCAGGCCTTCCCAAAAGGTTTCCGTATGCTGGCCGGAGACCCTTTCCAACGCAATTTTACCTGGCCAGTTCCGGACCCCCCCAAGTCATCCTGGAGTGGTCCTGAAACATCGCAGTTTGCCCTCTCCCAAAAAGCCATTGGGTTTAACTGCCTGAACTACCAAGCGACGCCAGAGCCTACCCTCTTCCGTCACACTCTGCCGAAAAAGAGTGAAATCGACGCCAATTGCCCTGATGGCCTCCGCATGGAGATGATGTTCCCATCCTGCTGGAACGGCAAGGATCTCGACAGTCCAGACCATAAATCCCACATGGCCTACCCCAATCTGGTCGAAGACGGTGTCTGCCCCAAGGGCTTTGAGACCCGCGTCGTATCTCTCCTTTTCGAGACCATCTGGGACACCGCCAAATTCAAGGGCGTTGAGGGTGAATTCGTTCTCGCCAACGGCGACCCTCAGGGAAGTGGCTACCACG